ACTGATCTTTGTTGGAGAAAGATGTGATTTTCATAGGTGAAGAGAATTTATATATATATTTTTAGTAATTATCTTTTACTGTTGTAATTAGTGGTTTGGTAAATATTAAATTTGAAAAGAAAGAATATAGGTAGATTTCTATAGTGACCGTTAAATCAGATCATCTAACGGTCTCAATAAAAAGTGCAGAGAATAGATCATCTAACGATCTCAATAAAAAGTGCGGATGAATTTTCCTAACGATCTCAATAAAAAGTACAAATGAATTTTCTTGTTTTATGGAGAGTAAGAGATCACTACTATGTACATGCATGCATGCTCTCTCGTTCATCCATATAGATACAGAGAGTATATAAATTCATAGTTCAAACTACAAAGCAATAACAAAAGCAAACTTGTCAAAGGTTCAAGCCCTTAAGCAAACTTGTCGAAGGTTCAAGCCCTTCTTCTAGCGGCTTTAAATTTCATTTTTAATATTTCCAAAAAATAAAAAAGAAACGAAACCAAACATTATGATATCAAAGTCATAAATTCGCTAGAAGGTTTTCTCTGCCATATCAACCCCCACGACTCTACAGTGGGACTCCAAAACTCACTTTGAAGAAACACAAGTTATGGACTCAACGTTAAATGTAACGACCCTAAACTATTACCATTTAAAAAAAAAATCGGTATGACCTCCCCTAAAAAAATGGGTCTACCACAACCCGTTTAAAAGAATTTTAAACCTGTCCCAACACAAATATCATATAATACACTGCATGATGGTATAACCACATACTATATTATCCAAATATTATATTTACAGTCCCAAAATATAGTTACAATAACAAGAGTTCACAAATCTCTATACCAAATATAACAAACTAAGATTTTACCAAAAAAATATGGGACGTAATACAAAAATAGCAAAAAGAAGCCTTCTAAACCAAATTAGGCCTGTGGTGGAAAGTCATTCGCCACTTCTTTTCCGTTTCCTGAAAAAATTTAGAATATGACTGGGTGAGCTATACGCTCAGTAGGTGACACTTAAGACACTTTTCTTGTATCCCCGTGAATTCATACAAAGAATAGGCCAATAGGAAATGGGGATCATACAATGTCAGGAAATAATATAACATTCCAACCAAACTCAAGTACAACCCACACGATGCCATGAAATGCAAATACATGCTAATGTCACTCCCCATTTTCTGTACTCAAACATCACTTTCAAACTGTTAATATAACCCTCCCTTTGGTGACCCCGCAGCGACACGGGAGGAGGATTGGCTAGTGTCCCTGACCTTTGGTACCCTCACGGCGTCATTATGGGGCCAGCTAGCTCAACCACGCTAGGGCAACTCCCTAGCCCCCTCTAGGCTATATTAACACTCCGATCCTTTGGTACCCCCGCGGCGACCGGGTTTTTCAAAACCATTTCATCATATCATTTTTCCCAAAATCCCATTTTCATTTCAAACTCATTCTTCCTGTTTCATGCCCAATGTAAGTGCATGAGTGCATCAATACCATGAATTTAATCATCATTTCACATTCAACTCTATTGAAGTAAGTAAGACATAATTTCGCAAGAATTTCTCAAGGGATTTTAACATGCTCTTGTATAACAATGCATCTAGCACAACGAACATATATAAATCATCACATAAGCAAGAATTTCCACATCAAACATTTAAAACAAGTTCTCAAACAACCACATACACATGCTATAATTTTTTTAAACTACAACTAGCAAAAGTAAGCATGTCTAGCATCAAATTAGAAGATGTAATTCACATAGGAGCAAGAAACTTGTGAATTAAGAGCCCCTACCTCTAAATTAAACAAAATCCTTGAAAGTGGGTCTTAAATTTCGAACTCCAAGGAGGGCACCAAATCTGGAATTGTTCGTATGGATGCGTAGAGTTCGTAGTGAGCTTCGATTTGCCTCAAACGGTACCTTAATCTACCAAAAAATGAGGGAGAAATCAGCAATGAAAGCTTGAAGTGAAAAAAAATAATAAAAAAAAAAAAAGAAAAAAAGAAAGAAAGAGAAACCGAGAGCAGACAGAGTCGGGAGAAAAAGAGAGAAAAAAGGCTTGGTCTCACAATTCACTTAAAAGGGACGTGGGTCCCACCTTTTTTTTTTTCTTTTTCTTTTCTCTTTTTCTTTTACTTTTAAATTACACCACACACACACAATTATATACACAGACATTACATTAAATTCTTAAAATAAAATTAAAAAAAAAATGTTAAGGCAATATGAAATATTATTTATTTATGGGTTAAAATTAGGATATCAAAATCATAGACAAAACTTTATGATTAAAATTTAAAAGTAATAAGAATTTTATGATTTTAACCTTTTATTTATTTATGAATTCTGCTCTCTGAATTGTAAGAAAACCTAGGAACTAAGAACTTAAGAAAAATAATAATAACAAAAAAATATTAAAAAAAATAAAAGAAAAAAGGGGCTGCCCCTTGACTTAATAGGGCAGCCCAAGTGACATGGCCCAATCGTGGACTGTCATATCACACCCTTTAAATTACTGAAATTACCAAAATACCAATGAGTACTGTGGTAGTCTATTGTGGGAGTGGTTACTCTATGATTAAAATTTAAAAGTAATAAGAATTTTTTGATTTTAACCTTTTATTTATTTTTGAATTCTGCTCTTTGAAATGTAAGAAAACCTGGGAACTAAGAACTTAAGAAAAATAATAATAACAAAAAAATATTAAAAAAAATAAAAGAAAAAAGGGGCTGCCCCTTGACTTAATAGGGCAGCCCAAGTGACATGGCCCAATCGTGGACTGTCATATCACACCCTTTAAATCAGTGGAGTTGCCAAAATACCAGTGAGTACTGTGGGAGTCTACTGTGGGAGTAGTTGAGTTTAGCTTTAATCTAGTCTTAATTAGTCACCATTTTGTCTTTGGTCTGTGTCATTTTTCTATCATATAATAATGCTTTGTCCCAAACACATGCACTATAAAAAAAGGCTAGCCTCCTTTACTACTTTGCATCACCAGAACTTCTCACTGTCATAGCTATGCATACATCATACCTTTCCTCTCTCACCAACTCTTTTTGGAAATGTCTCGGGGAAGAGGCAGTGCAGGTCCAACCATGTTCATTGTGGTTGCCTTCTGGTTCACTTTGAGCCAGTTCAAAGCAGGTTTGGCCAGTAAAAATGTTTGCAAACTCCTCCTTGAGCTGAGCCATGGCTAATTCAGTTGCTCTTTTGCCCTTACTCAATGTACTAGAATGCCCCTCTAATGCAAATACGACTACAACTACAACAATTCCACATAAATATCTAACCATATTTATACGTGTAATTATATACCAATAATAAAAATAAAAAGAATGTAATGAAGTCACAAAATTTTTTGAACACAGAACCGACCTTACGCCCACACCGGACATTTCGAGCCCGAAAATTCAAAATTAGTAAAATGAACTAAAATATCTTTCTAAAAGTTCTACACTCATGGTAATGCCCTAAACACCCCTCAAAAAACACCTGGCATGCTAACGGACACTCGAAATAATATAAATATAAAATTTAAAAATTACATAATATATTGTATAAAAAAAAAGATATTTTTTATTTACGTAATTTATTAATTTTTTATTAATATCGTATGAAAAAAAAGGTATTTTTTTACACTAAATTTTTTTAAAGTGAATATAACAAGTTTTATTATAATAAGTTAATCATTGGTAATTACAAATCTTTTTTTTTTTCATTTTTATGATAAATTGGTACTAATTATAAAATTAAGGTAAATGGTATAATTAATTTTTTAACAAGAGAATCAAGAAACTCGAATTGTGTAAATGGACCACTTGGCCATCAACAACCCGGTTTTGTTGTTAATAAACAAAATTTATTGGTTTTAGAAACAATGTTAATAATTATTAGGGCAAATTGTAAAAAAAAAATTTGAACTATTGTAGTTTTGTAATTAACTCCTTGAAATTATTAAAAAATTAATTATACCATTTACCTTAATTTTTTATTATTATTTTTTCTATAGATATCAAAGTGGGTCAAAGTTGAACCCGGAGGGGTTCAAACTGTGACCAAAATAGAAATTTCTTAACTCTTCCCATAGATTAAAGCAAGAGAGTGCGGTGGCGGCGAAGAAGAGAGCGCCGAACATAGTGCAGCGGCGGCGGAAGAGGAGTTCGGCCGCATGTTGCCCAAACAATTACCCTACCGACGACGGAACAAAAAATAAAACTCTTCGCTTTCCGAGGGTTTCAATCTCATCTACAAAAAATGAAACTCTTCGCTTCTCGTCTGGCAAGATGGGTATTTCGGACTGTTGAATACAAAGGGATGAATATACTCATATAGTATCTTAATTGTAAATATACAAGGGTATGAATATGCATGTATGTATATATATAAGCATATTAGTAATAAGAGAATTTTTTGTAAAAAAAATAATAATAATAATAATTTTAATTTATTTAATACATGACATTAACAAATTTTATATGACAACGTTTCATTAAGTGTAATTTTAAAAAGTTATATGAAATTTTTTTTTAATTATGAGAAATTATAGGAAGAGTTTCGAGTAATTTAGCGCATATAACTTCTTTTAATTAGAAAATAGTTACACCACTGCCGTGTTACGTCCGTGTAGATTCAAGATGTATCTCTTTCAATCGCATACGTTTTTTTTTATCGAAGTTTCGGGTGGTGTAATGAAGGAACCTGTTGTTAAAAAAAAAATTGAAGGAACCTGAAGTGGTGCTTTCCAGAAAGTCTAACTTGAAATCTTTTCCACGTGTCCGCGTGTGTACGTGGAAATCTACGCGTCAAAACAATATTAAAAGTAGAACAACCGGAGTTGGAGTTCAATAGTTCAAACTTTGGTATAATCAACCATTTTCTGGTTCTTAGGTATGATTTGAAATTACCTTTTTTTTCTTTTGCTTCTGCTGTGGGCTAATCCTTAGGGCTTTCGAATCAAAATTCTTACACCCCGATCAGATGGAATTAAGCAAGAGTAGTTCGACTCTATCGGGAGATGCAAAGGAAGGTATGATCTCCATTCGCCTTCGCCCCGCTGTCCATGGCATTCAACGATGGATTGAGTGGCCAACCATCTTCAGCAGTCACAAGAAAGCCAACGCCAACGCCAACGCCAACGCCAACGCCAACGCCAACGCCAACGCCCCGATCCAGCTCGACATGACTCAGCTCCAAGACGAGTTTGGGCTCATCTTGCGGAAGCTCGCCCGTCCACGAATATATACGAAAGTGAAGGAGCCTTCCGGTACTGATAATTCGTCTTTCACTGGTTACAGTTCGATAACCGATAGTACTACCACTACAACTGGCTACGGGGAGGAATTCAATTATGTGGAATATCAGTTCATGAGTACAAGGTTCAAGGAATCCATAGATGAACTCCGGAGCATCGCGTCCAGAATGAACTCTGCCGGAAAACTGCAAGAGTGCTTTAAGGTGTACAAAAGTGTCCAGAAGTCTTTGGTCGACTTGAGTTTCACAAGGCTTGACATCCGGAAATTGAGCTCTAATGAGCTCCGAAATCTGGAGTGGGAAGCTTTGGAAGCGAAAGTAAGCCAGTGGATACGAGCGGCTAAGGCTTGTGTTAAATTTCTGTTTGAAAACGAGAAGAGACTCTTTGAACAAATATTTCAAGGACTTGGAACTGCCATGGATTATTTTTCCAGCTGTTTTATGGAAATAACTAATGAATCTGCGCTTCGGTTATTTAGCTGTGCTGAAGAGCTAATTATGGGCATGAGAAAGAGATTAAAGCCTGAGAAGTTGTTCAGAATTTTAGACCTCCACAACGCTTTGTCAGATCTTTTGCCTCATCTTCTTGATATTGTTTCCGAATCTATCCGGATACAAGCTGAGAAGCTGCTTTTGCAGCTTGCAGAAGCTGCAAGAGAGATTCTATCAGAATTTGAGAATGATTTGCTTCATGATCAGTCTGATTTTCTTGATCACACAGGGAATGTTCACAGATTGACAGTGTATGTTCTGAATTACGTCGCTCATCTCTCTTTCTACCAGAAAATACTAACTAAATTGATTGTATCAAAGCCGCCATATCAGAAACAAGAAAAATTAGTTCTCATGAACACGGAATCTTCCATGGAGATTGAGGAACGAAGAACTGCATTGGAGGTCCACATGATTTTGATCATTGAAATTTTACAATTCAATTTGTTGGGTAAATCAAAGTGCTACAGTGACGACTCTCTAGCTCAATTATTCATGTTGAACAATGTTCACTACATTGGTCAAGAAATCAAAGTTTTGCGAGAGATGGTCGGCCACAATTACTTTGACAAGTTGGTCCAAAAAATATCGTGGCTGGTAACGGCCTACAGGAGTTCAACTTGGGACAGGATTTTCTCTCGTCTGAGGGATGAAAGATCGGTACAACCATATTGGACTACTTTTCTACCTGGGAGGTTATTGACCAAGAATATGTTGAGAGAGAATTTGAAGACTTTCAATTCAATGTTCCAAGAGGTTCATCAGACTCAATCAACATGGGTGGTACCAGACTTACATCTTCGAGAGAAGCTTCGCCTTTCCATATTTACGGAGTTATTTCCGATCTACTCTTCCTTTTTGGAGCGGTTTGAGAGTCATAGAGGAGGTGGAGATGGCCAAGGGAAATACATTAGGTACTCCATCGAGGATCTTAAGACTGCCATCTCGAATTTCTTTGAGGGACGCCCAGTGCACCAACAAACTAAGACATGTTGTCTCGAGGGAAAATGATATTTATCAGCAACTAATTAGATCAAAAAGAGATGACATGATATTTTAGATATGTTGATTCCATAATGTGTTTCATTTTAGTTATGTAATTAGTTGTTGTTGGTTTTTTTTTTTTTTTTTTTTTTTTTTTTTTGTCTCCCTGTATTTTTGGCTAAATATAACATAGAATTGTGAAAAGAAAAAAAAAAAAAAAAAAAAAAAAAAAGTATCTTTTTATGCTTTCCTTTGGTTCATCCTCAAATGAGCCAATGCAGCATCTTTGTAGTCCATGGACTCAACTTCCAATTGATACAGTAAAATCATAATGATCCAACTGAAATGGAGCACCAATGGAGTTTGCCTCTCAAACTCCAAGAAGTCCATGTCAGAAACAAACTGATAATCGAAAAAACTAGAATCTTTTGGCGGCTTAAAAATGATTAATTCAGTTAAAGATAGCTTATAATCAGAAATCCGAGTGATATAGATTTCATAACATACCTTGTCAAGTTATGGAGACTCCCTCCTGGGACCAGACCGGGAACTAACACAAGATTTGCAAGGAATTCTATATAACGCCTAAAGTATAACGCCTAAAGTATTATTTGATAAAATTAAAAATTATTTATTTATCAAATATATATATATCCATTTCAACGTCTATCAGGTATTGTTGCAAATGTTTTTAAAAACACCCAGAGTTTGTTTGGAATGATTTTACCCTTTTACACCCATTATGTTTTTTGTTTAAAGTATCTAGATAAGGCAAATTACTTTTTTGCCCACTCATACTGACTAGAGACACACTGTGGGTCAGATAATCATTCCAACTTCAAGTAGTGTTAACTTGTCCTCCCTTGCACACCCTCTTCCTCCCCTTCTTCCTTCTCTCCTATATAGCAGACAGGGTTTTGTACATGCACGCTCTCTCATTCATCCCTATACAACGTTAAATTCATAAAATTAAAAAATATATATATAAGGCAATTTGATATATTATTTATAATCAAAGTCATAGAAAGATTTTATAATCAAAATTTAAAATTAGCAGGAGTTCTATAATTTTAGCCTTCTATTTATTTATAGATTTTGCTCTCAGCGGTGTAAAGAATAAGAAAAATGGAGTATAATAATAACAAAAAATATATATATTAAAAAAATAAAATAAAAAAGGGGCCTCAAGGGGCGGCCCCAAGTGACATGGCCCAATCGTTATTTTGATCAACAACTATTTTTATTTTTTATAATTTTAAAATTACATTATCAAACATACTTGATGAATAAACACTTGATCCAAAATTTTATTGCAAGGATACTCGAGGATCATTACTAATGTGATTGCCCCAATTTTTGAAATTTTAATTTCATAATTTTATAATTTTTAGACTGTTTAAATTAATTATTTATTATTGAAAGTTAGTGGGTTTTGAATTTTTATTTAATTCTGTTATATTATATATATATATTGTAGCATCTGATAAGGTGAGTCTATCGGAAGAAAATGGAAGAGTTATGGCGTGGGTCCCACGAGTTTTTTTTATGGGTTTTGATGTTTATATATATATTTTGATATTATACATATATTTGTTGGCCGGGGAGAAGATAGGGATGAGAATGGGTTAGGTGGCGAAATTAAAAAGAGAGGAAAAAGGAAGAAAGAGAAAAGAAGGAAAAGGTTGGAAAGTTGTACTTGCGGGGCCCACGGGAGATTTGTTTGGCCAATTTTTTGTTGGCTTTGAATTATTCACGTGCCTTATTTTGTGGTGTGGATTGTTTTTAGTTGGATTAGATGAGAAAGTCTAATAAGGAGTAGGTGTGGATTGTAATGATGTGTTTGATATTTTATTTTGTAAGTCGATACAATTGACCTATAAATTGGATATTGCTGTGACTTGGCATGTATGAGAAAACAGAAGAGAAATAAATAAAAAGAGCGGTGAGAGTTTGAGCAGACAGTGAGAGAGTCGAGAGTTGCAGGCGTAGCGAAAGTTTGGAGACTTGATAATTCAGTGAGGAAAGTTTGTATAATAGAGGATTTTATTGAAATTGTCAGAACGTGACAACTAACTCGGGATGACTTACTAGGAGAGTAGCTAGTGGGGTATGGGGGCAATTTGGGCCTAACTCGGCTGCTATTGAAGTGCTTACTGAGTCTCTTTCTTCGCTCACTTTCTTGTCATTCTTCTTCACTCTAGTGGCGGCCAATCTAGAAGTGTGAAGCCAATCTAGATAGTGGAAAATTAATAATTGAAATTGCTGGTCCAACAAGAACTTTAACAAACTTGAAAAACTTATAAACAAAAAAAATAAATAAATAAATAAAATTCTAATTTTATTTTCAAAACAGAAAACTTACATGATTAATCTATCTTACGCCATTCTACCCTTTTAAAGAAATCAGTTTGTGTCTAAAGTTTCCTTCCTTCTCAAAGAAATCCAAGACTGCGGTCTCAAGATCCTCAACCGAGTACTTGATGTACTTCTCGGGTTGCTTTCCCATCTCTACATGAATCCTGAATACGCCCAAAAAAGACCGGTAAGCTGGGATCAACTTCTCCAGTAAGGACTTGTGAACTTGCGCTTGAAGCCGCCTATCCGGTACTGACCATGTTGATTGAGTCCTGTGAATCTCTTCAAACATAGAATTGAAGGTCTTGAACCTAGCTTTCAAAGCACTCTTTGATACATCAGAAGTATCAGAAACCAAGAAGCTCCAATTACCCCCCTCTAGTCCCTCGTGTCTCAAACAGTGTAAGATATTTGAGCAAGTAGCTGCCCTATAGCTATTCGCTGATTGCTGGACTTCTTCGGTTAATATATACAAATAATCATCGGGAATCATCATCTTCAATCCAGGGCAGCCTTCAATTTCCTGCACAATGTGATGAATATTGTTCATCTTGAACAAATAACCCAATGCAGCATCTTTGTAGTCCTTGGACTTGAGTTCCAAATTATGGAGTAAAATCTCAATGATCCAAATCAAATGGAGCACCAATGGAGTTTGACCCTCAAACTTCAACAAGTCCATTTCAGGACCAAACTGATCATCGAAATAAATTGAATATTTTGGCGGCTCAAAAATGATCAATTCAGTTAAAGATTGATTATAATCAGAAATCCGAGTGATATATTTCATAATATGCCTTGTCAAGTTATGGTGACTCCCTCCTGGAACCAGACCGGATGAAACATCCCGAAGCAGGCTCTTCTCTAGTTGTGGTAGAATGGCATCAATTGCCACAAGAAGCTGATGAATCGCCTCATTAGTCCGGATTCTAATAGGTACCTTAAGAGCTTGGATATGATCAGGCTCTTCAGATTTCAACTGAAAAAGAACTTTCAAGTGTGGCAAAAGATCTATCATGAACACCTTGTAGACGTCCAAAAATTTGAACAGCCTCTCAGGTGATCTACGAGTGGTACTTATGGCTTCAACAAAGTCAAACAATTGAATTGCAGCATCTCTAATGGTTTCCAATAAACAAAAATCAGCAACATTATCTCCGAAACCTCCAAAGATTTGCTCACAAAGTTGCTTCTCAATCGAAAACAGAACTCGAACACAAACTATAGCACCACGAATCCACTGTCTGATCTTTGCCTCCAAAACTGCCCACACCAACCGCTGGACACCTCGGCTGCTCAATTTCTCAACGCCAAGACGTTGAATGCGATCTTCCAATAGAGCCTTTCTCACTCTCTTGTAACACTGAACACATTGACGAAGGTATCCAACAGAATTCATTCTCTCAGCAATAGCTCGAAGATTATTGATTTCTTCCTCAGATGGTGCATGGTAGTCTAAATAATCCTCTTCATCCAGTTCAAAGCAGGTGCTATCAGACATAGAACTCGAACAAGTTGAATAACTTGGACAGCAGGTTTGGCCGGTAAAAATGTTTGCAAACTCCTCCTTGAGTTGTGCCATGGCTAATTCAATCGCTTTTTGGCCCTTGCTCTGATCATCAGATACGGTGGTTATCTCCATCCAACGGTGGATATCATCAACGGCTTGCAAGTACTGATTGATTAGATTGTGATCGCCGTGGAAGATCATTGGTCCCCCAACTGTTGCATCCCATAGCAAAATTAGCTTCACACCCGATTCAAATGCAGCCTCAATGCTGCTTTCTGACATCATGTTGTAATTCATCAAAGTGTAGAACTAGCAATATAATATATAGATGTAGAAGTAGTTTACTAGTCTTGCTAGAGTAAAGGTAAGATTGGAAGGAAGTTTCCGTAAAGATCACACGCTATTTCCATCCAAAACGCGATGACAAAATAGCATCGAAGAATAAAGAATTGGGAAGGTGTTGGGTTGTTTCTCTGCACCTAACACAAGAATTAATGCCAAGGAATTCTGTATTTGAACTTTTCAACATATCATCAAAATACAGCTTCAGTTTTGCTTTTCTTATTAATGTAAACGAAATTTGCGAGAGATGGTCGGCCATAATTATTTTGACAAGTTGGTCAAAAAAATATAGGTGGCTGACGGGCTACTGGAGTTCAAATTGGGATAGGATTTTCTCTTGTCCGAGGGATGAAAGATTAGTACAACCATATTGGACTACTTTCTACCTGGGGGGTCATTGACCAAGAGGTTCATCAGACTCAATCAACATGGGTGGTACCAGACTTGCATCTTCGAGAGAAGCTTCGCCTTTCCATATCTATGAAGTTATTTCCGATCTACGGTATCCTTTCTGGAGCGGTTTGAGAGTCATAGAGGAGGTGGAGATGGCCGAGGGAAATACATTAGGTACTCCATCGAGGACCTTAAGACTGCCATCTCGAATTTCTTCGAGGGACGCCCAGTGCACCAACAAACTAAGACATGTTGTCCCGAGGGAAAATGACATTTATATATGTTGATTCCATGTATGTATTTCATTGTAGCTTTGTAGTTAGTTTTTTTTTTTTTTTTTTTCTATTTTTTCTCCCTGATGTACTTCTGTAGTTGGCCTAATTCTTTTTAGCATTTGTACAATTGCATCTGACTAAATATAACATAGAATTGTGAAGAGAAAAAAAAAAGTGTATTTTTTATGCTTTCCTTTGGTTCATCCTCAAATGAGCCAATGCAGCATCTTTGTAGTCCTTGGACTCAACTTCCGATTGATACAGTAAAATCATCCAAATGAAATGGAGCACCAATGGAGTTTGCCCAAACTCTAACAAGTCCATATCAGAAACAAACTGATCGATCATCGAAATAACTGGAATGTTTTGTCGGCGTAAAAGTGATCAATTCAGTTAAAGATTACTTATAATCAGAAATCCGAGTGATATAGATTTCATAACATACCTTGTCAAGTTGTGGAGACTCCCTCCTGGGCCCAGACCAGGAACTAACACAAGATTTGCAAGGAATTCTATATTTCAACTTTTCCAACATCATATCAAATAGAGTTTCAATTCTGCTTTTCTTATTGATACTGTCAAAAACACAAATACCAACTCCCAAAAAATGTTCTCAAGCACTGTTTAGATGGGCAGATTGGAAAATACATATATTCTCCACCCTCTGCATTTTTTATTAATTAATTCAAATGTTTAAGCAAAAATAAGATTCTGCATGGATGAACAGATATAATTATGGATGGACAGACTTGAAAATACCAAAAAAAAAAAAAAAAAATGACTCATTTGTTGCCAAAATGTAATACGAAGAAAGAATTACTCGAAATACTGACTGTTCAATGATTTTGAGAGCTCTAGGAAGCCCAGGTTGATCACAACCATGATATCTGAACAACAATGGAGGTATGTGAATCCCCTGATCCTGTCCCTCTAACGGGATAGGATAGGAACCCTACTACACCTCTACTCGGGCCTGAGGGAGGAGTGAGAGCTGGTAGTCCTTGATCTGTTGCACAATAGCTGAGATAATGGTTTTCCCTCAAAAAATTCCAGTACTGCAGTCTCAAGGTCCTCAGGTGAGTACTTGATGTATACCTCTGGGTGCCTTCCATACTCTAAACACGAACGGTAACGGCATAAAAATGATCTATAAGCTGGGATCAACTTCTCCAATATGAACAAACGAAGATCCTCCCGAAGCTCAATATCTGGAATTAACCATGTCGCTTGAGTCTTACAAACCACTTCAAACAAGGTGTTGAAAGGTTTTAAACCTCTCTTTTATCACAATCACCAACACCCCTCCAGAAGATTCATGTATTGTTCCTCCCGTTGTCAAACAGGACCAGATCCTTCCCCAAGTAGCTCTTTCATAGCTGGTAGCTACCATCTGAATTTTTAAAATTAATTTCTTCAGAAAATCATAACCAATCATCCTCCTCAATTCTGGACGGTCTATTTTCTGAACAATGTAATTAACGTTGTTGATCATGAACACTTGAGCCAATGTGGCATCTTTGTAATGCTTAGACTTAACTTCCAATTTGAATAGTAAAATCACAATGATCCATTTTAAATAGAGCGCCAATGGAGTTTGCTCCTCAAGTTCCATGAAGTCCATATCAGGAATGATTTGATCATCGGAGTATCTAAAATCTGTAAGAGACGGCTTAGATATAATTAATTCAGTTAAAGCTTGCTTGTAATCACACATCCGAATGATATAGCCCGTCACATACCTTGTGAAGCTGTGAACGGTCCCTTTTGGAACCAGAATTGTCGTTGACTCATGAAGCACATCATTCTCTAGTTGTGATACAATCCCTCTGACCGCCTCTGCAAGCCGAGAAAGTATATCAGCAGCCCATACTCCAATAGGTACCTCAACAGCATGGATTTTAATAGGGTCCCCTGATTTCGACTGAAAAAGAACATCCACATCCGGTGAAATATCTGATAACGTGTGGAGGTCTGAAAGTTTGAACAGTCTCTCTGGCGACCGTCTACTAGTGCTTACGGCTTCCACAAAATCAAATAACTGAATTGTAGTATCTTTAACGGTTTCCATGAAACAGAAATCAACAACAGTTCCGAGACCTTCAAAGATTTGCTCAGAGAGTTGTTTTTCGTTTGCAAAGAGAATTCGAACACAAACCTTAGCTGCTCGTATCCACTGTCTGATCATCACCTCCAGCACTTCCCACTCCAACCTTTGGACACCTTTAATGCTCAATTTTTCAACACCAAGACGTCTCCGCAGATCATTACTTTCTTGTTCAGATGGTGAATCATAGTCTAAATAATCATCTTCATGGAATTCATAGATGGTGCTATCAGTCAATGAACTGTTGGGATTTATATACCCTGGCATAGCAAATTCCTATTTGGATTAAAGTGAGTTCACGACGTTTCTGAAATATTTATATTTTTATACAATTGGTGAATTCAATGTATTATGTTTCGATTCATTATAGAATTGATAGTGTCTATTTATATATGTATGTGATGGCGATCAATACATGAATATAAATAGTAATCATAAATGGTTCATAGTCAGTAATTATGGATGGACTTATAATTAATTAAGATTTGAACTGGATCCGCGTTAGGTTGACATATATTACGAGAGCCGTCCTATGCAATTGCTCCCTATCACCGTCATGGCATTTGACTCTTAAGCATGAGAAAATTATAAACTCTTTTATTAATTAATAATTACTTTGATTTGTTCGACGGATTCTTCGGGATCCTTAGACCGACACTTTGGGTAGTTATGTAATTAATAATTAGAGGGTTATATTTTCAATATTTGCATCATTGCTACTTGTATTTATTTTGTATTGATTATGGTTGATCACAAAGTAAATTCGAAGGCCTTCGTGTGTTTTTAGATAAAATGATTTATTATATATTTCTTTATTTAAATTATTATTTTTGTCAAACAAATGTTTTATTGCGATCGAGCCAGAAATAATCAAAGGTACCAAAATAAATATATTAATTAAGTAGTCGGATTGATGGCTTTATTTATCCGATAACTAATTATACATAGAGGAGTCAAAGTGGAATATTGACTTAGAGGTTATTTATTATTTAATTGGAGTTCAATTAATTTCTTTTAGTGGAGTAGAAATTAATTTATGAATTAATTGAATTGGGTCCATGGACCGGGCCAATTATTAATTCATTGTAGCCAATAAAATAATAGGCCCAATGGATTCTCACTCATAGCCCAACTTGATATTGGAATCATATTAGATTTGAGACATATGAATTAAAGATTGAGAAGGATTTGTTGTTTCCTTTTCTTTATTTTTATGTTGCCTATAAATATACGTGGTCTATGTATATTTTAGGGGTGATTTTTAGTATAAGAAAAAATAAATATATTTTCTCTCTCTAGAAAATTAGGGTTTAAATTCTCATCTAATGGAGGCTCTCACAAGCCTAGTTTTCCAAGGTCATTCATGGAGGCTTATAAGTGATTCTTAAAGGCAAAATAATTACCAAGAAGATGGAGATCCAAGGAGAAGGTATCTTGCTAAGGGATCTACAATAAGTGAAAACATTCACTTTAGAAGAAAGATTTAAAGGTATACTCAGACCTTTGATGTAAGTATTCAATCCATTAATTGAATGATATATCATATTTTTATTTTTGCATAAAACTTGTCTCTATGTGATGAATCAAGATCTATGAATCAAAATCCCTTCCCAACATGAACTTGAACAAGTGGAATACCTCGGACTGGCATGGCCGGTCAAAATGTTGACGAACTCCTCCTCCAGTCATGCCATGGCTACCCCGATCACCTTGTAGGCTTTGCTCTGATCCTCTGATTTAGTGGTCAACTCCATCCAACGATGAACAATGGCAATAGCTTGCAAATACTCGTTGATTTCAACACGGTCACCATTGAAGATCAACCTCGCTTCGCTTGCATCCCATTGCAAGATCATCTTCACGGCTGATTCATAAGCAACCTCCATGTTTTCTGACAATTCCATTGTCGGAGAAGGTCCAACTATACAGAAGTTCTAACTCAATCAACATTTAAAAACTGAGTTTATATGAAAATTACAAGAATATAATATATATAATTAATATGTAGAATAGTTGAATATTCTCTTACCATTAAAGAAAGAGATTGGAGGAGAGAAGACTAGTGCACTTTCCCTGAAATCAAACTCCACTTTCCTCCAAAACACAGCTACCGACTGATTTGGGGGAGATTTAGCTATCTGGAAGCGTGAGCACGTTTTCATGAACACGTTTTCATGAAATGATTGGGCCACGTATTCAGGTTGGATAAACTTCATTTAATCTGGGTTAGACAGAAATATTGTCCACAACAGTATAACACGGACAACTAATTCTACGTGAATAAGATATTGGATTAATTTAACCGTAGAAGGAAAGACTAAATTGCAACTAGTCGACCTCTCGCATATTTTAATATGAAGGAATTGTTCTTACATGAATTTGAGCTTTTATTATTGCACCAAGCAAAAAATGAAAAGAAAAAATTATGGATGTAAAACTCTTAGAGGAGTTGGATTGAAGTCAAAACTGTACAGAACTTCATTTCCCTCACCCTCATAACATATAAAAATTGAACAAAGAAGTAGTCAACCAGATCTACTAAGTGGGTGCACACAACAAGAAACACACCGAAGAATCAAGAAGAAAGCTGCACATTGAACTGAACTCTACCAACAGATTTCATTGAACAAAGCAAACATTTGATGACTGATATCATTTAAGAACAAAAGAATTAAGATCTCAACCCAGACAATATATACAATAAATCAGAATTGTTAAAAGAGGCCGTATGGACGTCGAAAAAACCTTCCCAACATTTTCACTGAGGAATTCTCCCGAAGGGACTCAGTTGAAGCATTAGTCATGGGTTCTACCACCATGCTTCACCAATGCAGAAGAGGCAGTTGAAGACTACTTTTCCAGTGTTGGAATCAAGAGCCCCTTTCAGTATACTTGTACCTCAAAAACTATTGGTTCAACAAACCATTTCCCTACGAAATGACATCTTCCGCTTTTTGACTACAATGATCATTGTCATAAGCTTCTTCCTTCTCGAGTTCTTTGATTAGCTTTTCAATCTGTCTTCTATATACTGGCATGAAGTGATCACTGACCATGGTCTGTGACAACCTCAGTTTACTATACAGTGATCTATGGGTGAGAAAAATCCCTATCTTAGTCTCTGCCACCTGGTCTCTGTCGGCGTTATCAGAGGTAGTTTCATCACTTTCGCACACCACCTCATCGGAGACGGAGGTAATAATATGCATAATTTTTCCAGGAGGGTAAAATCTATGTACCTCCTTCATTTCAGGCAAAGAACTCCCTGACTGGCTCTCACCTACCTCTGCAATGGCTGCTGCTTCTTCTTCCCTTATTTCGTTTGCCACATCAGCATCCTCACCTTCCATCTGATCATATAGCTCATGCTCAAGTTGTTGCCACAACTCAGCTTCAGTCATGCGGTCTTCGTGTCTATTGTGCTCAATGGGGTCCTCATCAACTGCGAGATCAGCAACTACATCACCGTGGAGAGCCATTTCATCAGAACAAGAGCATTCAATTTCTGAATTCCATACAATCCCTTCAGATGAAGACATGGGAAGTTCGGCAGTCTCGAAGGTACTTGTGGTCTTTCGGGGAGATGTGAGAAGGGGCTCCGACGTTTCTGTCTTGGTGGAGAATGATTCTGCAGAGTTTTCCCCACCATTCAAGTTTGTACGAGCGGCGGTGGCTCGATGACGGGGGCCCATGCACGACCATGATGATAAGCGGAGGGAAGGACGTGACCATGCTGCCTGAGCCATACTCTGGGCTCTCCTCATCACAACCTGTAAACATCAGAAAAAGGGGCAAAATATCACCAAATGTGCCTTTACTTCTAAAGCTTCCAGAGAAAGTTGCTCAACTAAAAACCTACAAAGCATTTGGATTAGTGAAAAGGAAGGAAAAGATAGCACTGATACTGAGAGAAAGAAAGCAAATGGTCGTCTTAACCTCTTGTCATGTTTGGATAACAAGAAAGAAAAACAAGATAAAAGATTGTGGTAAATCTAAATCTTGTTTGAGAAAGAAATTGTGGAGAAAGGAAAGGAACGACAAGAATGTTCTATTATGCAATCAGAAGGGGAAAATAGGAATTCACTTGTTATAAATCATAGGGACAAGATGGGTAATATAAACTCACTGTTTACATCCAAATTCTCTTTCCTATGGAATGATAGTACAAACTACGAACACTATTTAAGGGATTGACATAACAGGAAAGGACATACCTGTGTACCATTGGAAACTGGTCGTAATATTGCACCAGCCCCAGCAACTTTTGCTCTAGCACTGGCAATGGATGGAAGACGAGAACCAAGAGCCGATGCAGAACGATAGACTGTGCTGAGAATTCTGGTACGCTCAATCTGATTCCTCAGATCATTTAGCCAAGCAGATGCTGTCACCTACCCAGAAAAAAAAAAATATATATATATATATATATATAAATAAAATAAATAAATAAAAATTTAGTACATAACATAGTAGGAGAAACAATAACTAAACCAATGTTTATTCGAAGTTCCAAAAAGCTCGGCAGATTAGTTCTGGTGCTGTCATGAAAGCAGCCCAACCACATATTAAGTGGATCACACTAAGGTGGAGGATGTTATTAGTGACAACTTGTGACAAATTGGAATAGCTTTAGCAATGGCCAACCATAATCATCATAAAATACCTTTTTTTTTTCTTTTAGCAAGTAATAACCATCATAGAAGGCCCTGCCAAGGACACGAGAAAGTTGCCCATGCAGACCAACCATCAAAATCCATGTGAGTGGAAGGAAGAAAGGGGGGAACTAACGAAGGCAGGATTCTAACCAGAAGAAAACGCGCAGTTGGGTGGGATGGAGGAGCTATAATCTCTATCATTGGCAGTTCTTTTTAGTTAAATGTTTCTACTGGTCCAGCTTTATTTCACCATAATGATCAAATGGAACTATGGAAATGAAAAGTAGAGGCAGGTATAATAAAAATTAAGAAAAACGAAAAATTAATTAAAAAAAATTATGCACAGCACTTGCAACTTCAGTACAACATAATTTTGGTCCTAATCTATCCCAGTCAAATTAACTCCAGTCTCTACGAACATCTATCACCAATATCAGTACGCATATCTGTAATAAATAAAAACATTCTAATACACAAATAGAACACACGAATTTTATATTAACAGAATCGAGGACGAGAAATAAACCTCAGCACGCAAGTCGTCCACTGAAGCAGCTGAGAATGTAGGGACTAAATCAGCTCCATTTATAACAGAAGTAACGAATTCATTGCCTGATTCTGCCAATTCCCATGTCATACAAGCACCTACATCAAAGATCCAGTCAGCACTAAAGCAATCTTGGCAAGCAGAAAAAGTTGGTGCAACCAACCATCAAGTAGTATATCAATGCAAAAGAAGGCGTCACTAACAAAGTTGAGAGCATAGAGAAGCATCAGAAATTAATGCTAAAAAGATGAACAAGTTCGAGACACATAGTAAACACTGACCTGGAGCGAATGTAAAACACGTAGCTGTTGACAATTCTTTCTGCTCACGTAATATATATGTTAAAAGGGCTGCAGTTCCTCCACCCAGAGAGTGTCCTACAATCTTTAACCAGAAGATAATATTTTACTGATCTGTCTCTTTCGGTCACAATAACCAGAACCATTATCGAATACCGCCATTTGAAAAATGAAGTACAAAACACTGTATATACAAAAGGCTATTTGAGTGAAGCTTTTGAAGATATTTTAAGCAATCGTATACTATAAATCGAAAGTTATTTCTTAGAATATGTAGGGGGCTGCAACTTAGACGGGTTAGGCGGGTTTGAGGTATAACTTGAGCCCAACCCACCATATGAAATGCTAAACCCAAGCCCAACCCTAACCCTATCTTCAACCCTAACTACTCAACTTGAGCCTAACCCATTCTTTTACTTTTAAATTCAGGCTTGGAACTCGGGCTTAGATTCCAAGTTAAAAATTCGGGTTAATTCGGATTACTCATATGGCTAATCTTTACACCGAAAATTTAATATGATCTTGAATTAGTTTTAAATTAAATTCTCTTAAACAAAAAAGGTTTAAAGACATTTTATAAATTTTTAATAAATTACTAAAAAAAAATTTTAGAAAATTAATTCTCCTAAATGTTAACATACAATAAGTTAAGATTTAACAAATGAAGTTGAAAAGAAAAAAAGTAATCATAGTTTAAATATTATATATAATGTATTTAAAATTAAAAATATATATGAAAATAATATTAGAATTCAAATTCGGGTTTGCTCGGGTTGCTAACACCTCAACCCAAGCCCAACTCTAATTAAATTCGGGTTAAGATTTTTCAACTCAGGCCCAACCCTAATTGTAAAAATGATTGCTCAAGCCCACGAAATATCGGGCTGGGGTCGGGTTGGGTTCGGGTAGCCCAACCCAAGTTGCACCGACAAATTCATATAAAATAACCAACACAACCACATATTCTATAAGCTCTTGTAAGCACTCAAATGATACTAAAAAAAAAAAAGGGAAGTCGTGGGGAAAGCAAATATGAATTTAACCTAAAATTTTGTTGAGCAATTGGTTTCTAATGGGACTAAAAGATTCCATCCAGAAACAAATTACATTGCAAAAGAAATATTCCATCTTCCTTGCATGAAATGCCAAAAGCAGAAAGTCAAGATTGTCACTACCTCAAGTTTATAATCATGACATTCTCTGAGGTATTTAACAAGACAAGAAGTAGCGGTTTCTACTAGGACTACGAGACTTCCATCCAGAAAATAATTATATAGCAAAAGAAATGTTTGATATTCCTTACAAGACAAGAAATGCCAAAAGCAGAAACTCCTTATTGTCACTACCTTAAGTTTGTAATCAGGATTTTCGCTAAGTGCTTTAACAATACAAGGAGTGGCGAGCTTTGCAATCCATCGAGCAGCTGCAACCATTCCACAATGTGCATATCCTAAAACACAATTACTGACTCCTCCCTCATATACAACAGCGTGATGAAACGGTACTACTGCTCCAGTTGCAGCTGTCAATGTATCCTTGATACTATGAGTTCCACGTATTAGTAGGAGAAAAGATCTTGTTTTGTGGTCAACTAGGACTGTAAAAGCCGGCTTCAAAATCTGGAAAATAAATATAGTTCAGGCGAATGGAAAAATAAGAGTAGCTCATGCTCCATGCATATACACTGACAATAAATTACTAACAGACATGTATTACAATGGTACCAATTTATCATCTCAATATCAATAAGATCTCCTTGAGAAGACCACCAACCTCAACTGTTTATTCTCCCTCTCCCCCTCATGCAAGCATGTATGTGCATCAAAATATTCACAAAAACAATATCTAACATCTTGTTCCCCCACCCCCACCCCCACCCCCACCCCGACCCCAACCCACAATATATATATATATATATAATATAATAAAATAAAATTTGAGTTCCAACTGACTTACTCCAGCTTTGGGTTCCTGAAGAAGAACATTTTCTTCAGAATAACCGGTCTCCTTCAAAAATAATAGGAATGGCTTTTTCGAAAAATGCCAACAAAGGGTCAACAAGTTTAAGAGATATCTAAGCTCAGCAACTATTTCAGTTCCTTTAAGCTGTAAACTATCTTTACCACCAAAGACACTATCAACCTGTAAGTTCCCCTGTAACATAAGTTCATATATTAGCCAAATAAAATAAGAAACCTCTCAGGTGATAAAGTAAGCCATAGTCATATTGCCCTATAACATCAAAAGAAGTGCTCACTTGGTTCAAAACAAAATAAATAAGAATCAGGAGATATTAATATCAGTTAAACTATCAGGCATCATCTTATTTAAACAAATTTTAGTGTAGCAGAGCCTTTTGGATGGTTCACAAAAGTATACTACTCCCAAAAAGGAAGTTCGGTTCTTCAAACCTACACCATTCCCCTAATATATATATATATATATATTCAAAAATTCACATGCAGAGGAAGAAAAAAGGACAAGAACTAGTGCTCATTCTCCCATGAACTTATGATGTGCCAAAAGGGCCAATCCTGCAAGTTCTCCGTCTATATAGATTTGCACAGTTCATTTGGTGTCTTCTTTTTTTTCAAATCATTTGGTCTCACCTATTCAACAATTTGAATGTCACTGATCTCCTAGGGATATTTCTTCTCTGTTCTGATCATGTTTTCAGGAATCAAGGATGTGGTACAGTTATTGTCTCAGTTTGGTTTATTCAAGGAAAAAGACCTGGAAAATTTGATAAACCACAAGGCCAATACAAACTACTAAAGAGAGAATCCATATCTCAATATCCCTGGACCTTAATGTCAATGGACATTAAAGGCAATCTAAGAGTATAACTCAAAAAAGGAACAACAACTTAGAGTTCAGAGGAAACATACCAAGAGTATGAACTCAAAAAGGAACAACTAGAGGTCATACATCAATTTGATTGACAGGACACCAAAAATAAATGCTTCCAAGATGAATATTAATGGTGCAAGATGCAGCAATATAACAGCAATTTGACCATCCGCACTTGAATTTTTAGAACACTGTGTGAAAAATGGATGTTTTCATAAGGAAGCCAGTTATTCGTTGAACATATCAAAATGCCGAGTGATATTAAAATCTAGGGGTGGCCACAATTTTCTAGAATATATCTAATTGCAGCTATTTCTTTCATCTAGATAAGTAGAATATTAAGAGCAAAGGCATTTTCCTGCATACTACAGTCAAAAATGACACCATTATGAGTAACATCATCTATTACATCTTGCTCAGTAAAAGGACTACTACAACCATTAAGATATGCTTACCTGCCTCTTCAAAAGAAAATTGATGCCAAATGCCAAATCCCCAATGGGCCACTTTCCAAGAGTCTCGGAGTAAGTAAACCTAAGAGTCTCTGACAAAGTTGAAATCGTATCTAACCATGTTGCAGGGGCTTGAATAAGTCTATGCGAAACTCTATCAATTCCTAAAGGAGCATGATTGTGCACATCAACACCATTCTCATCATCTTCTCCAGTTGTAGACGATTGTAATTTCCGGTTTAATGTATAGTAGAGAAGAGCAGCTGCACCGGCGGCAGTGGCCATTGTTGCAGTTGCCATGATTTTACGATCCCTAAATCTGTACATAAACAAAAATAAAAGCTTCATCAATAATATTCCAAAGAGCATACTATCCAAAAAGCTTCACCTTTGACTCAATCTTCAAAAATATGCAACCCCAATTTAGGATACAAGCAAAAGTTCTTTCCTAATGATATTTGACTAAATAAACCTAAAGCTAAGCAAGATGAATCAATTCGTTTACAATCATCACAACCTTCCGTTTGGTTGGCTAAAAAATCATGGCATAATAAGAAGTGAGATTTAAATCCTTGTATCATTTTATTCACAAATTCGGGGAGCCAAATAGCGGGAAAAATCGAAAATTTTCCAACATATTCCCAGCAACCAAACGGGTTAGAACCAAACTGAAAAAATGTATAAATTTAAAAACACAACCCAAAAGCGTTAATTTTTTGAGCAGAATCGAAAAACAATTAAGGAAATAAACCTTAACATGACTAAAATCTGAAAGAAAGAAAACCCTAAAAATCCCAATTTGGAAACGAGTTTCATGTTGATTTGATCGAATACATACAAGGAGAAAAAGTGAATCTGACAAACCTGAAGAGCCCGATGTTTACAGAAATTGGACGATAGCTTCGACTATAAGGTATGCAAAGATTAAGTTAGCAAGTAAAGTCAAGGAATCAAAGGTCCATACGACGACTATCTTCTAATTCGAACTGTTATTTGCGAACCAAACGCGTTTCGAAGTGCATATATATATATACACACACTTTATTATTATGTGTGCATATATATATATATATATATTAGTATGGAACTTTGGAGAGACACGTACGGATGATGGAATAAATTAGTGGCACAAGCAATCACCTGTAAACCGAAAGGCCGACTTGAACTAATCAGGACTTATATGAGATCGAGATCTAGGACGCGGTGGCTCGTTTTCTCTGCAGGTCCGGTTTCGTAAAGTTGTTTTTGTTAGGAAGCCAAAAAAGTTAAAAAATAATATTCCCTCCTATCCAAATGAGATATTCTGTTAAAAAATGGTGACACTATTTTTTAAATAGGACATTTAATTTGGTATTACGATTCTCTAAACAGAATATTTAATTTGAAACAGAGGGAGGGAGTATTATTTTTTAATTTTTTGGTTTCCTAACAAAAACAACTTTACCAAATCAAACCTGTAGAGAAAACGAGCCACCGTGAGTTACGATTCTCCAAATAGGACATCTAATTTAGAATAGAGGGAGTAATAATAAGTTTGTTTTAAATAATATAAAGGTTTTGTTCTAATTTGTATAAAGCGGGAGCGTGAAAACAATAAAATTAAATCATAAGTAGTGAGAATTTGAATAAGAACGCGTGCGGAGCGTAAGAGCGAGAGCGTGTTCAGAACGTTAAAGCGACAACTGAGAAAGATTGTGTGACTTAATTTTTGTTATTTATTAATGCGGCAATTATGGAGTTTAATGTCTTAAAAGAAGAGAGTTCTCTATTCTTATTAGATACTCTAAAGTTGCTTATTAGATGCTATAATGATTGGCTTATTAGATACTCTAAAGTTTCTTATTAGATGCTATAATGATTGGCAACGCTAAACAGAAAATGTAAAAATTGACCAACGGCCACTGACTTAGCAATATCAGGTTTTTACTTCCTCAAAAAAGGTAAGGAATGTCAGGATTCAAGCCTCCAAGAGACGCGCGCGTGTGTGTGAGTATCAACTATGAAAAAAAAAAAAAATGCAAAAACTCTTCGAATTTGACTTGATTAAAAGAAAGAACCTTCTCTTACATGGTATAACTAAAAATAAAAAATAAAAAAATAAAAGGGGTGTGCTACCTCTTTCCCCTAAAAAGCAAGAAACTAGAAACTCTCCAAAATTAAAGGGAGAGAGAAAGAAAATAATCACAATTTAGAAATTACTTGTTCTCGTTTTCCATATTTCTAAATTCACAAAAGTAAAAAATTATAAAACTATACCGTTTGAAGAAGAGAAAATAATCACAATCCGGAAATACTTATTCTTGTATTCCATATTTCTAAATTCACAAAGAAAAAATTCATAAAACTATGCAATTTGAATATATCAAATCATTTTAGTTTATTTGAAGAGTTTTTAATTTTCTGTTTGTGAGGAAAAAAAAGAAGCACCATGTTTTCTTGCATTTTGTCTTTCGGCGTTACCTATCATTACAATAACAACATTACTCTTAAATAATATATCTTACATTATATAAAGGTAGAAAACATTATATATAAAAGAAAATTTATGTTTCAGAAGTGGATTGGAAGCTGCAAATCCTCCTCAAATAAGTTACTATTTGTGTAATAATATCAGTAATATTTTCTAAGTAGCTGCATTTTACCTTTCTTGTACCTGATATAGGAATGCCAAAAAAAAAAAAAAAAACCTTTGCATTTATAAATAACCTTAGGTTGTGTTCAACTGTGCGAAATTTAAGTCTTCCAATTGAAATTGATGGAGTTGGAAAAAATTTAAAGCATAACCTTGTTGAATTCAAATAGTCTCTAAATCATTAAAACAAAAAATTGCAAATTATCCTCTTCGTACCTTTCTATAAGAGAATATAGTTTGAAAAAGGAAAATATAACCAATTACATCCTATTTTTTTAAAAGAAAATAACCGAAGACAATTAACAAGTTTTCGCAATCGAAGGTAATTACCAAATAGATAGTTCATGCTGGTAATTATTTAATTTTTTTAGCATTCTACCTTTAAATAAAATGTGCAGTTGGAAGAATTTGTCCATTGTTTTCTTGATTTTTTATTATTCAGTAAATCAGATGAGATCTTCCTATTTGTAGCATATCACTTGAATATCATATCTTACAAATTTTTAGTATGATCAAACGAATTTATGATATTAAGGGCACTGTGACATTATTGTTGTAATAAAAAAACAAATAACAAAATAAAAACGTTTTTACAAGTAGAGTAACATCAATGGAAAGAGTTGGAAGTAATTTCAAAATTACTCCATATAAACTTAAAACGCAGTTTTAAACTACAGAAATTTCAGTTACATTTAAAACTCTAGTGACCTAAAACCAAAGTAATCATATTTATAACTAAAGAGTAGTAACACTTGCACTGATTTGTTGCAATAAATCACCTAATCATTTGTTAAAATGAGTTACTTAACTTAGCATTTCTGATTAGTTGTTTATGCAAAACGTGGAGGACCTCATTCCCTGATGCATAGATGAATAGATCCGTGTAAATATCATTTTGCAAAACTAAATGCATTTAACTGGTTATATGCTTGCGATGGATGTCAGCACCTGTCAAGTAATATTCAGGGCAGGTGGAGTTTAAGATCCAACAGGCTCTGTTAAGTGAATCCTTCAAGAAAGCCTATTAATTGAAGGAAAATCAATATCTGCCGGGGCGAGGGGGGACATTTGGGAACCAAGGAACACGGACCTAAGATCCAATAGGACCCACATACCTTAATCGGTGGTGTTGGGGGTAAAAAAAATTAAAATCATCCAGGAAGTGATTATTTCATACTGAAATCTACTGTCAACAGTGTCAAACGACTGCTACATTAACAAAAACAAGGTCCAATCCATTCCGTGCATGGCCTTACCTGATTTAAATTCAATCTCTTGTAATCCAACAATATATAGAACATTAGGAGGCCAAGAATTTCACAGAAAAAATATTAAGAGGGCAAGAACCCTTCTGGGTCTCTGGCACAATTAAACCTCAGGCAATCTGCTTTAAGAACAGGTCTAATGATTACTAGAATGAAAAATCATCTTGCAATTTATAAAATCTGAATCACTACCCGAATGCATTTTCAGATTCTGACCGGTACTTAATCACGCTCACTTATTGCAGTCAAATGTTCGTCAATCTCCTCTGTGGACAATACTCTGAACACAGGATTCTCCTTCCTCACAACTCCAACCTGACAAAACATATAAATGTTAAAGATAACAATAACAAAAGAGAATAAATATATGCATACCTTATACAAATGAATTCAAAAGTCATTCTCCCAAATTTGGACAGACCAGTCTACCCGACCTAAATTAAAATCTATTAAGTTGGATAAACATAATTGTCAACCCATAATGTTATATCTCATATGTGTGCGTACACATGTAAATTTCTGTCCAACGCAGCCACAACTCTAACGGCCAAAATTGAATTAAAGGAACAGACAAACAGGAACAAGTGAAGGACTAGCACATTTACACTTCCTCTAGATCCTCCTTCTATACCTATTTGCCAAGGACCAATGGAGATTCCAACGCTGAGATTGATGTACAGGAATTTACAATATTTTTTTTTGTAAGCAATAAGAATCAAACCTTAACCCCAACCCTTCCGTTCAAATGACATCTTTGACAAACTTATAGGATTTAAAATTACCTAAATTTTGAGATTGTGTAAAATAAGTACTCCAAAATCAACTACAAGTGGAAAAATATTCTCACAAGTAGATGGGGAAACGCAGGATGACACACGAAGGAAACAATTCTAATAAGGAGTGGGAGAGGGGGAAGAGAGAGAGAGCTCATAAGAGGAGTAATCAGTTTCATTTAACAAGATTGTAGGAAAATTAATTGATGCGAGGATTAGCATAGTCTGCCATGCAGAGCCAAGTTTTGTAGCAGTTCTAGCCTTCTAAGTGATGCCACATCATATAATCCAACTAAAAAAATCTAAAATCTTCAGCAATTCAGGTAGGCTCTGCATAACAATATAGTTGGAAGTCCCCTTTCCATTTTAACATATAATTTAACTAGAAATGGGTTCTTTCATACCTCAATCTCATTCGCCTTGAAGTCCTCTTGTAGAACAGATTGCAGGGCAGAAATTGCTGTCTGTGCAATGGAAAGAATTCGGTGATATTAAACTTCAAAAATATGAAATAAAAAAAAATGTATGCACACACATGAACGCTAATATTCACCTAGTATACGACAATCACAGATCCGTTGTTGACATCCCAAGACAATCTCAAGGAAAAACACCAAAAGTTATTGGGGGATAACATTGTTTTCATTATGTTTATACATCAAAGAGAGGAAGTCTAAAAGCCCATTGGCATACCATTGAAGATAATTGTGATGAAAAAATACCAAAGGTAGGACAAAAGCAGCATAGATGCAATCATTGAAACAGCATAAAAACAACAAAAGTTAGTTTTGAAAACAAAAACAACTAATGAAACTTATGCATAAAATGTATCTGCTCAATTTTATTTTTATTTATTTTTTATTCTAGGGCTATCAAATATTATTCTTCAATCTAAACAGAATAACACTCAATTGCTGGGAATGGACTACACTTCTCTTTTGAATTTATCTACCCAAAACCTGATGCAATTTAGTTTAACCAGTTCAATTAAGTGGAACACTACTACCGCTCCACTTAACTACACGTATCCCAATTCATCTCCTTCGAACATTACTCCTGTAACAGAATTGGGGTTGAACTAAATACAGAAGCCAATTTTGTATGTTCATTTTCATTTCTATAGGTGTAAATAGTAGACAAATGCCTGTGAACTTCATATCAGATGCCTTGCAAATACGTGGAGTAAAAAAGTAACTTATAGAAGCTCGAATAAGTAGAACAACTTAAGCATTTAACTACTGACTCGGAGCTGACAGTCTCACAAAATATTATCATGGCTCTGCATGATTTTATGATATCATCACATAAAATCACAGAAAATAGTAATTAAAGCCAACGAATCTCTCTTTGTTTCTGCTCCCCTGAAAGAAATCCAAATTATCAAAAAAAATAAAAAACAATTCATGTCTTCATATAAACTGCGAGAAAATGAAGGGGAATTTTAGGATTTTAAATGATACTAGTCAATTCTGGTAACAAATACATATAACTCACATTGTAAACAATAAATATCAAACGGGTGAACATTTGGAAGTAACAATGAATTTTACAAAAACCCAAATTATCCAATTAACTGCAGCATTGCTTAAGTAAGCAAGCGAAATATACACACACACACACACACATATATATATATGGAAGGCAGAAAAATGAAAGCCATTCAACTGTATAAAAAATAAACATCTACCTGCACCGTCTCCTCATAGGTAAATGCAGGATCATTCTTCATTTTCTTCTCTAGGAAATTTATTGCCTCTTGCTCTTTTGATCCAGCGCTTGTTGCCTATAAAAATTCACAATGAGTTCCCAAGCATTATTTTGAAAAATAACAGTCAGGTAGTAAAAAACATAACAAATAATGAAAAGAATAGCTCGAGTTCCAGGAAAGTAGCAAAATATCTTTTCGCTAATTAAGCCAAAACTAACACCTAACAGTTCGAGTTTATTATTTTTTTTTTTTCCCTGAATGAGTTGAAAAAATTTCGGTTAGAAGAAATTCAAAAAACCCCAATAAAATGTCAAAAGGATATAATCTTTTTAAAGTAGGTCACGCAAATAAATGCTATATGATAATAATAATAATTGAGATTAACTGGTGAAAGAAATATAATCCATAACTAGTTGATATGTCACCATGCTGCAATTTAGTCAATATCTAACTTCTTTGCAATCTAATCAATTCCAAGTCCATAGCTGGCAAATAAGTTGGGAACTTGGGAGATACTCATGGAACCACTTTGCTAAAGTATCAGTCCCGTAAATACAATAAGAACAATTAGTATTGCTCCAACACCATCTTAATTGCTTGTGGTTTTCAAAACTACTCCAACACACGAAGTAATGACAATGAACTGCCTAACCTGGGAGTGAGAAGAACTATGATTCAACTTCTGTTGGCCTCTACCTTTTTGATTCCTAGAAAGTGGGAACCCTTTAAGCTTCAAGCCCATGAGTCCATTATTCCTATCGAGAACAAAAAGGTTAAAATAGCTGAACACCGCGCCCCCCCACACCCCCCCCCCCCCCCCCCCCTCCCCCCCCCAATCCACCTAAACAATCTTCTATGACAGCTTATCCCTCCCACAATCTTCATTGACAGCCAAATCAGCAAGCCATGGTGATCTTCCAAGAAGAGATTGCAGACCATACAATGAATGAGTTTCCAGCTCTTGGCTAAGGTCAGGGATAAGTACAAAGATGGGCACATAGAAAATACAAAGTGTATGTCTATTTGATTTATTATATTATGTTATCCAAACAATATCGAAGTATTAAGGTAACATATTTACAAAATCTAGATGACACGGCATTAGAATATTATTTGTCTTCAAAGGGCCAAGGCAGTGAATGGTTTGGAAGAACATGAGTGTGCACATCCGAAGTAAACAAAAACTTATTCTTTTAGCTTGATAAATGTCATGGCATTCTGTTCACTACTTGCAATTTGTCCTCTTCTCATATTAAGTAAAGATAAATAAGTAAGTAAACTGCACAACAAGATTTGACACATGATGTGGAAAAAAAAAAAATTGATGCATATACCTTGTGACCAAAGAAATGACCAGCTGGATCACACTTAAAGAGCCGAGGCCCAAATTCATCATCAATACCCAAAACCATAGCGACTGCCAAAGATAAATATAGTTAATAATGCAAATAAGTTCAGTAAACAATCTAATGAACCAAAGAAATAAATAAAAATTTAAATTTGATGCATGATCATATGATATGGAGCCCTACTACAGGATATGTGATTTCATTATATGAAGCTCTAGAATAAAAATGGACTTTCACAACTGTGTAAACGACTAACACAAACCTACTCCAAGAGGTCTCATATAGGCATGTTGAGTATAAACTTGTGATTTGTCTGCAATCCTGCAAAAAAAATAATAAATAAAATGAAAAATAAAGAGAAAACACCAATGTAGTAGGTTGCATGAAATGGTTTTACAATTATGTCAAATGCAAAAAATAAATAATAATAATAATAAATAAATAATACTCTGACGGCAATATCATCATTTTTGAGCATTTCTTGTGAAGAGAACGGTAAGAGGGAAGTGGAGAAAAAATACGTGACTGCTTGGAAAACATTTAGCTATTTTATGAACCGATGAGTAATAGGCAAATAGCCACATTTTAGCTCTCAATAGTAATAATAATGTGAACATTTTTCAAGAAACAAAAGTATTTATTATTAACAGCATCCCTAATTAGGGGATTAGTTGTCCCAAGCATTAGTTGTGATGGTGAAAGTCTAGCAGAGAAAGCTCATTTGATAGCTCAGGGAAAGCCTCCACTAATTTATAAACAGACAAATATATTAAGAAATGTTTTTTGAGAAACAAAGGAATGTGCTATGTGCTCAACCACATCCATCACTTGCTTGGATACGTGTAAAAGAGTCACCATCGTCATTCTCGAGCTTTCAAAAGCTAGTTATATTTACTTATAAAAAACAAAAAGCTAGATAAAATGAAATTTGCAATATAAATGAGTATAATCCAAATATTGCTGACTCAGGAAACATAGAAAACCATACCAACCATGTGAATAAACAAACTTTACTTCCATATTCACTCGTAAAATCAAAGTGCATACTGGTCATTTCATAGAAGAAAAGGTAAAAGAACATCACAAAGAATACTGATGTATGAATAAATCGAAATAATTGAACAATATTTTTCTTGTCAACAACCTTGTGGCATGATACAGTCTGTGGAGTAACAAAGTTCATTAAAGTATTAAACTATCAATTCTTTGGAAAGGGGGAAAAAATGAAAAGACGTCCGATTTCATGAGACGTTCTTACAATAAAAATGCAGGAAAATTACAAAAAAGACATCAAAAATATTTCAAGCTCAAATCATATCAACACATTTAGTTGAACGACTGCTTTACAAAGAAATAACTGCATGGCATGTTAAATCGGCAAAATTTGATTTTAGTGAGAATATATCATTATACCATTTAGCCAATACGTCAACAGGCATCTCATATCCATATTTGAAACGAAACTCGGCAGCTTCATTCCTTGCTTGTTGAACCAAGGTCCTTGCATCAGCTGAAATGACATCCCAACCATGACTGAAGCTTTACTCATCCAAAAGAGCAATGAACACACTCACATTTGAATCTCATAAACCACTGATAATCAGTAAATGCTAAATTTGGAATGATAATTGCCTAAGGGTTACAAAGAAATGTGCTTTCTAAGCAGCCATATGTAAGCAACCGACTTTTATCCAACTGATTTCATTAAATTGAATAGCATCATAGATATTTTATCTTCATGTGTGAATTCCCTTCAATATAATAGGCAATCGAGCAGTCCAATCATGAAAACTTATGAAAAGTACTTTTAAAGTTACAGGTCTTCTCATGATATTCAGCACATCTGATGGATTAAATAGGGAATGTCAGCAAATTCCTTTTTGTACTATTCAAGGATGAAGCAATTATACTACTTGGGAATATAAAAACAAGTTACAGAACGGGAAATGCTAAATAGTCGAAGAGTATGGGGGGTCTATTTCTAGACCTAAAAAAGATGATGTTCAGGCATGTGAGGATTAACAGTTCGTGGTTGAGTCAGTATTAAAGGGAAGGGCATGCTCTATCTGGGAGACTTTGCTTACTTCTCTTAAAGTAGTAATATAACAATTATCAAACGTCTATGGTCTATGCTTAACTATATGATTTTCACTGTTACCGAAATTTCAAATTAGTTATGCCAAAATATCATTTGAAATGAACCTGTCATGCCAGTTGCTAATAACCCAAGGTACTTAGTAACCGGAAACAGATGTGTAACACTAGTCTGATCCAAAAGCTTGTCCTGCATAAGAATCCAGAATGAAAAGGCATATGTAAGTTCAAGTCAACAAAGAAAACATAGTTTCAATCATCAATAACCAACAATACTCACCGGAACCTTCTTCTGAGTTACAACGCATACCGAGTCCTTTCCTCGGACACCAATCGAAGTAATTCCAGCAGCTTTAACAGCTTTAAACGCATACTCTGTTCGCCCATTTAGAAATCCAAAGCTTTTCAGATTCTAAATATAGAATTATGTTTGCTATTTGGTACTTATAGATAGCAAAAACCTCACTCAACTATTGAAATAACTAAATGGCTTAGACAAATAAAACGTAAGACCTAATAATTTATTTTACTTTATTCTCCTTAAAATTTCCTCATCTAGCAAACGGCAATTAGTTCATCCGAAACCTAGTAGTAGATCAATCGAATCTGTAACAGTTTCAGATGTGGTTGAGAATTCATACCTACTTGGAAGAGACGACCTTCGGGAGAGAAGATCGTAATGTGACGATCATATCCACCTCCGCTTCCACGACTCATCTTTCAAATTTTCAATCCTTTCGATCTATCGCTAGGGTTTTGTGCTTTTGTTCACAGATTCAAGTTTTTCTCAATATACAAGTAACCTTCTTCATTCGTTTCTGAAATACGGACCCTCTTTGAATAAAATCGAGTTAAAAACAAACGACGTCGTTTACTCCTTTAATCAGTTTTACACTTGTATAATTCACGTCCGCCTTCAGGAAGTGTTAAAGTGGCTATGCTTGATAAACAAGTTTTTTCAAATAGAATTGATTGATTATTATCGTATTTATCTTTTAACTTTCTTTGTAATTTTTTTTCTTTATAATCATATTTTTGTAAAACAAATCTCTTATTTTATTTTTTTACAACTCTTCTTTAACTACAAATAGAGGTGGAAATTTGTAAACACAATAAAGAGAAAGTTGATAATAAAAAGTGAGGTAGTCCTTTGTGTGTCGATGTAACTTCTAATGGCTTATAAATTCTCTTGTTATTCTATCTTATTTATCTCTTCAACTTTTTATATATTTTAACATACTAGTTTTTGGTTTTCACAAGTTCATTCGTGGCTTTTCTTTTCAATTTAAATATATTCTTTTAATATTATTTTTAAGCTTCAAATAATTAGTGATTCAGTTGGTGTTTACGAATGGAATGTCTATTCCAATCATTCTTTTGTTTGATATGCAATTTAAAATGGGAATGATCATTCCATTGAAAATAAAACTCATTCGTGAAAATGAAAACCCATTTCACAACTAAACATACGAAAATGGTCATTCCATTTCCAAATAAACAAATTTTAAATATCAAATTCCTAAAACATCTCATGTTTCAAGTCTCAAAACCACCACCACAACCACCGCCGCCTTTCATATTTGCCACCTCTATTGCTTTTCACCACCATCATTGTCATCGTCATGTACCATTAATGCCGCCCTCAACCACTGCACCGTTGCCGCCTCCACTACCTTCCACCACTACCGTCAATTTCCACCACATTACCACATTTGACCATCACCACTTTCATTGCCTTCCACCATCATCATTGCCGCGTGCTACCATCGTCACCATTATTGTTACCACCGTTGTTGTCACCGCTACCGCCAACTTCCACTTCCACCATCCACCACTGCTGCCTTTCACCATGCCACCAGCACCACACCCGCTGCCGCCTCCACTTCCCTTCGCTGCTGCCGTACCTCCACCACCACTGCCACTATCGTCACCTCCATCGACTTCCACCACCACCGTTACCCCCTTCCGCCGCCATTATACCACTATTACTATCATTGCCTTCCACTATAATTACTTACACCACTGACACTTTCCACCGTCACTATTGCCACCACCTTCTATCAACTCCACTATCGTCACCACCATTGTTGCCTTCCAATACTACTACCTATATCATTACCAACTTTCCACCTCCACCGTTGTCATTTATTTAAAAAATATATATATGAGTTAAAATCACAAAAAAAAAAAAAACTTATCTACTTTCAAATTCGTGCATAAAATCCTTGGTAATTTTTATTTTATTTTATTTTTTTAAAAACCCATAAACTAACAAGCTTATCAAGTTACCACCAACACATATGACTGACTTGTTAAATGGATTGTGAAATGTCAGATTAAATCTTAATATTAATATTAAATTAAAAGCTACAATTATTGTTTTAAAATTACAAAAATACCCTATTAATTACAGTAAAAGCTATCAAATCAAATTTGACTTTCAAAGTACTAGGGAAAAAGATAAGGGTATTTTTGTAATTTTTAAAATAATAATTATAACCTTTAATTCAATATTAAATAGAAAGATAAAATTTGATATTTCACAATTCATTTTATGGGTTGGTCACGAGTTTGGCGGTAACTTGATAAGTTTTATCAATTTAGGGGGTTTTATGCACGATTTTAAAAGTTGAGGGAAGTTTTATGACTTTAACCCAAAAAAATATAGAAAATATTATTTTGTTAATTTAATTTATTTGTTACTAAGTTATTTTGGAGAATTCAATTTGAAATTCTTTTCATTCTAAAATTTAAATTGGTCAAACCAAACAATAAATAAATTTTATCATTACATTCTTGCACGTTTCATATTTACAACTAAACAATAAAATGAAAATAACAATTTTATTCCATTTCCATTCTCATTCTATTCCTAAAATCATATATACTTTAAAATTTGCATAGTAGTAGTTTTTGAACCAAAAAAAAAATCTTGCAAATAATAATAAAAAGAGCATAACAAGTAAAAAAGAGCATAACAAGTAAAACAACTCAAGTTCGAGTCTATAATTGTATAATTATTAAAAGTATTGTTTTACACCAGAATGTAATCTTAAATCGGTTAATTCAATAAAATTTACAGAATATGTTGGTGAATAGATGCATATCGTGGTCTCTAGCACATGAGATAATTTCACCACCTCAGTATCCATTCTAGTACTTTTACTGCAATCTAGGGTTTTTGTACGCGGACAATCATCGTCTTGAAGTATCTCTGTCTTCGGCCTCTGAAGCTTCGGATCTACTCAGCGAAGAAGAATGGGTCACTCCAACGTTTGGAACTCTCATCCCAAGAACTACGGTCCTGGTTCACGTACCTGGTGAGACTCATCTTCTTCATTTTCGGCTCTTCGACACGATCCATTAATCAAAAGCTTTTATCTTTTAATTTTTTGGTCAACATTTATGCTTTGTTGATTGATCTGAACTAATCGCGTGATCTAATCTTCTTCTCTTTAAATTCACATATGCTGATTTGAGCAGTTTGATTGGGTACTTCAATTTAAATAACTTGTTATTTGACTGGTTCACCACATTCCTCAGCTTTGGCAACAAATCAATGGGTTCTCACAGTTTTTAACAAGTTCAGAACTTTCATAACAACTGTGCAAGTTATATATACATATATATATGTATATAGACACACAAGTTCTAACGATGCAAGTTTTATATTATTCTAATTTTATTATTTTTTATTTTTTATGTTTCCCATTAATTTATCGCAAAATCGATGATTTATAACAATCTATTGTGATTATAATTTATTGGGTATTAAGAGTATTCCCAATGAAATGCGTGGAATGTTAAGCATAACACTCTTTGAGTGCTAACCACCCAAAATCGTTAGCTTGAAGTTTGGACTTTTGATGCAAATTAGGATTTATTGCTTTATACGGGATGTTTGGGAAAAAAAAGGAGAGGAATTTTAGGCTACTTGCTTTGTTGGTTTTCCTGTTTGCTGCATGGGACAAGTTAATTAAAAAACTTTGGATTTTTTTTCCCTTCTCTGTGTGTGCACTCTCACTTTTTATGATGATGTGTTTTTCCTGTGCTTGTGTTTCAGCCGTGTTTGTGGGAACCCTCATGGATTGATCAGGAAGTATGGGCTTATGTGCTGCAGGCAGTGCTTCCACAGCAATGCTAAGGCGATTGGCTTCATCAAGGTTAGTTTTAATGTTTGATGTAGATTATCGAGGGAGTAAATTATGTCGTACTTGTCATAGTTTAAACACAGATGAAAAGCACCATACATTCTGTAGGGTTTACAACTTTACATATATAAATGTTATAGTGTGAAGAAAACCGGGTATCCTGTCCCATGATCTGTGCAGATCTTCCTAGAAAAAAATGTAGTTCACGGAAATGAACATCCTTTCAATGTTTATAGTTAGTAATCTGTCTGCATTTTTCTTTTTTAAGACAGCCATACACCAATGTCATTTATGTTTCTTTCAGTTAAGGTTCCATCAGCGCCGGCCTTGTTGATAAGAAATACGCCACAAACTAAATTGCCTTGTCTACGTCAATATAGGTTTTGCATATATTCATTTACTAAATGAAGATATGTGTGAATTTATAGTTGTGTGAAGTTGACGATGAATGACATATAAGTTGATATTTTATTCAGCACCTACCATAGAAAATACATTTTGTTCCAATACCTGTAAGATAGATTTGCAAATTTTGCACGCATGGATACTTTTCTTTGATTTAAATATTTGTTTGCTGTTTTGATTATCCATTATTTATTTATTTATTCCTTTTATTTTTATTTATTTTTATTTTTTTCCACATTTCAGTACCGTTGAGGACAAGGTTCAGTGCTCAGAAAAAGAATGAAAGGACAGGATTCAGTTCTGGTTTTCAGTATGCAATTAAGGAAATGAAATTGAGAAATCTTTATTTGCTCTATGAGTCATTTTATAAATAAATTTAGATGAGGAACTTGTTATGGTTGTTTATCCTCGAGTACTCTGGACTATATCTTCAATTTTAGCGGATGTTGATGTTTAGTTTGTACAACAATCTAGATGCACTTTTTGGTGTTTTATGTATCACCCAGATATGAGTGCCTATTCACTATTCTTCAACATTTTTTAACGTGTCTTAATGACATTCCACTGATTTGGCTGCATGGGTGCTATGCTAATTTGCTTTCTTGCCAAAAAGGGCTTTAAGTAATTTGAAGTCATATAATTTCAGGGCCTCTGAAATAAAGTGCTCTTTTAGAGGTGGTTTTGACATCCCATGGATCTTGAACTGAAAGCACAAAGACTCTCAATGACATTCTACTGATTTACCTTCACAACAACTTACATATTATTTGATCATTTAATAACATCTTATTATTCTTTAAACATGAGCTGTGTTAAGAAGGCCTCGACTCATTTCATTGCAACCAAGGGGCACTCAGTCCCATTTCAACTGAGACTAAATTGTGCTTGCTGGTTCACAATAGTCCGATGGTAAATTCTGTGGCAGCAGCCATTTTATTGCTATCACCATTTCCTGGCTCCTTGTATATGGGGTGAGTAGCTGTACTGTTGATGTTATCTGTTTGCATGACATGGGTGAAAGGTTTTCCCAGGCTCAAGCTCGATTTATCTGTCTCGTAGACGGAGGATCGGTAATTCACTTATCCCAACATGTTAATATAGTCTTATACCTGTCTCCTCCTAACTGAGAGGTATATTTGTTCATGTTAATAGAATTCTTCTTTTGGCGTGGGTGGACTCCAAGCATCAGTCATCTGGTGAGTTTTTCTGTTGCCTTGCACTTGACATGGATGAACTGAGCTGTGACTTGCGAAGAAACATTTTTAGCATGGAGAGGATGTAATGAAAATCCCACAGGGAAGATTGATAAGCAAAATTTTAAAATTTTTATTTTTTTCCTTCCTGAATATCTCACATTTCACTTTCTACGGTTAAGATTTGACTTATCATGGCATTATGTGATTGGGGTAACCATGTCAGGCTTGATGAGGTGGTATCCCCGGGGACCCAATAATTTGTCGTGATTCAGCCACTGTTCAGGCTCGATCATTACCACTGTTCAGGCTCGATCATTAAGGAAATAAGAAATTATTAAATAGTTATGTCCAATCCAGACTCTCCGATTACCGGAACATCCCGATTAATCCGGACTCTCTTATTAATCATTTCTCTTAAGGTCCATAACGGGGTGTCCGGGTGCCCTCCACATCCGCGGTCGTGCGATGTCCCAAATTGCTCCTTACTATAAATCCAAATATCCAATGGAAGCAGATTTAGACGCTAGAATATAGGAGGCATCTCTGTCAGTCTTTAAGCAGGGGATGAAATCCACTCTTATTTTAACACAGGATAGATACAGATACAGTGTGTGCATCTCGGTGGGAGAAATGTGTTACTGCCTTTTCAAACTCTGAAAGGTTGACCTCAACAAAATCACATGTGAGTTTCAACAGGATTTTAAAGGACGGGGTACCAAATTGATTAAAATTTGAGGTTCTTATTTGTGACTTGTAATCATTAGGTGGTTAAAAAGATGTTTAAATACGAATATTGAGTGCATTATTGAAACAGGTTAAGTAGCATGGTTGAGATTAAATGAGGTAAAGTGAGAGAGTGAAGCAAAGAACCAAGTTGATAATGAATTAGAGACTGTATCTACCTATGTGATTTATACCGAGTTTTGAATAAATTAGAAGAATAAAAAATAAGATTTGTGTATTATAATTCAAGGGGTTGGCTCAACTGGGCAAGTCGGTGCCTTATGGGATATCAGATTTAAGGTTTGATCGTGCAAATAATTCCTTGGGGTGTGTATTATATATGTCTGGATGATGTGTATATAAATTTCATTAAAGAGGAAAAAGGTGTCAAAAAAAAAAAAAAATAGAGGGATGATCAAATCAAAAGAATTGGAAAAAAGAAGAAGAGAAATCTAATGCACATGGCTACGTGGCGGACCTTTTAAATCTTATAAAACCTTAATTGGATGCTTTCACAACTTAACCTGAAATGGTACGGAGTGGAGCCTGTAGCTCGGTTGAATCGAAATCTATGGAGACAGGTAGAACATAAGTGGAGCCTGTAGCTCGGTTAGATCGAAATCTATGGAGACAGGTAGAACATAAGAGGGAACAAGGGGACCATCCCCCAAAATTTCTAAAAATTCCATAATTTGGGCCTCTCTTTAAGGATCAAGTCTCCTCAAATTTGACATATGATCCCCAAACTTACTTTGACAAATCTGTAATAGGCCCCTACAAATCCATTTCGCATTCGATTCATCCAAATACCAATTTTTTTCATTGTAAATTTTTTTGAAGGGAGACGCAATTAATGAATTCTCCTCATTTAAAATTACTATATTATCATTTGAAGTTTGAATGTCTATATTATTATGTCTGGAAAATCTTGACAACTTAAAAGAGTATTTATGAAAATATACATATATCTTCATTTCACCATTCAAATGAAAAATGAATAATTAAATCGAAACAAAAGGGGTGAATGAAGTATATGTTAAAATTTGTCGCACAAAGGTGTTGGTAGGAATTCAAGAGGTAAATTTTTGAGATCTCATTTTTGAACAACTCTTGTGACTTAAATGATGCGTGTAGTGTAAGATCGATACACGTGCCTAAGGAGGAAATATATATATATATATATATATATATATATATATATATATTATAATAATTTTGAATGTTTTAAAACTTTGGGTAAAGTATAGCCACACCTAAAAGTTCAAAAATAGATAAAGACATTCATTTACATGATAAATTGATCAAATTATCATTTGACCGTTTAGGAGACTTTTTTAACTTTACAATTTAATAAATTGGACCAATCTACCCTCATGAACAATTTATTATATTGTTCACTTCTTTTTTTTTTTTTTTTTTTTTAAATGTCCCAACTTCTAAAAATTGTAGGCGTCTAAAATGATTTTTTGATTCAATACATATATTTCAAATAAATTATATTTTATTATTACTTCTTTTCTTTTTCTTTTTTTATTTTTAAATTAAGATGCTTAATTCTTTTATCTAAAAAAAATTAAACCAATCTCTTTTCCTTAAAAATAAAAAATATAGTACCAGTATAACTTTATGCATCTTAAATTATATATCAAATATTATGCATTTTCCAACATAAAAGGGAAAAAAATAATAATAAAACAAAGGGGGAAAAAAAAAAAAACAAAGGCATGCATAAAGTTAAGATGCTTAAAGTTATACCGGTACCTATTTCTTTTATATTGAAAAATGCATAATATTTGATATATAATTTATGATGCATAAAGCTATATTGGTACTATATTTTTTATTTTTAAGGAAAAGAGATTGGTTTAATTTTTTTAGATAAAAGAATTAAGTATCTTAATTTAAAAATAAAAAATAAAAAGAAAAGAAGTAATAGCAAAATATAATTTATTTGAAATATATGTATTGAATCAAAAAATCATTTTAAATGTCTACATTTTTAAGAAGTTGGGACATTTATAAAGTAAATAACAAAATATTCATTAGGGTAGATTGGTACAATTTATTAAATTGTAAAATTAAAAAAGTCTCCTAAATGGTTAAAAGGTAATTTGGTTAATTTTTCATATAAAGGGGTGTCTTTGTCCATTTTTAAACCTTTAAGAGATGTCTCTGCCTAAAAAACAAATAGATAATGTTCTTTTATCAAATCTCAGAGGATTTACCTAAAACTTTTGTAGCTGTACCACTAGGCTCCCTCAAACCGAACTTCTCAGGTCCACCCCTCTATGGAGATCTTCATGAAATCAAAATTGTTGTGACCAGACACACTGTTGACAAACGGTGCCATTCATTTCACATGGACGTGAACTTAACCAAGCTGTGATTCTACCCCATTTTGATTACGTAGGACCCCTGGGCCCATACTCTTCACTAATTCTCACATTTTTCACATCTTTTGTTGGGTTTTTTGTCCGCAACAGTCAATTTTGATGGAAAGACACCTATGTAGCAAAGGTCAGAAAAAGCAGGTGGACAGGAGTTAGTCTTCTTCGATTTTGTTTGTATCCCTGTTGGAACTAGAAAAAGTTTTTTTTTGTGGTGTATATACACCTCAATTTTTCACCGTCGATGGTCTTCCAAAGTAGTAATCTTCAGTTGACATATCTAATCCTGCGGTGGACAATGGATTTATATAATGGGAGAGATGGTAGACTAAATCTAGGTGAGTAGGAGTCTACGATATAAAGGTAGATTCTGGACCACGGTGGTCCTGATCGGTCGCTGTTGGTGGACCTCCGAGGTCGGTCTACCAAATTATTAATAGTATAAACGTGGGCTGTGGCGGACCATACGCCAATCAATCCTTATCACTTAATTATTGCTGGTGTTACGCAATTGGACCTTAAAAAAATAGCATTAGTGCTCTCAAATTGCATCGACATAATCAATGTTTCTCGGCTCAACTGAATCATATCACTGCATTAGTAAGCAGCATCATCATCATCTTTAATTTTGGTTTAATCGTATGAATGGGTTGGCTTACATAAATTTTCTTATTCAGTCTTTGTCAACTTTTGAAAAATCTTCCATATAGAGATGTCAATGAGAGGGGTTTCACTCTATTGTCAAACTCATTTCACAAATAAAAATCTTTTATTAGATTCACTCCGCATCATCGTTAGTGCAATTTTAGAATACCTCAATATGCATATTTTTTTAAGAAAAACAATTCAAGTTTGAACAAATTTAAGATGAATTTGATAATAAATAAATAAGTATAGTCAATATTTAACCATTATAATAACAAAAACAAGGTTAAAATTTATAATTACCATAAGAAATGAAGGAAAAATAAAAATTATAAATAATAAAAGAAAATTTATTTATATATTTTTTAATACTCCGGACGGGTTCAAAGCTTGACTGGCTTTAAACTCTTTTTTCAAACTCGTTTCTAACCTTATTAGGGTGATTCCAAACCTTGTTTCAATAAGAGCGAAACAGAATAACAAAGTTGAATCGAATTCTCGACATGGATGAAGTTGAATTGAATTCTCAAGTCTAATAACTTGACTTGAAGTTGATTTTTGTTAGTTAAAAGTTCAACTTAAAATACTACATGCTCCATGTGTCTCTTAAAAAATGTTCACCTTTTTTATTTTTAGCTGTCTCAAAATGAATGTCTCAATTGAAAAGTCAATTTTTTTTTTTGGTAACATAGTCAATTTATTTTTTTTTGCATTGAATTTATAAAAAATAAATCATTACATCATTGTTGATTCACTGTGAATAAATTGATAATCCAGTTGCTAAATTGAGTAATCAAACAAGCATATGATTAGGTTGTAGAGAGCCAGAGTGAATTTTTCTATTGCAATTTGCGACAATGATTGAATGCTGATTGAACCAATACAAGCAAAAGTTAAATTGATACTTTTTAAAAAATATATAAAGAATTAACAGCAAAACTAAGAAAACCTTGGAATTGCTCATCTTTTTGTGAACTTTGGATTCCACTGTAATTTTTTTTGAGCCTAAAGTTTTCTAGAATTATTAAAGTTTGACTTCTAATTGATTTATTTCCTTTCAGTATTTGAGACTGTATATATATTTATATAATGTTACTATAATTATAAATAGTATATATCTTTTTATACATTTGGAATTCCGAGAAAATCAAGGAGAAAGTAGACGATTGGAATAGTTTAGGGTTATTTTTGTCATATTATTTATAAATATATATAAATAGAGTGTCTGAGTATTATTTTGGAGTGCAAATAACAATACTTTTAAAAAGACAATTTAGTAAATTCATGAACTTCTAAGGAAAAAAATAAACTAGTTGAGGTTGTTAAACTAAAACTCATTGCATTCAACTTCTATCACCTTCTATCAAAAAAATTCTATAGAGTATTATTCAAGATCGAATTCTTACTTGATAATTAAACATTTAAAAAGGGTTTTGACAGAATATTGCTATATGCCTGACCTATTGCTTCGTCAATGATAGCAATACAAAGTGCACAGCCCCTAAACTAAAACATGCTTAACTTGTCAGTTGTCGCTTCATTATTCGGTTTTGGATAGATTAATTCAATCCATTATAGCAATGGGTGCCACGTGTCGGAGATCGACTGGCTGTTACATATTCAATTAATTTATCTGCCACAGTTCCTTCTCTTCGTCTTCGCTTCTCTTTCAAAAAGGACAAGCGTCGGTCACAGTCAATGGCACTCCGGTACAATCCCCCTCTTCACGACATCGTTTTCGTCTCCTTTTCTTCACACACTCTCACACTATTCACTTATTTCTCTACCCTAAACCTCCGCTCTATCTCCGTCCTCAACATCCTTCACTCCCACCGGAGACATTCTCGCCGGAAAACACCTACGGACAATTTCCGATTAAATGGCCGACGAGATTGCGCAATCGGTCGAGTCCGGTCTCAAGCTCTCGAAACGGATTTACTACGGAAAAGAACGGTCGCCGCCGACGCCAGCTGCGATGGAGAGGTCGTCGCCGGAGACGTACGTTCCGACGGCGCCGATGGTGTATGCGGTGATAACTGAGCCGTCGATTGTTGATAATCCGGACATTCCGAGCTACCAGCCGTACGTGTACGGCCGCTGCGAACCGCCGGCGTTAATTCCGCTTCATATGCACGAGATTGCTATGGAAGTGGACTGTTATTTGGATACTGCGTTTGTAACGGTGAGTGGAACCTGGCGTGTTCACTGTGTTGCTGCAAGCAAATGCTGTGATTGTCGCATTGCCATACCCATGGGCGAGCAGGTATTGACTATTTTATTTTATTTTATTTTGTTTGTCTTTGTACTCTCGTTTTTTGTGTTTGTGCTGGGAATTTAGGTTTTTGTTTATTGATTTTTTTTGGCGTACTTAAGAATTCGTTATAATTTGTACAATCAACGGGTCAAGAAAAGAAAATTTGATGTATGCTAAATTGCTAATGTATTTAATTATCTAAATCATGCTTAAATTGATAATCACACCTTAAGAAAATTAGATTATATGGATGATTAGTATCAAAATCATCAAACTGAATGCCAAAGGAATAAACACTAGAAAATTTCCCAGATGAAAAATGATTATTTTGAAAAATTTGCCTAGAGACATCAATCCCCAGTCCAAGTGGCTCCCGTCAAACATGATGGTTTCTAAATCATACAGGTTTTGTCCCCAGTAAGTCAACCCAGAATCCTCACTGTTTTATTGCTTTCCTAGATAATTAGAACACGCAACCTATGAATTCAGTTGTCTTATTTAGCTGGTCATTATGTGATTTTTCCCTTCTTGGAAGGGTCTTTATTTATTATTATTTTTAAATGTAAATTTGTTGTGTGACACTGATTTGTGGTTGGTAATGATTTTATCGATCTTTGCGTTATTTGGGATTTCATTAAAATTGTACAATTCATGATTTATCTGGCAACTAATGTTGCTTTGCAACAGTCCTTTTACTGTTTCTTATTGGGAGTTTTCATGCTTCAAACAAACTTGTTGCGTCTCCTTCAATCGTTGTAGTGCATAACTTAAGCATGAAAGAATAAGCTGTTGAAAATGCTATTGCTTATCTCGATGCTCAAATGTTGGAAGGATTTTCATGTTACCTGTAAGATGGTTTCTTTCGTATATTTTTTAGCTTTCTTATTGTAAGGTCTTAAGAAAAACATGATTTGGCTAACAGGGTTCAGTTCTAGGTGTCGAGGTTGAAAGTTCAACAAGATCATATTACACTCGGCTGATCACAACTGAAGATACAGAAGATAGTAAAAAAGTAGATAAAGCTAAAGACGGATGCTTATTGAAAGGCCAGATATACACACTAAAAGTTCCTCAGGTTATTACCAAGTCCGCCTGATGGTTATTGTTACACTAATTTCTTTCTTCTTTTTTAGAATTTTTTTCTTACTAATATATATTTATGGTTTGCTCCCCACAAGGTTGATGGTGGGTCCAAACTTTCTATGAAAGTCACCTGGTCTCAGAAGTTATTGTATCATGATGATCAGTTCTGTCTCCATTTACCATTTAGCTTTCCAGCACATGTCATACCGGTTGGGAAGAGAATTTCTAAAAGAGAAAAGATACTGTTGAATGTGAACCCTGGTACTGGGACAGAGCTTTTATGCAAAACTACTAGCCATCCTCTAAAGGTACGTCAATATTGAAGTTTTAGTTTTGTCATGGATTTAAATCAAATGACAAATTTTTTTCTTGTTTTTCAGGAATTAAGACGCGAAGTTGGGAAATTAAGCTATTTATATGAAGCCGAAGTTTCGACATGGTCTATTACTGACTTCAATTTTTCATATACTGTAAGACCTTAAACCTGGATTGTTTTCGTTTCTCATCTCTTACCACGCCTCATCATTGATTCAAAGTAGTTCTCGGGATTGTAGATGATCATAAACTGATGACATCAGATGTGCAAGGCCCTGCTCTGCAGAAGGGATTTATTTCTTTTTTTTGTTTTGTTTTGTTTTGTTTTTTCCCCCATTGCTTAATCTCTTGGTTGGCTACTGCATTTTCAGGTTTATTCAGGCAACATGTTTGGTCGTCTTCTCTTGCAGTCCCCATCTCTGCATGATATTGACCAGAGAGAGATGTTTTGCTTTTATCTTTTCCCAGGACTTAACAAGAGTCCAAAGGTTGGTTAACATTTATATGTCACCTGCAGTTTTTAAAATTTTCATATTCTTACATTGCCTTTATATATGTCTAGTTGGATTCCACAGATGGAGTTTCTATTGTATGAGTTGTTTGTAGGAATGCATTTTTGTTTATTATACTAACACGTCATATCTTTCAACTTTATAATTAGGAATTGGGGTGAATAGGTCTTGATAGTTTGTTCAACTAACTTTAACTACTTTTTAAGATTTTGTTTTAATTAAAGAAGAACAATAAATTTAAATTTACTCAACCTATCAGGTATTACTCATAAAAACCTATCAAAGATATAATAAGTAAGCAATAAAAATAAAGAACACAATGAGTAAAAGGATTTTTTCATGGAAACCCAAGTGGGAAAAATCCATAGGACTTGGGCCAGACAGATCAAATCCACTTAAAAAAATAAATTTACACAAGGTTAACAATTAATAAACCCAGAATTCCTAGTTACCTTTTGACTTAAACCAATCCACCAAACTCTCCACTTGATTGTTTAGGCTTCTGTTCACACATTGTGCTCCTAGCGCAATCTGCTTCTCCTCTAGTACTTTGATCTTCTAGTCCACTTTTTTACACCAATCTCTATAGAGTGATTTAACTTGGGTTGAACTCCAACTAAGCACAACAGCAGGTCCAGAGGCCCTCAACTGATCCTTGATTAATCGAAGTCCCCTGCCCTTGTGTGCTTAGAAAATTTTCAAACATGGAAGTTTCCTAAAACACAAAATGCATATTGAAAATGATTTTTCCAGATTTAATATGAGATTATGACACCCTAATTGATGAATGCATGAACCCCAGTTTTGGTGAGCGTAGAAATGAGTGTCAACTTACCTTTACACCCTTGGGTGCGTAGATGACCTTTTTCTCCTTGCTTATAGCTTCAATTCCAACCCTTCCCTTGGGCAAGACGCAACTAACTTGATTCTAACCAAGTTTCAAAATTTTAATCGAGAGCAAATATAAATAGTTACAAACTCTACTTTTGACACGAAATTTGTCAACCTAAGTCCTATTTTGCAAATAAATTAATCTCTGCTGAAGTATTTTTCAGCTAACTTTTATTTTGCTCTTTTTCTTAGGGAATCTCCTATATATGTACATCTCTGTATCAAATCAATAATAACAACCAGTAATATTGTATGCAACAAGTAGAACTGCAAAAGATAGCACAAATGGCTTTCAAGAGCAGAAAATCTATTGAATTTGGTAAAATCCTTGGTAAATCCCCTTCATAAATGAATAAATCAGAAGTAATGTTTGATTTGTGAAGTACCTACCTACTTATGCAATTTTCTATACTGCCAGGTTCTTAAGTCTTACAACCTTCTTGTTATTCACATATTACAAGAGTATTTCGTGAGCTTACTGCCTGCACTATCTAGCGGTATGAGCTGAACAAACTTGACATTTGGCCCTTGGAGTTTAAGATAAAACATTTAACCCATGTGCTCTTAGCTTTTATCTTTTCTTCGTAAGGTGGTAAACTTACATGCTTGAACACTTCCACTTTTATAGTTTTATACAGAAGATTGTTGTAATGATTGTTTATTGTGATTATCAATTTTTAATATCGTTTTTTATACTTACAAATGTGTGTTTCTTTTTATTTTTATTTTTTATATAAATTTTTTCTAACTATTCTGCCATTGATCTCTATATTTCTTGTAATTGTACCATTTTCAATCCTAACTCCAGTCTAGTGAATTGATAGGTTTTCAAAAAGGAAATGGTATTTATAGTTGATGTAAGTGGAAGCATGAGGGGAGTTCCTCTTGAGAATGCAAAAAATGCATTAGCAGCAGCTCTTTCTATGCTCAATCCAGAAGATTCTTTTAACATAATTGCTTTCAATGAGAATACTCGATTATTCTCTTCATCAATGGAGCTGGCATCCAAAGTAACAATTGAAAATGCAATGCAGTGGATTAACACAAATTTGATCGCTGATGGTGTTACAAACATTTTGCTTCCCTTAAATCAGGTAGCTAGAAATTCTCACATGCCCTGTAAATTATTCTCCAATTATTATATGCCCCTTCTTTCTAGCATTCGATTCTGATTTTAAGTTAGTCATATTATAACAACGGTGATATACATAATGTAACAAAGTTACTTGGGCTGATTAATTATGATACAAAAATAAAGCAGGAAATGGCGGGAGCCTCGTGCATAGGGTTTGTCCCTTTTTAAAAATATAGCAGGAAAAATGTGTATTTAACTTCTCTTTTTAGCCGCTTGACTTCTATATCATATTGTATTCAATGAAACAAGAAAATGGCTACTGTAGCTTTTTTCTCTTGCTAAATATGTGAATTTATGCTTGTCAGAGTTGTTGTCAGAACCATAGTGACGTAGCCTTTACAATTTATTTATTTTTAAATTTCTGTGGTTACTGTGATATACATGTATTCCCATGTACATCTATGCCCATGCTGCTGTACTTTAAACAGATTATATAGTTAAGATCATTTGGAAGGTGTCACTCCTTTTTGTGGCTCATGAGAGTTGTTCTTCGTTTGGATGGCTTAGATTATGGGACCAAGAACTTAATTTGGATGGCTTGAATGATAGGAATGAGAGCTCAAATTGATCAATTTTTTCCTCTCTATGTCCCATAACTTGTTGATTTTGCCACATTCCATAGACACCTCCAAATGCTGCAATGTTAATACTCAAATCTTTGCATTTCAGTAACATCTCCTTATCTTGGAACTTTATTAGGTTTTTTCTCATGCTTTGATTTATCTCAGGCAATAGAGATGGTGGCCAAAACTAGTGATGCAGTTCCTTTCATTTTTCTCATTACTGACGGGGCTGTTGAAGATGAAAGACACATTTATAATGTTATGAAAGGTCACCTCATAAATAGAGGATCAATTTGCCCTCGAATTTGTACTTTTGGCATAGGTAAGGATTTTGGTGTTCTGGTTCCACTTTTTTGGGTTAAAAATAGACCTCTATATTTTTTATGGTGTCATACCCAATATATTTTTGCAGTATGTGTGTGTGTTTGGGCATGAGTGCACGTGTGCTAATAGGCATCTTCATGTTTGCATGAATACAAAGACAGTAGTTGTGCATGTTTAATGGATATTATGTCATAAGTTGTCTAACCAAATGTTATTGACACCTTCCTATCAAATTTCCTTTATAACTTGGGCTTCGAGAGGGAAGAGCTAGAGGGTCCTATGGGCGTTGTCGACATGAAAAATGATGGATTTTAACCACTTAACAAAACAAGATCACCAAGGAAAACACTTTATGTATGACATAAATACAATATTAGTGAAAACTCATTTTCCTGGGTTTAAATCACTGCCAGATTAAGTGGAAAATTATTTATTTTTATAATGAAACAACCCAGGTATAATGAAGAAATCCCATTTTCTTCGTGTGGTTCAATAATTTGTTAATGTCATCTATCTATCTTTTCTTTTTTGATTTCTTTTTTGGCAACAAATATACCTCCAGCTCTAACCAGAATTGTCATCTTGCTGACTCTCTGGGTGTTCTTTTCTCTGCCGTTTTAGGGTTGACATGAAAGTTTGCATTGCGGTTAATTATTGTGAGTGCTTTTCAGTATGGAGTTAGACTTAACCAGTCGAGCAAATCATCTCATTGATGTGCTGGTGTTTTTGTTTAAACTGCACCTTCTATTATTCAAATGTGATTTGCTAAACTTTTTTTTTTTCCTGAATGTTGGAAGTTTTTATTGATACATAAAGAAATAAGGTACAGAGGATAAGTGGACTTATCAATCCACATGAGAAAATTTGAGAAGACTAGTCTCAGACATACCTTTGACTAGGAAAAAGAATTCATAACAAAAGATCAGAAAATACTAGGCAAATCTAAAAGAGAAATGCCTACAGAGGTCAAACCCTCTAGGCAGGCTTCCCTAGAAACCTCTTCTGCAGTGGAAGTAGCCCCACCTTGAAGAATTTTGTTTTTGTTGTTCCAGAGGCACCACACAATGGAAGTGAAAAAACATCTAGTGACTCTTGTTTTGACAGTGGAGTTCTGGCAAGAATGGACAAACCAGTGCACTAAAGCATCAAAAGAAAATACACTTCTCTGATTATCCCATTTGCATAAATCAACAAACCAAAACCAAACCTGTTGTGCAAAATTGCAGGACCAAAAAAGATGATCATTGGTGTCTTCTCTTCTGTAGCAATTGTGTGGCACAAAGAAGTGAGAGTAATACCCTGTCTCTGCAGATTTGCTCAACTTAACTCAGCGAAGTTTTTGTTCCGACCATTTGGGTTCAGCCTTTTATGGCTCTACTTCTTTCTTGAATCACTTGCTAACAGGTCTTGCTCACTACCTCAACTCATGTAACTTTTGGTTTTACCTTTGTTTATATAACCATATTTTCCCCTGAACCATGTCCTTGTTGTCAATTGTCCATGGTATAGTCACTGTTTTCAATACTTGTGGGTAAATAATGTTAGCTGACACATTGTGATCTTGTCCACATCTTTTTCAGCAAGGGCAATGATGGGCTATACAACTGGTGGTAGCCCTCCTCCTACCCATAAATCCCTCAACCTGGAAAACAAGATATGGTCCGAGTCTCTAACTCGAGTACAATAGACTTCACCAGCTAGCTAGTTGACGCCTTAATCTTCTCTTATTTGATTAGTAATCAAATTTGCATGAATTTATTTATTTGATATTTTTTTGGCCTTTCATTCATGCAAATCCCTGTAGTTATGCCACAGCCATGGCTATTAGCTACCTTAATCTATGGAGTGTCGATATTATTTATTTATTTTAAATAAAAAATTTCCAATTGATTTAATTCTGTAAGAAATATTTACAGGCTCATACTGCAATCATTACTTCCTGCAAATGCTAGCACAAATTGGGAGGGGCTTGTATGATGCTGCATATGATGTAGGTCAGTTGTATTATTGACTTCATGTGTAACAGTATTTTCTTCTTTTTTATCTTTCTTTTTGGTGGTTGTGTGTGTTATATGAACTAATCTAGTTATTGTGTCCTATAAAATGACCGATTCACTAAAATTGAAAGGAAAGTCTTTAGTTTGGAGCTTAGTTGCTACGATAAACTCTTTAGATGTTCGTGCTCCAATTTTAGTTTAAACTCAGAGGTTCCATCTGTGAAGTAGTTTCTACACCAGCAAATGAAAATAAAATCCAATCTGTTTGTTAAATTACAATAAAGATGTTTAAGAATGATTATAACTATTTCATTTTATAAATAAGAACAATGATCATCTACTAATCCTTCTCATTGAAGTCATTTCTACTAATAATCTAGCTTCTAAATGTGTTTATCACTATCAGCATTTTGTTTGATTGTTGATCGTCATCAAATCTACTATGAATGCTCAAGAAATATGACCTTTTTTTTTTTTTTTTCGCTTCTATGCAGTTGTCTTACTTATCAAAAAAAAAAAAAAAAAAAAAATTATGACCAGTTTTCTCTTTCTAATTCTGAACTCCAATAGATAGTATTCACTGGGTCCCATTTATCACTGAACCAGAAGATAGTTTTCTTTAAAAATAAAAAAAGAAAAAAGGAGAGAGAAAAAATAATGAACAAATAAATACCGAATCTTTATGAAAATTCTGATCAAATAGGTTTCAGAAGAATAATAAATGGAAGATGGTCAACTGATTCTGCTAACCTCTTATGTCTTAACGAAGTACAATTAGTTGGAGTAATCAACTTTCTTATTCATTGGCTAGCTGTTTTAGAGGAGGTTTTTCCACTGGTTAAGCTTTGTATATATATATAATTTTGATAAGTAAAGATATCAAAGAAAGCGCTCAAAAGGGGAACGCATCCCGAAAGAACAACAACGAGACCAAAAAAAAAGGCCTCCAAGCCCTCAAAGAGGCCAAAAAAACAACAATATCCTCTAGAGATCTATAATCTCTACTAGAAACCCAACAAAAAAGAATTGCAACAATAGAGAACTTAAGAAAAGAAATAGGTTTCTCAATGCCATCAAAATATCTCCTATTCCTCTCCAACCAGATGCACCACCAAACACTAAGAGGTGAAGCCCTCCAGGCATCATGAATATGAGCCCCCGTCGAGAACCCTCGAGAGGAACGAGGCATGACCCAATGAACACCAAACAAACCAAGCATCAAGTCCCAATAATCTTTGGCAGTGGAGCAATGCAAAAGAAGATGGTCCACTGTCTCCTCATCCCGAAGACACATATAACATCGATTGACCACCACCTGAGTTCTCCTTCTTAAATTGTCTTGGGTTAAAATGTTTACCCAAAACAGTGGTCTAAGCAAAGAAGGCCACCTTGAGAGGAGCCTTAGAGTGCTAAATAGACTTCCACGGTAGGGATATCCTCCAACCCGCTGGGTTTCCGCCCCGTTCCGCTCCTAATGGGGTGGATTTGGTAACTCTATAAATTGGTTTGGGGCGGATATGGTAAAAGAATTGAAAACCCGAGCGGGTTTGAGGCGGGAGCGGATTTAGTGATGCCCCCACCCCACCCCACCCCCGCCCCGACCCGATTATATATATATATATATATATATATATATATATATATATATATATATATAAAGTATATATTTAAATTAAGTGTCCATTAATATATTTTGATTAAATATTCGCTAGAGTCACTACTTACTAAAATTCCACAATTGTGTACGTGATTCAATCTTCAAGAATTAATCAAGGATTCAAGACCTTAGTATTCTATCCCAATTCTAGGAATTAATTCAACAGTTTCAATTTTACAGCAATTAAATAGAGTATGCGGGGCGGAGTCGGTATTTTGTTTACTGGAGTAGGGGCGGGGATGGTGTACCAATTATAAACCCGTCCCAGAGTTGGAGCGGAGTTGGTATGATGAATTTTTTAACGGGGCGGAATAGGGTTTAGCCAACTCCACCCCAACTCCGCCCCGTTGCCATCCCTATTCCACGGGAAGCCCCCTCCAGGCTCCACTGTGAGACACCTGAAAAAGGAACGAACATTAAAGCGACCTTGCGCATTGGGAGTCCAAATCCAACCATCAGAATCACCAGCCATGACACCCTGTCGATACAACATCTCCAACAGATGAGTGGCATCCTCAACCTCCCAATCCTGAAAAGGACGCCTGAATTGAACATCCCAAACCAGACCTTCGCTATCAAGCTGATAGCAGTCGATCACTCTGGCCTGCCTATCTGGAGCAATCCTGAAAAGCCGTGGGAAAGCGAGAGCAAGAGAAATATCCCCACACCAAACGTCTTCCCAAAATCTGATCCATTTGCCATCTCTGAGACTAAAGCGACATGAATGGAAAAATCAGCCCAGCCCTTCCGAATACATTTCCAAACCCCCACACCGAGCGCCACGAACCTCAAGAGAGCACCACCCTCCTCAAAACTACTCGCAACGACCCTCCTCCAAAGCCTATGTCTCTCCACCCCAAATCTCCACATCCATTTCCTCAGGAGAGCTTTATTGAAAGGCACCAATCTACGAAGACCCAACCCTCCATTACGAATTGGCGTGCACAAGTTTTATTACTGCATTCTAGGAGGCACTTAAATTCTGAGGCATAAGTTTTTAAATGTTTATTATTCGTTTCAACACGCATTGACGGGAATTTTGGAGCAAAATAAAGGATCTAATTCAGTTATATTTTTCTTCTTTTATTTTGTATGTTTATTTGGTCAGATTCAATCAACTCTCGAATGCAAAGATTATTCAACACTGCTTCATCAGTCCTTCTTGCCAATGTAACAATTGATGCTTTGGAACAGGTTGATTCTGTTGAGGTACACAGATCCTTACCATATTGAGGTGGCCACATTTATTTTTTTATGCTTATACTGGGTTTATTTATTTACTAGGGGTGGCAAACGGGCGGGTTGGGTCGGGTCAAATATGGGTTGTGAACCATATTCCACCCGCTTGTAACGGGTTGAATATGGGTTGGGTCAAAATGGACCGGGTTGACTTGTCATGAGCCACTAACTTGTTTTAGGCGGAAAAAATGTTATCATTTTGGATAATCGCATAATTATATATTTTTATTTTAGATGGATAAAAACTTGTAAAAAGATGTATATATAATAGTAAATCCTTCAATTTCTTTTAAAAATTCTTTAAATTTATATTATTTTATTTCATGAATAAACATGCATGAAGGTAAGATATATATATATATAAATCTTATATGAAATCATTTGTTAAGCTTTTTATAGAATAAATAATTAAATGAATACAAACAAATACATTGTTTATGTGTTGTGTATGTAGTAGAGCAATACTATAGTACTACAATGAATTTTAGAGAAAGAAAGAGGATGATGGAAAGAGAATCTTAGAGATAATTTTAGAGTGAGAGAGAGTGGGAGATACATAGAGAATTTGGGATCATGTGAGAGAATTTTAGTGAGGAAAAAGAGGTGGATTTGAGTCAAATAGAGGAAGTGAAATTGGGCCTCTTATATAATGAGTGAAATATGGGTCAAAATGGGTGACCGATATTCAACCCGTTTAACCCTCTATAAAAATGGGTTGAATATGGGTCACCCATTTTGACCCATATTTTAAAATGGTTCACCCATATCCATTTTAAAGCGGACGGATATGGGTGGGTTAGTGGGTCATGACCTATTTTGCCACCCCTACTATTTACTAAAGTTATGAGAAATTCATCTGACAGCACAGGGAACTATTGTTGCCATAATCAATTTTCTAGGCTGTTCTATTGGTGACACCACTTGTTTGAGTCATGTTTTCTATAGTTCATATCTTATTATTATTTGAATGTCTGACCGCATTTAAAATGTAGCATTATCATTAAAATAGCAAAGATGGGAACAAAAACTGAAATTCTACAGATAAGTTAACCATTATCGTAGATGAGTCTATGTTTGAAGATGTCATTCTTCTTAAAGTAGGCCATTGCAGGTGGATTGCTAAAATCCCGACCTGGCAGGCATGAGAAAACATGTCAAAATTTAAGCATAGTTAAATAATGTTTGAGGTTAGGTACGGTGGCACCCTGCATTGGTATGACCAAGACTGGGTAGTGGTGTTTTTTTTTCCTTCTAAGCACGGATTGAGATTTCTGGAGATACTAGAGTAACTAGACAAGTACTTTCTTGTGATTTTGTTTTGACTGAAGCTGAATAGTTGATTATGATTGCCTTGCAGTCTCTTTCTCACTTCTATTGAAGGCATCAGAGCCTAGCTGTAAATGGCCAAGTAGAAAATGGATATAGTTAAGAATGATTAGTAATCTAGACTTTTTGTTTTTAAGTTGAAGATAAAGTGCCATGGCAGGAATGGAGGACAAAGATCAGTATTGTTTAAGGTCAAGAATTGCACAAGGCACAGTGCATCTGACTATGTATTATTGTTGTAGTTTGATTCATGCCTAATTATATACAATCATCTGCAAGAATTATTACTAAATCAACCAATTAAGAAGTTACTCAAACGGCATTTAAATGTAATTGTTAGCTGCATCCATGACAGTTGAATTCTCTTTGTTCCTCTTGCAGTTGTACCCGTTTCATATTCCTGACCTTTCATCTGAAAGCCCATTGATTGTGTCAGGCAGATACCATGGAAACTTTCCGGACTCTATTGAAGCTAGTGGTATCTTGGCAGACATGAGCAATTTCACAGTAAATGTGAAAGTGCAAAAAGTAAAGGACATGCCACTTGACAAAGTATTTCTTCAACTTCTGAATTTTGTATTTGATTGAACTTGTGATTTTTTTTTTCTCTTTCTAAGTCAGTATTATTTATTGCATCATAAGTAATTTTTTTGGAGAATGCACCCACCTCCCCCATAATAAAAAAAATAAAAAAACAAAAGAAGAAAAATATATTTATGTTTTTTTTTTTTTTTTTTAATCCCCTTTCTAAATGACAAGGTATCATGGTGCTCTCAAATTTGTTTTGGTACTTAATATATATTGGACATCTTAATCATCAAGTTTCTGGTGGCAAGTTACTTCCTTAGTACATGGTCTCGCTGATGAACTATTCTTGCTTCCTAAATCTCCATCTTCCTGAATAAAATTTATTTATTTCTGATTTTACACTTTGTGATATTGGTCTTCTGGTTGAATTTTTTTTTTTTTAATAAATTAATTTGGGCACTCAAATCAATACACCAGAATGTCATCATTCATGTAAATGCAGCTTCAATCTTCTTAATAGAGCCTTGCATTCAGTTAAATAGATGATAAACAAATTTAAAATGCACAAGTAGAAACTTGGTTAATAATGCACATTTAATCCTCTGACTGTTACGTTTCTTGGCAGGTATTTGCAAGGAGGCAAATTGATTTACTCACAGCTCAAGCATGGTTGTTGGAGAGTAAACTAGTAGAAGAGAAGGTTTGTTTGTTGACGATTATGAAAATTCGATCACTGTAATATATCAAACCTAATTTGATTCTGAAGATGCAAGAAACTCCTTCTATTCTTTCTCTCTCTAGAATTCTTACACCTCCACCCGAATCAAGATCCCCCTCCTCTTCATTCCAACTCCTATTTATAGATATTTACAAGATATTTACAAGATATTTACTAATTGCTGGACCTGGGCCTATTCCTCAGTAAGCCCTGGTCACTCTTGATGGGCTTACTCCCGCTCGGCCCATATGGCAGTGTCTTTTTATGGGCTGACCCAGCTGTTCGGACTGAAGGTTGTGTTTTGCGAGTCGGACCTGGCCCATGTCATCCAGGGCCTCCTCAACTGCCCCCATAATTGCCCCTTATTTAATAAGGGGTAATTATTGATGGCGTCTCATCATGACGCTGACGGCTCGAGATAACCACGTGGGGGAGCGAACGGTCAGATCCAGAATCAATGTTCCGGGGTTCGAGGGATTTCTTGCCTTCCCGACGCTTCGGCCCTCGGGCCCCCTTGCCTATATAATGCTCTCGAATTCCACTTCACTTCCCTTTACCGTCTCCATCATCAGCCAAATCTCCCTCTTTCTAGAACTGTGCTAAGCCTTTTCCGGTGAAATCCTTCGAGAGTCATTCTCCCAGCGATCTTGCAGTCCTCCGAGGTTAGTTTCGTTCTTTTTACTTTCGGCAGGCTTCCATTTTCCCTCTTTTAGATTCTTCTTGCACTTCCACCATGGTTGTAGATCTGGGTGTCCTTCGTATGAGACTTAGGCTTCCTGACAACATCGTAGTTAGGGTTTGCCCCCAAGACGTTAATATTACGACCGGCGCCGGCCTCCTGCCCGGCGAAGTCTTATTCACAAACCTTCAACTGAATGTTGTTAGGTTCCCTCTGCACCCTTTCTTTAGTTACGTCTTCAACAGATTGGGGATATCCCCTCTGCAGGTCAACCCCAACTTCTTTAGGATCATATCTGTTATGCTCTTATTGATGCGTGACAGAAATCTGGACCTTGACCTCATAGACCTCCTTCTGTGCTATAAGGTCAGTAAGATCCGTACTAACGAGCCCTTCTACCACCTCTACCCGTTCGAGAAGATGTCCATATGCACTGACACAATAAAATCTGAAAAGGGTTGGAGGGATAGCATAGTGGGTATTAGTGGGGCTTGGTCTTCGCCGGCTGCAGAGGATTACCCTATCCCGAGCGCCTTTGGTGTCTGCTCTGTCTCCTCCTATAAAAAATTCAAATCCCATAAACACGACTGCCCCTGTGAAACATGCGTTCCTCGTTTTTGCACTTACTTATGCCGCTCCTTGGGAATACCTTGTGATGACTTGAGCTACAGTGTTTGCAGGGATAGGATTAACTACTTGAAGAGATACGTTCTGAACGATATTCCTTCCTGCTCAGATCTCCTCACTTCAGACAACCTCTTTGCGCTCTCATCACTCGGCTACAATATGAGCAGACTGCAGATTCCCTCTTTTGGCAGGAGGAAAAATACTCCCCCAGTCATTCCTGCTGCTGGGGCGACCTCCTCTCCAGCGTCGGCTTCTTCTTCAGCCACCATATCTGACACTGTCCCGAGCGCAGTGGCTACTAACCCTGCTGCCAGCGCCCCTGCGGCCAACCAGAACGCGCCCTCCCCAGCTACCATAGCTCCTGCTGCTGCGGGGGGCGGTCGGGACAAAGAGCGAGGCAAAAGGCCTCATCCTGACAGTGAAATCGACCCTGAGGAGGAGCCTCTTATTAGAAGGACCCGAGTCTCTGGGCCGGGTACTCTCTTGCACCGAGCGATCAGAGCTCCTTCTCACTCTGGGCCTCCTGCAGCTGGTGGCTCTGCTTCTGCTTCAGGCCCCCCTTCTATCCCCAGCTTGCCGCCATGGGCCCCTCGGTACACTCGAACGGATGGGACGTTCGTGAAACCGAACGAGACCATGCTGAAGGATGGCCAGACCGCTATGGCCTACTACAGGAGCATGTGGACTCCGAAGGACATTGAGGCGGCAAAGGGCCTTTCCCAGAAGGACGTGTTCAGTCGCTTTCCCCAATCTGCTATGGAGGTGACTTTTATTTTCTAACTCATGAATTCTCTTATATTACTTGGTCTTGCCTTCTCCCGTTCTGACTATTGGTTTAACCGTTCTTATTGTGCACCTATGCAGACATTGTTTGGGATGATGGCCATGCAGAAGCAGGTGGAAATGGGGAACGCCAGGGCCCGAAAGTATTCTGACAGCCTGGAGGTGGCTAATAAAGAGAACGACCTCCTTGCCATGAAGAATACCGAGGTGCTGGTTCGGCTTGACAAAGCCGAGCAAGAGAGAGATGTCCTGAAAAAGGAGAATGATTCCCTTCAGGATGAGAAGGACGCCCTCCAGCTCGAGAAGAGCGTCTGGCAGACTGAGCAGGAATCACTCAGAGAAGAGAAGGCAGAACTCCAACGTCTTCTAGCTGATGAACAGTCTGCTCGGATGGCTTTTGAAAAAAGAGCTCTGGACGAGCGTACCGCTCTGATCGACGTTATCAGCAGAGTGGGTGGTGGGATGCTGGCCCTTCATGCTCGGTTCTCCAGGGTCGGTGCTCTTCGGTATGCTCAAGGATTCCGGGAAGGTTTCGCCGACCGGGTTCCGGATGAGGGACAGACCAGCTCCACTCCGGATGAGGTAGACAAGGATCTGGGGATCGAGCCTCTGGGGGTCTATGTCGACCCAGAACCCACCGAAGCGGAGCGTATATTTGATGAGTGCCAGGACATCGCATCCTCAAGGATCATCACAGCTCCTCCTACCGCTCTGCCACTGACCGCTCCCCAATCGTCAACCGTGGCTCCCTCTGTAGCCACTGCTGACGCTGAACCCCAGCCGAACGACTCAGTTATTCACCTGGATTCCCCACCTCATGAAGGTGAGGCGGCTGATGGGGCCGAGGAGGCGAGTCGGCAGGACCAGGATGCTGTTGGTACTGAGGCGTCTAGCTAGGGCTCCTTCGAATTCTTCCAGTTCATATCTTCTTGTAATGATGGACACCTCTCTTTTGTAAACTAAATGTTCAATATTAATGAAATGGCCGAACTCTTTTTCTCTATGTGTTGTGCTCTGTTCAACTTATCTTCAGTACATATATATCTTTTCTCTCTTTTTCTTTTTATATTAGTTTTGCTGTGTGTTTGTACGGCAAGTGCCTGGCGCTCGGCTAGAATGCCACTTGCCACTTGGCTTTAAATTTTTAGCAAGTGTCTGGCGTTCGGCTTATAGTGCCAGCTGCCACTTATCTTGCTTAAGTGCCTGGCGCTCGGCTAGAATGCCACTTGCCACTTGGCTTTAAATTTTTAGCAAGTGTCTGGCGTTCGGCTTATAGTGCCAGCTGCCACTTATCTTGCTTAAGTTTTATAGTAGACCATTGGAAAAGAAAATTCTTCTCTTCTTTTTTTGTAAATTCCGGTAACTTGCTCATTCATATGTATTTGATTAACAACAAATAACATCCAATTAAAACCAGAACTTAGCTTCTATTGATAGTACCTCTTCAGAGACGTGGCGTTCCAGGGCTTGTTGACCAACTTTCCCGCCATGGTTTCCAACGTATATGCCCCTTTGCCAATGACTTCTGCAATTCTGTACGGGCCTTCCCAGGGTGGCATCATTTTTTTGACCATCCCCACCTTTCTTTTCAGAACCAGATCGCCCGGGGCAAAATCCCTGTGTTTTACTCTCTTATTGTGACTATTCGCCAGCACTTGCTGATACGATGCTAGCCTTATAGCCGCTGCGTCCCTCCTTTCGTCTATCATGTCGAGGTTCAATCTTAACATCTTGTCGTTCTGATCTCGACTCCATGCTAAGCTTCTGATAGTGGGGACTAAATGCTCAACCGGTATAACTGCTTCGGTACCATACGCCATCGCGAACGGGCTCTCCCCAGTCGGCCGCCTTGGGGTGGTTCTGTAAGCCCATAGAACGTTCGGGAGTTCATCCAACCACTTCCCCTTATGATCTTCCAGCTTCTTCTTAATGCAGGCGAAAATGGTTCTGTTTGTGATTTCTGCTTGTCCGTTAGCCTGAGGATGACTTACTGCAGCCAACTTCTGGTTGATTCCATACTCCTCCAGCAGCTTTCTTACTTGCCTGCTGTCGAGGTTTGTGCCATTGTCCATGACTATTGTTCTGGGAACACCGAAGCGGCAGATAATGTTGTTCCAGATAAATCGTCTCACCTGAGTCTGAGTCACGCTAGGATACGGTTCTGCCTCCACCCATTTAGTGAAATAATCCGTGGCCAGTAACACATACTTGTTCTGAGCTCTTGCAGTTGGCAGAGGACCGACCACATCCATCCCCCATTGCGCGAAAGGCCACGGCGAGGCCATTACGTGCAATTCTTCAGGTGGTTGGTGGATCATTGGTCCATATCGTTGGCACTTATCGCACCTTCGAGAGAACTCCTCCGCATCTCTTGACATGTTTGGCCAAAAATACCCTTGTGTCATTGCTTTATGCGCTAACGATCTTCCCCCAGAATGATTGCCACACACACCCTCATGAATAGCTCGCAATACCTGCTGCGATTCCGCGGGGGTGACACATTTCAAGTACGGGCCAGAATAGGACCTTCTGTACAGCTGGTTCCGCACGATGGCGTACTTGGCAGCATTCTTTTTGAGTTTCCTAGCTTCATCCCTTTGCATAGGCAAAACGCCATCTCGAATATAGGTAATGATTGGGTCAATCCAACTCGGTTCATACGGTATGACGTTGACTTGCCAAGGGTCCGAGACCATCGGTTCTTCGAAAATGGACGGCTGGGTCACTATTCCCACTGGAATCACCCTCGCCAATGTTTCACCACAACTTGAAGCACTGCATGCTAAACGGTCTGCATCTGCATTCTGTTCCCTCGGCAACTGTATGAATTCAATCTTTGCAAAGTCCTTGGCTCTACGCAGAACGGCAGAACGGTATGCCCCCATCATGTCATCCTTGGTTGCGTACTCACCATTTACCTGCCGAACAATCAGCTGCGAGTCACTATACACTGTCAAACTTTTGATCTGTAGCTCTTTGGCCAACTTTAATCCATTTAGCAACGCCTCGTATTCCGCTTCATTATTGGTGGCTCGGAACTCAAGTCTGAGTGCTTGGCTCAAGGAAGTACCTTCTGGGGTTTGCAGTTTGATCCCAATCCCAGCCCCCGTCGGGTTAGAGGAGCCATCCACAAAAAGTTTCCAAGAGCCGCTTCTAAGGTCCTCTTCCGTATCTTCGGCATCACATTCTAGTAGGAAATCGGCCACCGCTTGCCCTTTAATAGCTGTTCTCGGCTCGTACGTTATGTCAAATGAACTCAACTCTATGGCCCACTTTGTCATTCTGCCCGAGAGCTCTGGCTTGTGCATGAGCGTTCTGATTGGGAAAGTTGTTAGAACAGCTATGGGGTGGGATTCAAAATAATGCCTTAACTTTCTTTTTGCATTTACAAGTGCAAGTACCACCCGTTCGGCCTTTGAGTATCTTTTTTCTGCCTCCATCAGTGTCTTGCTTACATAAAATACTGGGTATTGCACCCCTTCCTTGCAACGAATCAGAACGGCACTCGTCGCGACACCAGATACTCCAAGATATAGAAATAACTTTTCTTCCGGTTCTGGGGCTGACAGGACTGGCGGATTCTGCATATATTGCTTCAAATGAGTCAATGCCTGTCGTTGCTCATCCCCCCAGACCTGCCTTCCATGGCTCCGAATCGTGTCAAAGAATGGTTTGCAGTGGTCTGACAACTTTGAAATAAATCGACTTAATGCAGCTATTCGTCCTGTTAGGGCTTGCACCTCTCTGATCGTCTTTGGCTCGGCATTCTTAATCAAAGCCTCTGCTTGAGCGGGGCTAACTTCGATGCCCCTGCGGTTGACCACGTGTCCCAGAAACTGCCCGGAACTCACACCGAACGAGCACTTGGTCGGATTGAGCCTCATCCCATATCGCTTTAGTACATCAAATACCTCTTGCAGATGCTTCAGATGATCATCCTTTTTCCTACTTTTCACCACCATGTCATCAATATAGGCTTCGACAATCTTACCCATTTGATTCTTAAAAACTTTGCTGACAAGTCGTTGATAAGTTGCTCCCGCATTCTTTAATCCAAAAGGCATAACCTTGTAGCAGTACGTTCCTCGCTCGGTGACAAAAGAAGTTTTTTCTTCATCTGCGGGGTCCATAGGAATCTGATTATAACCTGAATATGCGTCCAGAAAGGTTAAACGCTCATACCCCGTGGTGGCATCCACCATTTGATCAATCTTAGGCAACGGGAAACTGTCCTTCGGGCAGGCTTTGTTTAAATTGGTGAAATCAATGCATACGCGCCATTTCCCATTTTTCTTCTGCACCACAACGACGTTGGACAACCACTCAGGGTAGTGCACCTCTCTGATAAATCCCGCATCAAGCAGCCTATCAACTTCTTCCGTTATGATCTGATTACGTTCTGGAGCAAATCTTCGCTGCTTCTGTTTCACTGGTTTGAAATTAGGATTGACATTCAGGGAATGACAGGAGACGGAAGGACTAATTCCAGGCATGTCGAGATGACTCCATGCAAATACGTCGACATTGTGGGATAAGAAATCCACTAGCTCTTGCTGCTCTTCTCTGGTCAGTCTTATACCCACTCTGGTAGTTCGTTCTGGCCTGGACTGATCGATCTGCACATCCAGAAGGGGCTCCTCGGTCAAGTCGGCTGACTCCTCCACCCTATTCTGCTCGAGTGGAGGTTCCTGTAATTGCTATCTGGGGCTTGTCGACCGGACGGGCGCCTTTCCCTTCCCTGCATGCTTTAGTGTGACGGAATAACACTCTTTGGCTGCGACCTGATCCCCCCGAATGTCTATCACTTTATCTCCATCGGGCCCGAGGCACCTCATGACCTGATGCAGAGTTGAGGGTACACCTCGGACTCTGTGAATCCATCCTCTTCCCATCAGGAGATTATACGAGGGGTGAATTTCCACAACCACAAAAGTTTCCATAAGAGCTCGCTCTGCAGCTTGAACTTCTACTTCCACCATCCCGACGGGTTCCACCCTCTTCCCATCGAACCCTAATAAGGGATTTCCGGTGGGCTTGAGCCTCTCTGGTTTAATGTCGAGCCTGTCAAATGTGTCCCTTGGCATAACATTCGCACTGCTCCCAGGATCGATCAGAACTCTGCGCACCAAGCACTCTGCCACTGTCAAACTGACTACCAACGGGTCGTCATGAGGCAGTTGGACACGCTGCAGGTCTGTCCAGTCGAACTTTATCTGCATTGACGGGCTCTGTTGGTGTAGAGTGGTCACATTGCCGACCCTTTTCTTCATCTGTGCCTGCCGCAGGCGCACCCGTAGCAGCTCATCTGGCTCTTCACTAGGCTCGGGTCGACCATGGATAGCATTGATTATACGAACTGGTTGCGAATTGTGGGAGCTTTGTTTATGACTCCTTTTTATTTGTTCCACTGGTCGATTCTGCTCCATCGCCGAGCCTTGAACATAACTCGCAAACTCCCCTCTAGCTATCAACATCTCCACTTGCCTCCTCAGGTTCCTGCATTCGTTAGTCTGATGTCCGAAATCAGAATGAAAAGCACAATGTTTAGTTTGATCCCTCTGTTCGAGGGGTTGTCTAATTGGCAGTGGTGGATGAAACTTGTCCTTGTTCTCCTGATATAACCTCGCCAGAGTGACCTTCAGCGGAGTAATCAACTCTTCCTCCCTGGACCTTTTTTCGGCCTTCCAAGTGGTCTGACGTTGCGGCTGAGCCTGCTTCTGCCTGATCTTTGCCTTGGACTTTTCCTCGGTCGACACAAGCGACGTTGTCCGAGCATTAGCTGCCTCCTCTTCTTCGAGGCGCACAAAGCCATCGGCTCTCTCATTGAGTTCGTCCATGGTAGCTGGCGTATTCACTACCAGACTGGTGTGAAACGGAGTTCCGCGTGTCATGGCTAACTTGAAGGCTTGAACTGCCGTAGTAGGATGGCATTCGATTACCATACTCTTAGTGAGATTAAACCTGGTAAGAAAGGCCTGGAGCCGTTCATCCTTGTGTTGCCGCATCGTGAACAGGCTCGAGATGTCCTTCGGCGGGCGTTTGTTCCCATAGTACTGGCTTATGAACCGATCGCACAGGTCCCTGAAACTGCCAATGGAGCTCCTAGGCAAGTTTTTGAACCAGCTGAGCGCCGGTCCGGCCAAACTTGTAGGGAAGCATTTGCACATTAAAGAGTCGTTTTCCGTGTTCAGAGCCATTTTCAACTGGATATGATACACATGATCGATCGGATCGGTTGTTCCGTCAAACAGAATAAAGACTGGCATAGCAAACTTCCTTGGATGCGGCGCATTCAAGATCTCGTCGGTGAATGGTGAATCCACCGTCCGAGCTGCGGATCGGAGAGCTTCATTCTCTCTCTGGAGTCCGGCGGTAGCTCTGTGAGTTACGGTTCTGCCCTCCGAACCGTGATGAGTGACAGTAACCATGGAGGGCCGGTAAGACGGATCGAACGACCGTTCCTCTATGAACTCTCTCTGCCAAGGCGACGCTACTCGACGGCGATCTACCTCCATCACTTCCTCTCGGTCAAACCTTTCCCGCTGCGGATCAACGTGAGTCGAGCCTTCGTGATCTTCAACTCGACGAACATTTGGCGGCGAATTGTCCATCATCCTTTCATCACGGTGGTGAGCTGACTGATTGTTCTCGTTCTGATCGCCTTGATGCGCGATACTAGATGGAACACCTCCTTCTCCGACCGGAAGCGGATGCGAGACTGCGGGTATTTGCCGATGCTGCAATCCAGCTTTCAATTCTGCATTTTCTTTTCTGAGAGCTTCAATCAAATTCATCAACTCTTCAAGCTTTGTTTGCTGGACAGCCTCCATCGGATTGGAGCTTTCACCTATCATTATTCCCGAACGGAGTAAAGGCATTAATCTCAAGCTCGCGAGTAGATCTAAGCTTCGTGAGTAGGAATTTTTAGATCTGGCTTCTAATTCTCCGAATTATGCTCACTGTTTACAAGATCTGAATTGCCTGGACTCTAAATCCGTCAGATCCTGTCACAATCGAGCAACTCGCGGTTGCGTAGATCTGAAGTCACTCCTGCCAAAGCTTCAAGAATCGTAATTCCTCCAGAGTAGGTCACAATCGCTCAGATCTGGATTCAAATCCGCAAGATCGAGTCTCGATCAACCGAATTGGTTTGAATCCATTCGATCCTCCTCATTGATCAACCAAACTTTTATGCGCTTCCCACAGACGGCGCCAATTGAAGATGCAAGAAACTCCTTCTATTCTTTCTCTCTCTAGAATTCTTACACCTCCACCCGAATCAAGATCCCCCTCCTCTTCATTCCAACTCCTATTTATAGATATTTACAAGATATTTACTAATTGCTGGACCTGGGCCTATTCCTCAGTAAGCCCTGGTCACTCTTGATGGGCTTACTCCCGCTCGGCCCATATGGCAGTGTCTTTTTATGGGCTGACCCAGCTGTTCGGACTGAAGGTTGTGTTTTGCGAGTCGGACCTGGCCCATGTCATCCAGGGCCTCCTCAGATTCTAAAATACTTAGATTCTAAGAAATATTGGATTTAATGGTTTCCAAGAAAAAAAATAAAGTTGAGATAGGTGTGATGATTGATGATCACATAGGTATTCATGCAGCAATACAGGCTAGACATCATCCTGTTGTGAGGATATTAACTATATTATATTAAATTTTATCCCATGAATGTTCTTTGTTTTGCACCATTCAAGAGGTTCTTGATGTTTTATGGTTATAATCATGTCTTGGTACATATACATGCCATCATATAAGCAAAAGATGACTGTCTTGCCCCTTATAGTAATCCTAATGCATGTATTCATCTTTTATTAGATTCAGTTGCTTGAGCTGTTTCCTTCACATGTAGGTTGCAAAAATGAGCATACAAACAGGGATACCTTCGGAGTACACCAGCATGATTTTAGTTCAGAGTCTTCAGACCGATAAAGGGAAGCAAGGTTCTGAATCAATTATGATGCAAGAGGTATGCTTTTGCCTAAAGTAGTAGTAAAAGTGTTGGTAGTTACATAAACTATACTAATATAATCATTTTTAAAAATGATTTCTTAATAGGAGAAATGACATGGTAATGATTTAGGGAAAAAAAAAAGAAAGACTAGTAATGGAAAAGAATGAAAAATATAATAACACACAGAATACTGCTATTATTTTTATTATAAAAAATATAAGAACACTTGAATGTTAAACTTGGATGTATACCTTTTAACACGCAGAATAAATTTAGTATTTAGATAATACATATCTGATACTTGGGTAATTAAACTGCTTTATTCTTATATTGCACCAAATTAACGACTGTCCTTGAATTTTTAACAAAAAATTGACCAGAATAAAACAGCCGAGCTGACTAACAAGGAAATCATTTACCTCCGGAACCTGGGTCTTGGATTTGGCAACTTGATTGCCACGGCTGAGAATCGTCCTCCAGGAATAGAGGAAGTAAAGTTGCATGAAACTTCAGAAACCGTAATGACGGCAGCTTCCACTTGTTGCAGCTGGATGCTAGATCGCTTCTGTTGCATGTGTTTCATCCAGGCTTGTTCACGCATGAATGACCAATGTGCAATTGCTCTCACACAGCTTTGCACTGCCCTTGCTTGTTTTGAGTGCCTCAATTGTTGCTGTGAGGTTTGTGATGGTTGTGACCAGTGCTGCTGACAATTGGAATTGAACATAAAAATACCAGATTGTGGTATAACCCTATGTTTGTGTGTACATATTTATGTCTTATAGTAATACATTGCGTTAGTAATCTACTGGTTTTCTTTTCTCTTTTTATCTGTCTGATCTTGATACCAAGTGTGATCGTTTGGGAAAGATGAGCAGTGATGGTTGCCATTTTCATGTCCATTAAATCTGATTTTTTTTTTTTTTTTTTTTTTGGTTTGGGTGTAAAATTATGTCAAATATTACGTATACCTTCATATTTGTTCTCGGTCATTATCAAAAGTTCGATCATCCATCCCCCAAGAATCATTTTATAGCTGGATTTCTCTTACCATAAAAATTGAATCATTTTATTTTATCGTCCTTTCAGTTTGCAATGGGCAGCAATGTATACCTAGTGGACCAGACCAACGTAAAAAAATCAAAATATTCGTACTGATGTGACATTATTATTATTATTTCAAAATGTCACATTATTAGGCCAGTACTATATGACAAAAGGTGACAAGTTATGATAAAATGTTGGGTCCACAGCATTCTTTTCCTAACGAATTTTTTTTCTATTTTTTTATTTTGTTGAAATGTCGGACCTAACAAGCATTTCAATAGATTTTAAATTTTAATACTTTCTTCGTTCAGATTAAGGATAGTTTTTGGTATTTGTAAGCCGCAAACATCAAAGATGAGATATTAAAATTTAATTAGTTTAATACAATTTAAATGGATAAACCTCCTAACACAGTTTATGTAAAATGCTTACTAATATGCACAGTTTTTTATTAATTTTTTTTCCTGGCACGGGCGAAATCAAACTGACCTTTTGGATTAAAAATTCAATCCATTTTCCAGAAAAAACAAATTATAAACAAATATTAAACAATTATATACAGAAATTCTTTTTAAATTTTAGAATTACAAGCTAAAATATGTCTAATAAAATATTAAAATACTCTAATTAGCCAATTAGGACAGTTACAAATAGAGTGAAATTACCAATTTACCATCCTTGGGCTACGCGTGAACACAGCGCGTGCAATACACTCGTACTTCCCGCCTTTGATCCCTCCCATGACTAGGGCTCTGCTTCTCTTCCTTCTGCTATTCCTTCCTCGCAATCACAAGTAATTAGCACCAATCACTCTTCATTATGATTTTGAATTTCATGTTTTTGCGATTAATTTTTGTGCATCTTCTGATTTATAGTTTGTAGTCTGTTCTTTCGATATATAAATCTTTGTATATCGATTGTAACGATTACTGATTCTTTTCAGTTTGATGGTCCTCATGACTCTCCGCTTCATTCAGTTCTTCGTGAAATCTGTAGTTCTCATCGTTCTGTTCTCTTCTATCTTCTTCACCCACAGGTGAGCGAAGCTAGGGTTTCTCATCTTTGTTTGTTGATATATGTAATCTTCATGTGCAATAACTTATTTTCTGTTACTTGATGGTGTTCTTGTTTTGATTCTATTTATTGTTGTTAATGTTATCGTTTCTGTTTACGAGTAATGCTATTAGTGATTCTGTCTCTATACTGTGCTTCAAATTTATTGGAAATCTATTATTTTTAATTTCTCTGTAGCTTTACAAATAAAATTAGATATCTAATACATTCATCTAAACGAAATGTGGGATGTGTTCATCATTTTCAAACTTTGTTAGTTTCGTTCCTTATTTATTTATTTATCAATATTGTGGGATGTCTTCTTTTTTTCATTAATCAACTTCATAAAATATCAAAATATCCCTCTTAGCACGCTATATTGATGGGACCAAATACCGAGTAATGGCCTTTCTATCAAAATTCTTTATTTGTTCATCAGTTTTCCAATAATTTATATAAAAATGACAACCAGTCACATAAGCTATGATTTTTTCTTTTTATCATTACTTTTTTTGAAACTTAGGTTTGTGGGGATTCCGCTTATTGAATCATTAATCATGCTTCCCATTTTAGCATATATATTTATATTTCCTGGAGATTAAACTGATTTTATTATTTATTTTTTTATTTTCAAGAAAAAGAAAAACTTAATATTTGTATCAATTTGAAATTTTCCTGGCTTTCTATCCAATATATCTAATGAGCAAATGATGATTGGTGATGCTTTTAAGTGAAGTCTAATTGAGGTTTTTTACATTGGTATAGAAGAGTCATTTTGAAACTTCTGAACAATTTTAGTGGCTGGAGTTGTCCAGTGATGAGAATTGTTAGTTCATTAGGATCATAGCTAATTATAAATGATTGTAGAGATTACTTTCTGATTTCCATTGGATTCTATCGATTGGCTTTTTGATAATAGAGTTTCACTATTACTTGTTAAAATATCACAAAGCTTGGACTCACTGTTGCAGAAGTTATGGTAAAAGGTGAAAGAATGTTTGCTTTAAGCATATCCATAGCTCTGTCATTGTTGTAGAAGTTGAAAGCTTTAGTTGTTGGACTCTTCTGTCATTACTTATCAAAAAAAAATAATAGAGTTTCACTAAAATGCCTCGAGGCAGATCTTATAATTTAATACCCTTAGTTAGTGTCAGTTTTCTTGCTGCAGAAATCTTATTTATTGGGAAAACTTTTATTTTCATGTCTACTATGTTATTTATCTTAGTTTCTGCTGTCTTTAACGCTTTTATAAATATAGATCTTCAGGCAATGGGAGTACAGAACAAGAGAAAACATTGGCCATAATAAAACCGGATGGATTGTTTGGTAACTATACTAACAGGATAAAGAAAGTTATTCTGGAGTCTGGCTTCAGCATAGTCAAGGAAATGGTGATTCAACTTGATGAGGATAGTGTATCAAGCTTTTACGCCGAGCACTCTACAAAAAGCTTCTTTCCAAGTCTTGTTAAATATATGACAAGGTATCTCTATCTCTGCCTTGATTTAAGATGTTACTTAGATTTTTTGGAAGGTATTTAAGGCATTACTTTTCCTTCTATGTAGACTCTCCAATTAGTTTCATTTCGTGAAGTTAGTTCTTAGTGAATTTATTGAATGCACATCCAATGGAAATTATTATTTATGCAAGTTCCTTGTAGTTAAATGCATTGCAGCAATTACTTGAATTACGCACTGAAGTGAGTATTTGAGTTTTACAATTTGTTTTCTTCCTGCTTTCTTCTCCATTTTACATCTTCTCTCAGTCTATGATATATTTTCTTGTCATCTAAACTCTTAATGCCCTCATCGTATCAGATATGAATTAATTTTTATCACTCCACATGGCGTCTTGTACTTAATTAAATTGTTGTACAATATAAACTGCGCGCGCGCGCGCGTGTGACATTATTCTATATCAGTGGTCCAGTGCTGATTATGGTTTTGGAGAAAGTGAATGCTGTCACTGATTGGCGTGCTTTAATTGGACCAACTGATGCACACAAGGCTAAGGTTACCCATCCTCACAGGTTTCTCTCTCTTTTTGATCTTTTTCATACTATCTCTTACATATTTCTATATAATCTCTCACTATATATTGTAGGCTCGTAGCATAAGGTGAAGGCTCTCTGTGAATCCACGCATTTCTTAATTTAAATTACTACTTTTTTTATTAACACCTATATGATTGGCAGACTTTTTTATTCTCATCCATGACTTCATTTTAACAATTTGGTTTTATGGTTTACCCATCCTCACAGGTTGCTCTCTCTTTTTGATCTTTTTCATACTATCTCTTACATATTTCTATATAATCTCTCACTATATATTGTAGGCTTGTAGCATAAGGTGAAGGCTCTCTGTGAATCCACGCATTTCTTAATTTAAATTACTACTTTTTTTATTAACACCTATATGATTGGCAGACTTTTTTATTCTCATCCATGACTTCATTATAACAATTTGGTTTTGTGGTTTATTTCCAGTGTCAGAGCCATGTGTGGGGTCGATTCAGAGAAAAATTGTGTCCATGGTTCAGATTCACCTCAATCCGCTGCAAGAGAGATAGGCTTTTTCTTTAAAGAGACATCTTCAGGCCAGTCTCTATATTCTGGTTAAATAATACAGCATATATAATTTGATTTACTCATGCATTTTCTTTACTAGATATTCTGATTTTGTGGTTATCAATGATAAGATACACATTCATCTTTTTGCATTGAATTAAGAATTAGATGGATAAGGTAACCTATCTCATTTCAGTTTTGATATTTGAACCACAAATGATAAATAAGGTGGCATTCTGATTGATTAGAATGAGTAGATGTGCACTAATTCATGTCATCTTCATCAATATGAACTTATACAACTTTTTCTAAAACTTTGTTAAATTAAAACGGAATAATGCCTTTCCTTGTTCCCCGCAGTTGCTTCGATTCATTTTTGCTTTTGTCTGATGTCCTAGGTTGATTGTTATTTGTTTGTACATACTCATATTAAGACTGTAGTAGTATGTCCTTTTATCTGGAACAAAATATTCACTAAGGAATGCTTATGGTCTGTTGTTAGTTTTGAACTGCGAAAAAATATGGTGCTTCCATGGAATTATAGTAATAGTAGTCAACTAATAAGCTAATAATGTATGGAAATTTTGTAAGAGATGATTTGAACACATTTGAAGTATATTGATTACACATGAGTTTGTGCACGGATGCATGTTGCAGGCTCCAAATGGGAAGGAAGGGTAAACTTTTTTTTTTAATTATCAATGCAAATTGTGTAGTAGATTATAAGTTAGGGACAGCAGGAAAATTTCTTGACTGCAATACCATTTGAACAATCCAAAGAAACAAAAAAGGTTCCTTTTTGGAGTTATTATTGGTGGCATACACAATGCATATTCAAGTTTTCTTCTTTTGGAGAATATGCATCTTTACGGATTAATGAGCAAGTTTCTGTCTCTGACCTCAAAAGTTTGGGCAAGGCGCTGCAGATTTTGATGATTTTCTGGTCTAGGATAGACGTATTGAAGTCTATTTATTGTTCCTGTATTATAACAATCAGAAGGGAATTTGTGCAGGACACTGAGATGTACTTTTTTTATTCCTACACAATGAGATGGACTTGAAAGCAATTCTATCTGCTGTTCTGTGTCCTCAAAATAATTTTCTATGCAACTCCAAATGATTGAATATGCACTCTGAGTATAATAATTGATTTGTTTTTCTCTTCTTGTAGTTCATGTTTTTGGCCTGTGCTCTATCTGGTTGAAGATGGAGGACAGCAATACAATCTTTAAATCATAAAAAATCCTATTTCTTTGTATAGTTGTAAGAGCTCAAAATTTCTTGTTTTTTCCTCCATTGTCTTGGCAATCATAGGGATCGTTCAGCCTGGTTTGTCCACGTTGAAATAACCTCTTTGAAAACATAGATAAAGAGGGTGTCACTTGTGGTTCAATATGAATGGCAATGACTATGCTAGATGTGTCCTTGTATTTGAAGTGTGAATGCATGGTGAGAACAACTCCCATTGATTTTCTTTTTTATTCAAATTTTTTTCTATTGAATCATGAAAAATCAGAAAAGCAGAACATACTTGGTGAAGTGTTGGCTATAAAAATGCAAAAGCTTGTGCAGATTTGTTGTTGTTGTTGTTGTTGTTTTTTTTTTTTTTTACTTTTCAGGTTAGGTAAATACTCTCTTTCCAAGGCTTGTGGCCTAGTGGTATCTCCTCTATCTTCTAAAGTAGACGGTCAACAATTCAAGTCCATTACGGGATGCTAGGGATAAAAAAAAAGGGTGTGTGTGGGTTTTCTTGCCATTGCCAACCCCCCCAAAAAAGAAAAAGAAACACACCCCCAAAATGCCTACTAGGGGATGCACATAGATTTAATTTTAAGTAGTTAAGCAGAACTATTAAATCTTTAACTTGTTGGAAAAAGGCTTTGTTGAATTAAATTGAATTGAAACTGAATTGCAAGCTGAAACAACAATTTTTTTGCGTGGAATGACATCCATAAAATAATGATAATTTTGTTTATAGCAAGAGTGCGTTACAAGTTACAACTACTCTGACTGCTGTATTTTCCATTACAGGAGTTGTTTCAAAGCATGATGAGCTGTAAATGGCAGACAGTCGAAGCAAAATTATGTCTTCTACAAGCCTTTTTACGGCATTTTATTCGCACGCCTTCAGTTGGACAATTGTACTGCCATATCCCACAATTGCAAGCTGACGGCATCAATAACTCGCAATTTCTGGATTTGTCTGACTCCTAATCTTGTAATTGTATGTAGATTGTATAAATGGAATGGTTATACATGTGGCAAATGCCCAGTTTAATTCAAAAATCTATGACCCATCATTGGGATGCCAAAATGGTAATTCTTGTTAAACTCCTCTCTTTTTCTCACTAGATGGATGCATCAAATTGATTAATTTGCATTTTAGTATGTTTACGAATGGTTTTCGAATGTGGGACTTATTTTGATTTGCTGGTAAAACAGGAAATTGTAGTCTACAAGTCAAAGATGCATTTGATGTTTAGAACATCAAACAGTTGAGATGCTAGAAAACAGGTTTAAAGCTCATTGTCACCTACTTTCTTGCATGTCTTAATATTTTATTTTTACCACAAGCATTTGTAAATTATGTTATGGCAAGTAGTCTTTTAACATCATTGATGGAACAAGGAGTTGTTATGGTTATGGAAGCAATCAGCACTTGCTTCTCTGAAAAATTACTTCCATACTTGAATTGCTTGTAAACCTAAGTTGGAACTACTTGACTTGGATTGGAAATTCGGAATCATTTGAAGAAATGGTGTAGATATTTGGAAATTGCATGATTGCTACTGTTACTGATTCTCTGTCAATTCATTTGCCTTTTTGACTTCCACAAAATGTGAAGTAATTTATTATTATTATTATTATTTATTTATTGTCTAAACTGATTGTTTCAATTTTTTATTTGTATTTTCTTTTTAATATTGTTTCCCGTTAATGATTACTCAGTTCTTGTTACTTGATCATTCTTGGAGAGAAGAACTATGAATAGACTTAACTTTTGATATTGTCTATTCGAAATAGTTTCGTGTCAAACTTGAATTTACGACTAGATTAGGTGCCAATTGACTTACCATGTTCTTTTTCCTATTTTTTTTTTTTTAATTTTTTTCGAAACCTTTCCCTAAATAAAGGGAAACTTTCCCTTAAATCAAAGCTGATAATTTGATTGATCTCCATAGAATGTGTGTTGGTAGTAGAACACACAGGAACCTAGCTACCTACCAGTGACTAGGGGTCCTAAGCATTCAGTCTCTTACCAGAGAGACCTCCGTGTAAGATTAAATAAAAGGGTTTGCTTCATATAAAGGCAAAACATGATTACTTATAATAATATAGTGAAGATCCAATGAAAATCGAGCTAGTCAAACAATGATGGTTGCAACTGTATGGAGGATAGGAGTCCACATCAGGTAGTGTCTTTCTTTATGGTAAAACATTCCAGATATGGCAAACCTCTTCTCCCCGTGCCTAGTTAAGGTTAGATTTGTAAACACAAGACATCTAGTAGTTGCATCTCTCACATGGCTTCTTTTTATAAAGGTGGTGTGGTGTGTCTTGGTGGGAGTGAGACACTAATTCTCTCCTAGACTCTCTCTTCTCGCTTCCCTCTCACATGCATCTCGAGGCACGTATAGAAGAATTCTAGAGAAACTTCAAAGCAGGGGTTGGTGACGAATTGAATGACGTTTTTTTCACTAGATATTTTCCATTTTATGGAAGAATGAAATTAGATACAGACTTTATCTTTGAACAAGGTGACTTTTTACAGATTTGAACTCGCGAATTAACACACTATCCTTCTCTTTTTGGGGCCATATATATCTATTATCATAGGTGATGGTGTCTTTCTCACATTTCTGGGATGTTTTACTGCAATTTTGCAAAAAAAAAAAATTTCCCCCTTCTCATCTCATGCCAAGTTGACCGTGACTAGGCAATAGTAAAATTTATCAAAATATAAAAAATAGTTTGGTATAATAAAAAATTAGTTGGGGCAAGGTCCATCTGCTCCGTTTGTAACAAATACTCCATGCCGTCTTAGCAATGGTCAATGCACGTGGTTAAATTTGAAGATTTATACGACAAAAATACGTTCAGATATTCGGAAATTAAAATCGTGTTTATATAATAATAAAGGCGTAAGGGTGATTTCACATAACAACCTTTGCCGTGTCACTCAGAATGGAATAACTATAATAAGTCAAAATACAGGAGAGATGATTCTAACAAACTTGAATTAGAGGGTAGGTAAGTATAATTTATTCCTTTTTTTATTTTTAAATACTTTACTTCGATTCTCTCCTTCCTAGCTAGACTATTTATTCAAGGGTAGTAATGGACATTAACTCAAATGGTATGATCTTTTATTTTCAAAGAGGAGATTGAGTGTTTGACCCTTGCTAGATATAAATTATGGATATGTGTGTTTGTTTGAACTTGAAGAAAAACACATTATTTGTGCTTCATTTGGATATTGTTAGATTCGAGTATATAAATACTACAACAGATATAATTCGTTCAATCGATCAATGAACCTTTTACACATAGCTAGATAGTTGAGTCCTATAATATGCTTAAGCCCTTTAATCAATTTGCTTAAGCCCTTTAATCAACACCTTCAAAGCAAGTTGGTGACGAATCACATGACGTTTTTCACCAGATATTTTTCTTTTTATGGAAGAATGAAACACTGTATACAAACATAACCTTTGAACAAAGTCACTTTTTACAGATTTGTATTCTTCTCTTTTTTGGGGCCATATATCTATTATTATTGGTCATCATATCTTTCACATTTCTTATGAACGGAAGCACAATTTTTTCTTCATTCTTCTCTCATTCTGAGGCTACATTGTACATACAGTTATAGGTAATTATTTTTTCTCTACGGTAAGTTAGACTTACCCCCTCTCGCGGATGGACCAGAGACAATAGTGAATATTTTAAGTAATTTCAGTGAGAGCAATAGTGATAATTCATATATATATATCAAAATCTCAAAATAGTTGGGTATAATACTTAAAAATAAAAAAATTCAATAGGGACAATTGAGTTATTAGTAAAAATAAAAAAATTCAATCGGGGCAATTGAGTTATTAGTAGGTCAATTGCACTTGGCTATCTCCTCACGTTTGTAACAAATACCCCCTACCATCTCGACAATGGTCAATGCCCTTGGCTAATTTGTATGACGAAAATACATTTAGTTATTTTTCAGTTAATGATAGTAAGAGTATCAGGATAATCTCCCAAATCAAACTTTAACACCCAGAATAGGATAACTGCAATATGCCAAAACACATGCGAGATGATTGTAACAAACTCAAACCTGAGGGGAGTTAAGTGTAATATATATATATATATTTTTTTTTTTTTTAGTACTTTACTTTGATTCTCTCCTACCTAGTAGAGTATTTATTTAAGGTGACAATAGACATTAGCTTAGATGGTATAATCTCTCCTTCTCAAACTGGAGGTTGAGCGTTCGACCATTGTTAGAGATAAATTATGGATGTGTGCAAGCGTTTCCTTGAACTTTCGAGAGAAAAAAAAAAAAAAAAACATAATTTCTGCTTGAATTGGATAGTGTTAGGAACTTGGATAGATAGGGATGGCAATTTTGTAACTGTTTTATTTATTTATTTATTTTTATTATTATTTTAGAAATAAAAAAATTCAAATCTAGAATCATAAGATAGTTGACACTTCAGACCCGACTTTTTTATCACTTGAACCTCCACACCTCAACTCAAATACGTAAGAACTACAACAGATATAAGTAGGTGAATCGATCAATGACCTCCTTAAGCCCTTTAATCAACACCTTTTGTGCATATGATCACATGCCAATTGTCTAAGAGGTCCAAGCAGAAGTTGTGTCCACCAATAAAATGGTTGAGATTTGACTAAATGCATCCTGCAATTTTAGTGTGTGATGGAACAGTTTCAATGTCTACTTTGCCCTATAATTAATCATCATGGCTTCCCTAAGATACTGAAGATAAATGTATAATCCAATCATTTTAAAAGTAAACCACGCATAAAAAGGAATGGCTTTGAAATCTGCAAAACTCATATTACCAAAACAAAATGTGATGTGTTTCGGTGATTGATTATCTTAGGCTGTGTTTGGTAGGGTGGGTTTAAAGAGAAAGGATAATATTAATTATGAGAGAAAGGGAAGGGAAGGGAAGGGAATGTAAGGATAATTTTAGCCTCCTATCGTGTTTGGTTGATTATTGAATGAAAAAGAAATGAAAGGATAATAATCATGTTTGGGGAAAGAAAGGGAAAGAAAAGAAGAAGAATTATTTTAATAAATTTACTATTATGCTCTTTTATAATTTAAAATATAAATTTATTATATATCTTTATATATATATATATATATATATATATATATATATATTTGTCTGCTATATAAAGGCCCATGGATCGGCCACCAGAAAATGAAATTTTTTTTAGGGCAAATCATTTCAGCCTCCATCTCTATTCTCGTTCTCAACTCTGAACTTGCCCTCCCCCCCTTTCTCTCTCTCTACAACTGCAAATACAAGAATCATAAATTCAAAACCCATATATTTCAGTTTATATATTTATCTGCAATAATCAAAACTTCAAAACCCATATCGACATCATTTCAGATTGTTCAAAAAATCAAAACCCAATTTCAAATTGTTCAAAAAATCAAAACCCATATCGATCTTTCAGTTTCCATCGCCCGTTGTTCCAATTCGGGTTCGCCATTCGCAAGCTTCAGCCGCTGGCCCTCTTTCTCTCAACTCTCAAGTTTGTCCCCTTCTTTCTCTGCAACTGCTAAATCAACTAATCAAGGTCTGTAATTCTTGTTTTGCAAACTAAATTCACATGTAATCAAGGGCAAATTTGGTATCTGAAATCACATACCAAGCTTCTCCTTCCCTTTCCCTTCATTTCCTCCCATTTTTGGGAGGTTAAGAAATTTATTGTTGAAGCCTTGTCTTAACCCTCTCAACCCTTCCCTTTCCTTCCAACAATTTTTGCCAAACACAAATTTTTAATCCCTCTTCATCATCTTCTCTTCCCTTTCCTTCCTTTGCCATTGCACCAAATTGACCTTAATGTGTGTTAGCATTGGGAAAATAGTTCATGGAATAAAAAGTCAACTCAACCCATTGGAGCACGTGTCGGTCTGACATCATACCCGGTTGTGACAAGTGTCAAGCTGCCATTACCTGCCCAGTTGTGGTTTTATTAAGGCTCCTAAGGCCATCTGTAGCAGGCTCGCGGAAGCCCAATTTCCGCGAGCCAAGGACCAAATGGGTGCACAGTGCCCTAGCTAAAACGCGTGGGTTCGGTTTTTGCTCGCGGGCCGGCTCGTGGTATTCAGCGAGCCGGCTCGCCATCGCTGAATTTTTTTTTTTGCGTTAAAACGACGCCGCTTTTGCTGCACCATTTTTTGTCTTATTCCTTTGCTCCTTCCACAGTGCGCCGAACAGTGCCTTAAAATAAGGCACTGTTTGGCAGATTTTATTTTATTTTTAAAACCTAAAAATAGGTTATTTTGAGCTGTTTTTTTAAAAATAAAAAATAAAATAAAAATATAAAATAAAAAATATTAAATAAAAAATATATTGTTTAGGCACTGTTTGTCAAAAATAAATTTTATTTGTACCAAAAATAAATTTAAAAAGCTTGTTTTTTTGTTTTTTTTCCCTTAAATTTTTTTTTTTTTTTGCTTTAAATTTTAAATGTGTACCACAAATAATGCATTTGGCCATTAAGACACTATTTGGCCGACACAAATAGTGCCCTAACGACTATAATTTTTTTAAAAAATATATAAAATTTTTTAAAAAACTTTTTGTAAAAAAAATAATTAAAATTACAAATCCATCTACTTAAAAATATAGTCATTAAAAATATAGTCATTACAAATATAGCCGTTTAGGAAAAGTTAAAAAATAATAATAAAAAATTAATTTTAATTTTTTTTATTATTTTTTTTGGAGAGCGAAAATTCGGAGAGCATGATGGAATGCATGTTTCTGGAGAACGAAAATTACTGACGTGACTCTTGAAATTACCGACGTAACTCTTGAAAAAACTGATATGGTATTTTTAGAGAGCCAAAATTCGAAAAGGCTGATGCAGATGGCCTAATTCTCTATTATCTTAACCATTGGTTTGTTTGACATGATAAAAGGGTACCATATGAGTGAGTGGGGTCCAATGGGGCCCAAATAACTAGGAAAAATGGCATCTTGTAGAAGGATTCATTCAACATTCCATGGCTAGGTTTGTGGGGAGTGGCATGGTCTTACTCACCTGCAGGGGGACAAGGTCTTCTAGGAATGGGACAGTTCATTGCTAGCCACTGTACCATGAGCTGTCTACTTGTCTCTCATCACTAAATTTGCATATATTTGAAATGATTGACTCCAATTCACACATTCTTCTACATCACCATTTCCAAACCATTCAATATCATAACCACAATTAACACCACCTTCAATTTCCATCACCAATTCACCATTATTGGGGTTGTACCTTCCAATGAGAGGAAAATTTCAATCACAGTTTCAACATTATTAGTTGTACTATGCAATCGATGAGAGAAAAACTAATTACGGTATTTTGGTTCATGTGACAAGTGAAAATTTCATCGATGAATACCGTTATTAGTTGTATTTTTTGATAAGGGGAAAGCTAATCACGAGTCAAGGTTGAAAAAGAGATAATTGATAACATACAACGTTCTCATTATTAGTTGTGTTTTTGATAATATTTATAATAAAAAAAATTTTGGATAAAGGAGTGTATGCAGTGGATTGATTCTTCTTTTTAATTTTGATATTTTGCTTTAAGTGTGCATATATTAACAGCATTTAAAGAGCAATGGACAAACTGCCTAATCAGTTATTGAGGTTCCCTTATAACTATCTATTATAATATATTTCAGATCTAGGAAGATGGTTGTGTCCAGGTGGTCCTGGACAATGGGGTTTTTATCCTAAATTTCTGGTTCCCTTGCTTATAAAGATTTTTTTGGTCTGTGTTTGAACAATATTTTGTCTAAAAGGATCTTTCAATTTCCAAGAATAATATGGTGAATCAACATTTCTCTTACCAGATTTTTCTTCTGTGAAAGTAAATTTTTTTTTTTTTTTTTTTTTTTTTTTTTCAGTTATGGAATGGGTATAGCAATCTCTCGGAGGTTACTCTTTCTCTGTAATGAATACTTGACATGATGGGTTGTAGGATTTCTATCTTTTTTCTAAACGAGTTATCTAAACTTTTGGACGAGAGTAATTTCGAACATTTTCCACACCCTCGAGTCGCTGCATAATTTTGAAAAATCTCATGTCTGGCTCCAGGGAGGAGAGTGACCTCGAACTTCATGATGCACAGCCCTCATGATTTTTGTCCAAAGTTTTGCGAAAATGATAAGCTCTTCTTCATCTCAGAGACTTGAATTGACTCTCACCTTCCTCCAAGTTTGGGGAGCTGTGGTCCTTGTGGACAAGGTCCACCAGAGTCATGTACTTTTGGGGGCAAAAAAGAGAAGTAACATTAAGAAATTAATAATTTGTTATACCTCATTTTAATCTCTACCATTGTCATTTTAAAATTTGTTATTGGTAATTTAGTCATTGGAAAAGTATGGAAAAAAACAAACTACTGTATTTGCCTTGTCATTCCTCATAAAGTTGAATGCACTCACTTCACCAACCAAAAAAAACCGGACTACTCAGTTGGCCACACTAAGGATTCACTACCATTCAGTGGGGAATTTTTTTTTAACTCGAAAGATTATAGGAGTAATGAAGTATTTTCTTTCCTTTCTGTTTGATCTCAGCCATGGTGAATAAATAAATATCTAAGATACTATCCACTTTTCGATAAGAGTGTCAATTTATATTTGCGGTCGGATCATGTTGTTTCAAATAATATCTAAGATACTATCCACTTTATGATAAGAGTGTCAATTTATGTTTGCGGTCGGATTAGGTCGTGTTTAGACATAAATTTTATTATATGGGTCGACACGAACACAATACTATTATAAATCGTATTAAAAAACCTTGACGTGAATACAAAATGATCATTATACGAATAACAAAATAGAAGTGCGTGACGCGTAACCCATTTAATAACTAAGTCAAGACTTGACGTGACAAGATATGACATGACAATATACATTCAAGTTATTTTTTAGACGAACGTAATAGTATTAGAGGTACTCCTTTGTCCATCAAGCCTCAATCATCAGCACAATCCTCGAAAATATTGCAGTGAATCATTCGAGGATTGTGTTGACGATTGATGCTTGATTGACAAAGGAGTGCCTCTAAATATTGCAATGAATCATCCGAGGATTGTGTTGACGATTGAGGCTTGATTGACAAAGGAGCACCTCTAATACACAACACGTTTAGCTAAACGGGTGATTTTTAATATTAACACAACATGTTATTTAACACGTTTAGTTAAATGGGTTAATTAGACTACAGACAAGTTTGCGAGTCAAACACAAACACGCTTTATTTAACGCTTTATGTCAATATTGTTCGACACGATTATAATACGGACGCCATTAATCTAAACTTAAACTCACTTATTTTATGTCATGTTCAAGTTTTATTAGCGTGTTGTATCAAATATTGTCACTCTTAGCGGACCCTCCTACGTTTTCACAATTTTCAAAACACAAATTAATTAGAGTTTACACTATCAACTCTCTCAATGATCTAAAGCAGGTGGAGCTCGTCCAGTTTCACACTTAGTAAAGTAATCAGTTGCCAGCAGCACATATTTGTTCTGAGCTCTTGCAGTTGGCAGAGGACCAACCACGTCCATCCCCCATTGTGCAAAGGACCAGTGTATATAAATAGAATACATTTTCTACAAGCGCCAACAACTTCACTCCGGGACAACATGGACACTGCACTTCTCACATTCATGACTCATGAGTACTGTTGCTACAAATGTACACTGTATATTGGTATCAAATAATACATTGAAAGCATTTTCTTTGTACCTTTGCATATCAATTCTTCTCCTTCTCCAAAAAGAAAAGACAATCAACTTGAACAACCATTTATTGGTTTTGAAAAGATTTCAAATTAAAAACTTTTTAAGGCCTAATTATAAAAAGTCCACCACCCAAATTCATAACGACAACATTAATTAGGCAACGGCAATTTTTAAATATTTGAACAGAATTAGAGTTTCATGGATCAAATCAGTGCCACGACTGCTCATTTAGTACTTGTATAGAAGTGTGCTGCACAAAAACCTCACCCCGTACAATATATATTATTATATAAGCATTGATTAATCTGAAAAAGAATGTCTTTGTGCTAGTGGGTGTAGAATGAAAAGCTAAAAGCTAAGAGAATAGAGTCGTAATGTAGACATATAAAAGAGAGGAAGGAGAGAGTTGGATTGTCAAAAGGCTGTGTGTAGGAAATTGAACCAATAACAAGTTTTTCTCAGCTTGGCCATACTTTTTCTCATCTTTATTTATTACTCCCAAAGCTCAACTCTCATTGGCTTCTAGGATCTGCTTTTGACCTCATCACTTTTCCACCACCACCACCACCACCTCTGTTCTTTCTATACTAACCCTCCTCCTCCTCCTCCTCCACCTCCACCACCACCACCACCGGCCATTATTATTCAATCTTTGCAAATGAAGGTAAGAGATAGAGATGGTTCTTTTCTCTTAGTTTTGATTATTGATAATATGTGGATATGTCATGAATTGGAGTGTTGATTTGTTTGTTTTGTTGCAGTTCTTCAATTGGATGCAAAATAAGTTAAATGGTGGGAATGGGAACAAAAGACCAAATGCAGTGTCTGCTAACTGTAAGTATTGTTAGATTTTTTTTAATTTTTTGAATTTTTTTTTGTTTTTGTTGTTGTATATAATGTTTCTATCATCAATGATTTGTTCTTGTACTCATTCATATTTCCATATTCATGCTACCTTGTTGTATTGTTTGGCTGAGACCAATTGTGGTAAAAACTCAATTCTCATGAGAAAAACTTCTCTGATAAAGTGTTCCATTTTCATTCATGCTACCTTATTGTATTGTTTTGGTTGAGACCAAGTGTGGTGTATATATATCACTCTATCAATGTCATGACAAGATATGAATTTATAATTTTGGTGGAAATGTTGGCCCCGTGACAGCGGATTTGATTGACAAGAAGAAGAAAGAGCAAAGTCCAGTAGGGTGATCACTGAGTAGGGTCAAGATTCGATTCTAATCTGAAGTCGGACCAATCAGGATGGGATTATAGGGATCTACTTGTTCCAAGTCTCAGTTTGGTTTATGAAAATGTGGTTGAGTTTAATCTGACCAAGATTTGAGTCCATAATGTTATGCATTTCGTGGTAATAGTATGGTAGTTTCTTATGAACTTGAAATGCCATGATTACATGCATCATTGCCTTTTTGGACTTGAATCATGTTCAGATAAAATTATATATATATATATATATATATATATATATATATATATATATATTCCATAATTTCCATGCGAATTTCATGTGAATTTCAATATAATCAAACAAGATCTAGTGGATTTCAATATAATCCAACAAGATCTATATTCCATGTGAATTTCAATATAATCAAACAAGATCTAGTGGATTTGGATTACAGTATATTAATGTTGGTTTATGGGTTTGACTCGAATTTGGATTTTGCCATAGATATGTGCACTACATGTGCCATAATTGTTACACTTTACAACACACACACAAATTTTATCTAGTTTTTGTTCAACCCTTTTTACTCTTCCATCTTTCTCATTTTACTTTTCCATCTCTCTTTTTACACTCTTTTAAGTTTTAGGTTCAACCCTTTAAAGGAGTGTTATTTAATTTGTTTTTCCACTGATTTTTGCAGATCATGTAAAACAAGAACCTCACAAAGAAGAATTCAGTGACTGGCCTGATGGATTGCTAGCAATAGGAACTTTTGGAAATAATGATCTAAAAGATCAAAATCTGGAAATTAGCGAGCAAAGTGTTCAGGAAGATCCATCTTCATCTCCTTCAGATTTGCAAGATTTCACACCTGAAGAAGTTGGGAAATTACAGAAAGAATTGACAAAGCTGTTAACGCGAAAGCGCGCTTCCAATTTGGAAGGAGAGATTGCTGAGCTCCCATTGGACAAGTTCCTCAATTGCCCATCAAGCTTGGAGGTGGACCGCAGAATTAATTCCAATACATTTTGCAGCGAATCGGATGACAAAGAGGAAGAAGATATTGACAGAACTATTAGAGTGATACTTGGAAGATGCAAAGATGTTTGCATGGAAAACAATAAGAAGGCAATTGGGAAAAAGTCATTGTCTTTCCTTCTCAAGAAGATGTTTGTCTGCAGAAGTGGATTTGCACCCACTCCCAGTTTGAGAGATACACTTCCGGAGTCAAGAATGGAGAAGGTATACATATATACACACACACACACATACAAATATAGATCATACTTGCACAATTAATACATTCCACAATTTCATATATATGCTTGGTTTGTGTTAAAATTGGGGACCTGAAAATGTGTCATTTCGTTGCCTATATAATATATGTATTCAATATTTGATCTTATTGATTGATCATTTTTTTCAATGCTCATTTTGTTTACAGCTTTTGAGGACATTACTTTCCAAGAAGATATACCCTCAAAATGCGTCTCGAGCATCATCTATGAAGAAATATATAGATGACAAACAAACACCAAAGAAAGGAAAAGAGGATGAAACAGAGGATAAGAAAAAAAATGAGGGGTGTAAATGGGTGAAGACAGATTCTGAATGTAAGTTAATTTATAGTATATGCATATGCAGTGATGCACACACACTAAAAACACACACACACACACACACACACACACTAAAAGTTGCAGAAACACGCAGAGGATTGATGAATTCATTTTCTGATTAATTTGCAGATATTGTTTTAGAGATTTAAATTTAGTTGCAAGGTATATGGACATCCAATATTTTCCGATTGAGCTACATGGAATAAGCTAGCAAAGGTTTGAGAAGTACTAGTGATCATGTAGAATTGATGATGATGGCCAAGAGTTTGAAATTTGTGAGGACAAGGGCATCAATAAAAATCCATATTCTCAGGCAGTGCATGAAGTGATTGAACATAAATTGTATGGCCAAAATCAGCTTCTTTTGTGGGACATATATATATATATATATATATATATTGCCTCCCGTTTTTTTCATGGTTGTATTGATCTATCGTGATCAGATGAGTTCAACACATGTTATGATGTAATATTATTGTCAAGGGATTTCTGTTGTCTGTACTACTGCCAAACATTTTTTATCCTACTTGTACACTTTCCACTTTGAATTTACTCTCTCTCTCTCTCTCTCTCTCTCTCTCACACACACACACACACACACACACACACACACACACACGTAAGTCTCTCTCATATGTAAGATGGTTCAAGGCAAATACTTCAAAATGAGATAAAAATGGATTCTTTTAGCATGATTAAACAAGCTTGAGAAGGGGGACACTTGAATGTTGTACCTATGCAGTCCTTGTGCTCCAATATGGACACAAAAGATGGATCAAGTTCAATAACTCTGACTTAAATTTTTTATAAATAAAATAAAATAAAAATAAAAAGACTTAAACTTTTTGTATGAAAAGGATATTATTTCATATAGATATATGTCATCATCACACTTGTTTAAGTTACTTAAGCTTTTACTTATAGTATTATTGTACTTTCTCCAATTCAAGCGTCTTCTGACCAAGTGATCCACCATAAGCAACCCAAGGGTCAATTTTCTCCGTGTGTGACTGTTTTGATAAATAAATAGATAAATAAATAATGTTACAATCTTCACAAAATACAAACACATACACGTCTATAATTTCACCCTATTTGAAACCCTAGACTTGCATATAGTTGTTCTTCAATCTCATTTGCAATATTCTTTTCTGACCTTAAGTTTAACAGGTACTTACAATTGGATTTGCTTGCTTTCAAATTCAAGATTTTTGTTTAATTTTAGTGTTTGATCCATTCAATTTCATCTCCATTATTTATTGATTCTCCTAATTTTTCTATTTTTTTTTCTTTTATGTGAAAGAAATCAACTAAGATAAATTTTTTTTCCCTTACACATTGTTTCAAGAAAATTAAAAATAAAGAAGGAGAATATCCCTCAAATTAAAAAATAAAAAGCTTCCTTCAAGAATAATCTTTTTGTAAAAACAAAAAACTATTATATGAAAGTTGAACTAAAGGCACACCCACCATTCTCCAAAAGTGAGTCTTTTTCTACTTTTATTTTCAGGAAAAAATTATTTAAAAAGTTACCAACTAAATTAAATTTCGCATTTTTTTTTTCTGTTATTTGATGACTAAAAAATTGTTCTTTAAAAAAAAAAAATTGGAATTTCCAAGTCTTGACCCAATAACATCCTGACACGTATTTAATCCCCTGAGCTAAGACCTTTCCAATCACCACTCATTATTTTTCTCCAATTAACCCCACCCAATAAAAAAACGACCTTTATTTTCTCTACTTATCAAAATAATACAGAGTCGATGGAGCAAGCAGCTAATGGGAAGGTCCAAACCCTAGAAATCTATAGGTGCAATATTCTCTCACAAATAGTTCGTGCAGTTTCTCTCACTTCCTTGCGCTTTCCCTCGATTTTTCTTTCCAATTTTCTCTTGAATCCTTCCCATGTGACTGAATCTGACCGTTTATTGTAAACCATTCAGTCCCATCAATCTGGAGGAGATACCAAACTCAAAATTCTTTAGTCTTAATTTATAGGGTTTTGGGATTAGTCAAGTTAGGATTTTTTAGATAACAGGTTTGGAAGATTGGTGTTCAATCAGGGGTTTATTTTTCCTGGGAGGTTTTTGCTAGTGTAATGTTTGGTTGATTTGAGGTTTTCTGTGATTGTGAATTTAGGTTTTTTTTTATTTTTTTGGGAGATATTTGGATTATATAGGGAAGTGTTGGTGAGGCAGCGGAGGGGTATCGGAGCTGCCAATGCAATTTGTTTGGTTTTCGGAGGATTTTTCGGTGATTTTTCAGATACCGAAAGAGTTTGAGTTCAATGTCTTGGGCAGGACCAGAAGATATCTATCTATCTACTTCGCTTGCAAGTTATCTCGACAGTAAGCTCTCTCTAATTAGCTTATCTTCATCGTTTTCTGACATTCAGTGAGCTCTTTCTGAAAGTTACTATAACAAGTTTTGGTTTTCCTTTGTTTTAAATATACAGTTTCAATCCTGTTCTGGTTTAAAAGTTATATATGAAGTTCTGGTTTTCCTTTGTTAGTATGTCAAAAGTTATTGTTTGTTATACAATCCTATTAACTGAAACACATCAGATCCTCCAATTTAGCCATTATTGCCTAATCTGCTTCTAAATGCAATTTTTTTTTTTTTGGAGAAGAAGAGGGGGTGGAACCTTCCACTTTTGTAGGGAGAAGAGATACAGCAAGGCTACAATCCTTGATTGCTTCTAAAGGCTATAATTAGGCTCATATTTGTGTTGTGGGTGCAATTGCATGATAGCTTTTGTCTACTGCTGATATACCCTAATTTTCTTTCTAGTTAAACTTTTGTTGAGGTTGCTTTTGGAAACTTCTTGGAGCCGTTTACTTAAATGGGTAGACTAGATATTAGTTTTTATAGTGGATTAGAGTATGAGGTTACATTTTCTAAGGGACTGGAATATAGTTTAATCATTTTTGTTTCTGTATATGAAGTGAATCAGGGCATTTTTCTGTTACCTTTATATAGATTGACAATTTGGGGATCAACAACATGCTTAATATGTTGGAAGTCAACAATTCCTAGGTATACCAAATAACTTCAACAAGAAGAAAAAAAAAAATCTTTCTTGATACTGGAATTGGATCGCAGCATTGCAATTTTGTTTATCCCGTAAATTCTAATTGGGAAAAGTACGGAAAAAGTCCTACTTTTCTACATCAAAGACAACGGAGTCTAATGAACTTCCGTTAAGACAATAAAGCCTTAGTGTCTTGCTTTTAGAAACTATTTCCAAAGAAGCTCTATACTTATTTGTGTTCCTTTCTTGCCTTTCTTCAATTTTATTCACAAAAACTTCCATTTATATTATTCAAAGCATATTTTATGCAAAACATATTCTTAATACTGATTTATATTGTTTTAGATTTAAAATTTAAAGTAATTGGTAATGGTTAAAATTAATTTTTCTAGAATTTCAAGGTTTCAAAAAAAAAATAATAATAATGTGTAAAAGATAAAATGTGATTGTAAGAAAAATGAATAATAAAGGTTTCTTTTTTCTATAAAAAGGAAATTATAAAGCAAAAGCCTAGACTATATTTTATGTATTCACATGTCTTCATTTTGTCCATGTCTAGCTTTTTAAGGACTTTAAACTCTCAACATTCCACTGCCATATGGAATTTTTATCAAAATTCTGCATGTCTGCAGCATAGCGTGTCTTAAAGCATTTTGGTGCTTATGTGATTATGTCATGCATGATGCAAATCATACATGCCATCTGAAGAGATTTACTATCAAATGCACTTTAAGTTTTAGATAGTTCAGGTGGGATGTTGATAGAGTCTGCCACCTGAATTTTGTGGTGCTACATTTTTATCTCCCGTCTCTATTTTGGGCTCATGCTTATTTTTATATTTCAAACCATTTTTTCCACAGAGAAGCTTCTTGTATTGCTTCGAGATGGTCGAAGACTGTTGGGGATACTTCGTTCTTTTGATCAATTTGGTACCCTTTTCCTCTCTCGTTGTTTACTTAAGTTTGATCTACTAATTTTCAATTCTCTGTCAGCTGACTGAAATTCTAATTCTCATATGCAGCCAATGCTGCTCTTGAAGGTGCATGTGAACGAGTTATTGTTGGTGATATTTATTGTGACATCCCATTAGGTCTATATGTAATACGTGGAGAAAATGTCGTTTTAATTGGTGAATTGGTATGCAGTCTTACTACTTATCTTCTATTTCAGCTTAAGATTTGCTTTAATACCTGCTTCCTTGTTAAAATTTGCATCTGATTGTTTAGGACTTGGAGAAGGAGGAACTTCCCTCGCATATGACACGTGTTTCAGCCGAAGAGATAAAAAGGGTAAGTGGTACTGTTGTGATGCTTCTGTAAATGTATATAGTGGTTAAGATAGTACATGATACACTAACATGATCTTTCATTGAGCGGCCTTCCTTGCTATCCATCTTTACATAATTTCCTTGTATACATAATCTCTTGACTAATAGTTAGATAATTCTCAATGATGTTTTTATATCCTTTAGTCCTGTACGTCTTTAATATCTGTGTGTTGAGTTGTAGCAAACTATACTCCTGTTGTGATGTGAGAGAGAGAGAGTCATATTTGATATATTAGTTTTTCTATCAGAATTTTTGTACCGCCACAGTTTGAAGGGGAAAAGAATACAATGATGAACTAACAAAACACAGGTCCGGTAGGGTTCTTTGCCAAATGAATCTAACGGGTAGAATTCAACTTTGTTCGACTCTTCTATGGGAGTTTTAGTGGCTTATGATTCAGCATTTAATTTTTTTTTAGTTAAGATGGGGCTTAGAGACCTTCAATTTTTTCAGTTCACGTTGATATTAATGAAATTAATAAAATTATGCGACTGTATAGAACACTCTTTTTCTCTCTAATAAAACATAACAAATTTAAATTTAAATTTTGTTGTATCAAAAAAATTCTATAAAATTTAATTCCATTCATTCGAGAATTTTTTTTCTTTCATTCAGGAAAAAAAAAAAAAAAAAAAAAAAAACAAGCAAATTTAAATTAATTTAGAAATGTATGAGATCTTTCCTAACTCTGGCTGAATGTTTGGTTCGCATAACTATTCAGCCAATCAGCCTGATACAATCTTTACATGGCATCATGTCTATTGATACAATCTTATGAAGAAACAAGTACAAAACCACAGATCTTAAGAAGCTTTGGACAAAGAACTACCTTCTTAGATGAGTGATGGTATACTGGTGTTATTGTTGCCAGTATTGGTTGGACCTAGCATCGTAATGCTACATGTTCTGAGAGAACACCACCTCTCCATCTACTTATTGAAATGCTCCCAGGGTTTTCATACTGCCAAACTCAGGACACATGTAGATATCATTAAAACATGATGCGTTGCAAGTTTGAATAACTGTATTTTAATATTGTCCATTTAGTGGTCGAAATGTAATGACTCAATGGGCTGCCAATATTACATTCTTTAAAGTTATTTCTATATATATGTATTGGTTGTGTTTACATGAATATATTAACTCATATTATCACATATAGTAGGAAACCAAGGTGATTAAGATATAGCATTGTGAGTGGACTTCTGTGGACATCCATAATCTCTCTCTCTCCCTCTCTCTCTCTCTCTCTCTATATATATATATATATAATTTCTTTTTATTTTATTTTTTTAATTTACAAATGCGGGTGCATTTTACTCATTAGCAATATTTGCAGTCCGGTTGTGTAATTTATTTCTACGAACCTCCCAATCTTACATGCCAGAGATTAGTTTGAAGAAAGATCTATAAGCTTGTGTAATACTAGGTTGTAGTGATACATTTACTTCATTTAGTATCGTCACTCGAAAGCAACACCTCCTAAGAAGCCACGTTACTGGCTCGATCAGTTGGATGAATGAGTTAGTTTTTTTTTATTTGGTTTTGCAGCTTGTCTTGGATTTTATTGTGCCATGATTTGGGTTGGAAACACTTTGTTTCTTGATGGATTAATGCACTCCAAATGTTATTATATAATTTTAGTCAAGAAGTATATTGAACCTCAACCTCAACGGTTGATTTGTATGAAGTGCAGGACAATGCAAAGAACTTGTTGACTTGAAATATTGGATTATAAATTTAAAACTTCCAACTTCTATAGGTCCACAGTGGCATATTGGGTAGAAGAAAATTGTTGTGTGAGAAGCAGATTGTAGATCATCTTCTTGTGATGTACCATTTCTGGCATTTTTGCATTTTTTTCTCCTTGTGATATTCACATTACTTTATTCTTTTGCTTCCCTGCACTTCTCTCCTCCTCCTTAGCCCTTCTCTCCTCCTCCCTTAGCCCATAGGTTCCTTTCTGTTTTCTCTGTTCTTACCGTTGTATTCTATTTGTTTTCAACAGGCGCAGAAAGCAGAAAGGGAGGCTACAGATCTCAAAGGCTCCATGAGAAAGAGGATGGAGTTTCTTGATTTTGATTGATGCATATTCTTTAGACATCTGGTCCTGCATTTTGCATAGTTTCTGTGCCATGTCTTCCGCAAATATTATCGCGGTTGGTGGATTCTGGCTTTTATAAATTATTGCCAGATGATCATTTTGCCCGTCTACACAATTTGCTGTAATATCTATGAAAAATTTATTCACGAATTAGGGAACAGGATGTTTTGTGTTTGACGTTTCAAAACCATCATTATTATATTTTAGTCTTGCCTGGCCAATTTTCTTGTTAACTGATTTCTGCTCATTGATGCAAATTTATTAGAGACAAGTCTTAGCGCCTATTAAGGAGCTTGCTTGACCTTGTATATAGGAGGCCAAACACGTGTTCCGAAAGTCCAAGTCTTAGGTCTAATTAATTAGGCACAATGTCATTTATTTCCTGGTTTAATTATCTGGAGGTTTTGTTTAAAAAATGTCAATCCAGACCTTTTAATTGTTTAAAAATTGTCAGCATTTTTTTATTGTATGTGCCTAAACTATCAACAACATTAAGATAAAGACTAGGAAAATCACGAGGAAGGTTTGGTCTGGCAAAAGGTTTTGGGACCTTTGCTCATGATATGATACATGAATGGTTTGAAATATGGTATTTTGCTTTTTGTTTTTTATTATCTAACAGGCTAATACTTCACTAAACACAATTGTCACTTAAAAAGCAGATATCGTGAACTTAGAAAATATAAAATACAGTTCTTGGATTTTTTATTTTTTCAACTCTTAATTTTCAAAAACAGTCAATCAAACAAATTTTTGTATAATTTTATCGGAAAATTATTCTCAACCGACAGGCTTTAATTATTTGAGTTCAACCTCAAAAAGGTATGTTGGAAGTTAGCTGGGTTGTGTTTAGTAACCCAAAACATTTTTTGTTTTCTGTTGTCAATCTTTAAAAAGAAGAAACAAACACAAAAATTATGTTTAGTAATTTGTTTTTGTTTCCTCTTAAAAAAATATTTCTCATTTTTATGAAATAAAGAGAAAACATCAAAATGATGTTTCCTGTGTTTTTTCACTATAACAAAGGACATTACTCTTCCATTAATACACAACCATTGACATTACTCCATTAGTACTTTTATGTTCTATATATATACATTATACAAAATCTATTTTTATATTATATATATTTACATTATACATATATTCTATATATATACATTATACAAAATCTATTTTTATATTATATATATATACATTATACATATATTCTATATATATACATTATACAACTGCCCTGTATTTATTTTTTTTTTTTTCCTTTTTCTGATTGTTATACATGTATTGATTGCAGTTTGTTTTCAGATTTTTTGTTAATATATATGTATATATAAAATTTATTTTTATATTCTATATATATACATTATACAATTGTACGCTTATCTTGCCTTGTATATATATTCCTTTTTAGATTATGTCTTTTATTGTGATTGAAAGTTAGATTTTGATAGATGGATGAAAAAATAAATTAAAAAAATTTTCAAAAAAAAAATTTTTTTGCAACAAATGTTTTACTAAACATTACTTTTTATTTTTTGTTATTAAAATTGTGGCAACAGCAAGGGTTATTAAACGTTATTTTTACTTTCTATTTTTACTTGAAAAACAAAATTTTATTTCTATTTCTTTACGACTGCAAAAATAAGAAATAAAAAAGTTACTAAACGCACCTTATTTGTTATTATTTCTCTTATGTGTTTTACATGTCCACAAACGGTTTCGGCTTTACCTCAATTTCTCATAAGGGCCCATATGAGCTGGAGACTTAATTTCTACTTTCTAGTGGACGACAAAATTGACAAAGATTGGAATAAGGTACGAAGATAAATTAGAGCGGCTGTGAACTGTATTATAGTATAATATATATATATATTATAGTATATGACATATTGCAAGTGTGGTCCATTATACATGATAAAGAACCATCTTTTATTCGAACCCCTTTTTTTTTTAATTATTTTTTATTTTTTTTTCCTGTTTTTTGGTTCTGATTGGTAGGACACACCCCCACACCATTTTTATCCAATTTAGGACTTATTTTATTGGAGGTTTATATTGGGATTGGCTTAGAATTTTTCTTCAACGGCTGATAACTCTCACCAATTCAATTATTGGGGTTACATCACCTTCCACGTTGCTGAAATGGCTTATTATTATTAGACATTGGCTGCTTATTCATGTGGAGAAAATAAGTAACTACAAATTTTGAACCACACATGTTTTGGCTTTGTATACAAATATCTCCCCACCCCTTCACTTCAAAAACAAAATGAATACTGCCAAGCTTATATGTTCCTTAAATCATTAAATTCATATGTATGACTTTGGCGGTCTATGTACAAGTCTATGTGCATTTAACCTGAATATTATTTTTATAAAAAATAAAATATTAATATTCTAGAAATATGAAGAATTGATTTTGAAATGACATTGTAACTGGTGTTTGCATAATAGTCATTACGAAGGTAACGGTGTGCGATTTGGAATCATCTCCATAGTCGTGGAGGGACACTTAATATGATTGGAGACTTTAGACAAAATATATAAAAATGATAATAATGTGATTTCAATGGAAGTATTTGACCCTAGGTAGCGCACACATTTTGATTATTCTTGTGAATCAAGTTAATATATATATATATATATATATATATATTAACTTCTTTTATTATTGTATAATATTTTAATTATTTTAAATGACTTAATTGTTTATTTGTTAACTTAATTAAGTTCAGATGGAAAGGGAGTTCATAAAAATTAATAGGGATGACGGAAAGTTTTATTAATTCTCACAATTATTGGTTAACTATATTCAAATAATTAATACAATTTAAAAACGTGGAATAAGGGGAGGAGGAGGCAAAAAGAGAGAGAGAGAGAGAGAAAGAAATGAGATACGAATAGAACTTAAAGAGTTTTAAATATGAAGTGGAATAAAATCTTTTAGAATTAAATCTCTAAGATTAGTTGAGGGTCTAATAATATAAGGAAAAAGAAAAAAAAATTAGAAGTCTAATAATAATCATAATAATTTTAGGAGTCTTAACTTTTATAAGTGTGTTTCTCGCTGATGTTTAAAAAATAAAATAAAATAATGCGTTGAACCCAAATTATTCGACTTAAGCATGTGAACAGCAGAGAATGTGAGTTAAAAAATTGGAGACTAACCAATTTTGTTCACAGTAATAGGAGGATATATGCCCCCACATTATGAGAGCATAATGATTATAATACATCTCATAATGCTTTATAGGAACCCTTGGCTATCTAAACTAAATTTTGTTCACTAGAGTGTTAGGAGGGACAGATTGGTCCGATTGGATACACAAAATAATTATTCTCAAACTTGGTCTGAAATTGTGTTCTCATGTAGCTGCAGTTGAATACAAAAAATAGGAATGGAGACTATGCCCAAGAATGAATATGTTACATTTGCTTGTATATCGTAGTAATTGCTCTGACCATGGAATAATTTCTTGCACTTAAGAGACGGAAGGAAACTTCATGCACCATGCCTCACGGTACAACATAATATTTTTCTGATGTGATATTTACTAATACTCTTTCATTTAAAAATTTGGAAGATTATATCCTAAACCACATCTCTGATTCAATATATATATATGTATATATATATATATATAATTGAAAAAAATGATAAAGGGTCACAAGGGTCATTACACTCTGTGTGATCAAGTTAATCAAATGTGCAGGTAGAGACTGTAGAGTAGCTTATTTGCAAAAAGTGAGTGCTCTCAGGATACAAACCAGTACTCCCAAACTCGCTGAAATTTAACGATTCCTACCTTTTGCTGGCTTTTCCTTTACTTGAAACCTGAACATTTATTGCTTTATTTGAAACGTTTTCCAACATTCTATTCCCACATGCTTCATGCATATAAATGAGCACTTATGTCCCTTACATTCTAAAAACAGATTGAGACACCGCAGTCCCAATCGATTCATGTTTTGGTGATAGAAAAAAAACATTTATACTACCACCACATGGTAAATTTTCTTCTACATGAAGAGATTTTAACCACTTATCATCCCCCTCCAATAATTACCTCACAATCAAATACTGGACCACAGAAGAAGCTTTGTTTGACTCACAATATTGACCAAAATTACAAATATTAAGTTGAAAAAGACCCTACTTCGTCCCCACTTGGTTTGAATCTTCAAAGGGGAAGTTCTGAGTACAGCAATTCAAAAAATCAACGTACTCAACTTCTTAATTGTTATAGGTTTCTTAACTTGGAAAAGTCTTCTGCTCAATTCATCTCTGGTCTAACAGCTCCATTTGTAAGGTTGGCGTACGCTACAATTCGTATTCGTGTACGGTTTCGTATCTAAGTAAGGCTGGTTGTATTAAATTTTTCCAGCAGTGGGCAGTTTCTGATCAGATAATGAAACATCCAGCTTTGTAACCTGCTAGAAGGTGGACATAGGTGCCTACATCTGAAGAATGTTCTGGGGCCAAGGCCATCAAAGCAACTAGATATCTGTATTTACCACTACAACTAAAATAACATCAGATTCCTATTTAATGTAACACAACTGACCAAATAGATGCATAAAAGTAAATTTCAGACTCTTTTGTTAGAGTTTTAGATTGTCATAACATGTAGTAGTGTCATTAGATACGGTATGGCAATTGCTCAAGCATCAGAGGTACTACGCCAATTTAATTAAGCTAACTTTCTTTCCAAATATGTGAGAGGGAGGGAGAGTTAAACACTTCAAAGGGAGAAATCCAATGTTTTGGATCATCCAATCCAGACTAAAGATTGCTAGGTTACCACATAATGTCTTGTTTAAGGACTTCGGATGGATTTTAAAATAAAGTCCAGCATGACTCGAATCTGTCTAAATTTTACGTTTTATGGCAGACTGAAGGCTATATGTAACACATTATAATCTTATTAAGACACTACAAATTCAAAAAATATAGCATGTTTTGTTCATTTTTCTAAAAACTGTAGGTAGATGTTTGGTTTACAGTCTTTAAAACCTGTTTTCTAAAAATTCAGTTAAAAAATGCCTGTTTTCAGAAAGGACAGGCCCCATAGTTTCCTATAGTTTCCCTACTGAATAATATGAAGTAACATCAGTATAAACCTGAATCCGAAATGAATACTGGAACTGAAATAACATAAAACTACAATATGATAAGTGTACAAAAGTAGCTCAATTTCACAATACAACTCCAAGCTAAAATCAAACTTACAGAAGTTAAAATGAGACAGAGTAATGCAGGCATATTCTGAAAAACCTGGTGCTAAATGAGAATTGTTGTTTCACTATCACAAACTGTTTTAAATGTATATTCCTCCATGATTGATTTATCTTTTCTTAAGGCACTTCACATAATAGGAACTACAGTCAGGTGCTTATTTCCTTCTAATCGAACAACCCAAAGCACATGGTTCCTAAATTTTCAGGTCATCAAACCTTGTCTAGATTATGTTTTCCAATCTGAAAACCACACACAACAATTCCCATATGAACAAATGAAACAAAATCTAGAATGTAGTAACAATTAAATAAAAACATGCTTACAGAGCTGAAGCATTTAGGCTGAAGGACTTCGGCTATTCTAGAGAGTTACACCTGATCTCTCCCATCACTTAAAATCTTCCAATGTCCGCTTCCAATGTCCACTGAATATCAGCTTGTGATATAGAATTCGAGAGCTCAGGAAAGCCCAGAATGACCAGAACCACATCTCCAAAACACTCCGTAAAAAATTCAAAGAATGTCTTTCCTAGGTTCTAACTTGTAAAGTTGATTCCAATGAGCGCCCACTCCTTCACTGAGTTCTCCTCCTCAGGTGCTGCGAAACAGGGTACCCCTCGAAGAAATCCAAGACTGCAGTCTCTAAATCCTCGACAGAATACTTGATGTACGTCTCTGGATGCCTTCCACTCTCTATATGACTCCTGAAACGGCCAAGAAATGACCTGTAAGCTGGGATCAACTTCTCCGATATGGATATACGAAGCTCCTCTCGAAGCTGTGTATCCGGTATCAACCATTGCGCCTGAGTCCTGTGAACCTCCTCAAACATAGTATTGAAGGCCTTGAACCTCTCTCTCAAAGCACTCTTTGACACCCCAGATGAGAAACTGCCACTCACATGTAGCCCCTCATCTCTCAAACAATACAACACCCTCACCCAAGTTGCTCTCTGGTAGCTCGTCGCTGCCTGCCTGAATTTCCCCGTTAACCTCCTCAGATAATCGTCTCCAATCATCTCTCTTAACTCCGTAGACCCTTTGATCTTCTGAACAATGTAGTGAACATTGTTCATAATGAACAAATGAGCCAAAGAGTTATCTTTGTAGTGTTTGGACTTACCCTCCAAATTGAATTGTAAAATCACTATGATCCAAATCAAATGGAGTGCCAAGGGAGTTTGCTCCTCTAGCTGATCAACGAATTCCATATCCGGCGTAGTCAGATCACCGGAATATCTTGAACCAGTTGAGGGCTTAGACACAATCAATTCAATGAGGGTTTGCTTGTAATCAGATATCAGACTTATATAATTCATCACATACCTAGTCAAAGGATGAACTGTACCACCAGGAACCGGAATTCTTGACGGCTCGCGAAGCACCGCGTTCTCAAACTCCGATAATATCCCTCTGGCCGCCTCCGCCAGCCGAGACAGTATCTCAGCCGCCTGAACTCGAATGGATTCCGATGATTTTGACTGGAAAACAACATCAATATCAGGCAATAAATCCGATAACGCATCGTGTAGGTCTAAGATCTTGAACAACTTCTCAGGCGACCGACGACTGATACTTATAGCTTCTGCAAAATTAAAGAGCTGAATTGCTGGACCTTTAACAGTCTCCATGAAACACGCATCATCAGTGGCCGTTCCTAAATCTTCAAAGATTTGCTCACAGAGTCTCTTCTCACTAGCAAATAGTATCCGAACACAAACCCTCGCGGCTCGTATCCACCGTCTGATCTTCGTCTCCAACGTTTCCCACTCCAACCTCTGGATATCACCAATGCTCAGCTTCTCGATCCCTAGCTGACGAAAGATGGAATCCATTGCAGACTTTCTCACACTACCGTACACCTGGACACACTCCCGGAGATATCCAGCAGAGATCATCCTCTCTGCAATGCTTCGAAGATCGAAAATTGCTTCGCCAGGTATCAGATCGAGCTCGCGTATACTACTCGTAGATCCAAACTTGCAGCTGCTAGTACTGCTCTCTCCTCTTTGAAGTGGTTCTTCTTCCTTATTCACCGATTCGTCATCGAGATAGTCGTCATCCTGTGATTCACTAACACGACTATCAGTCCTCTCAGTTCTCGTGCTCGAGTGAGTCGAAGAACCTGGATCGACGAGCGAATCGGTCTCGATCGGATTGGTATTAGCGATCAAGATGGTGCGAAACTCGTCTTCGAGTCGAGCCATGGCGATCTGGATCGCCGTGTTGGCTTTGTTCTGGTCGTCGATCGTCGCCGACTCCATAGAGCGCTGAATCTCGTCGACGGCCTGCAAGTAGCGATCGATCTCGTGGCGGTCACCGTTGAAGATCATGCGTTCTCTGGCGTCCTCCGACGCCGTAGAGTCCCACCGAAGGATGATCTTCTCGGCCGATTCAAACGCGACGGCGAGGTTCTCCGGCGACTCCATAACCGGAAATATAGGGATTCAATCAATGACAGCTTGAAAATTCAGAATCCAGAAAGGGAAAGGTATTTTTATTTTCCTCCCTCTCTCTCTCTCTCTCCCTCTCCCTCTCTCTCTCTCTCTCTGTCTGAGATAATAGCTAGTAATTTTTGTGCTTTGTGGTGGTGGGCTTTGACTTGTTAGATTGTGGTTTCTCTTAATTGAGAGACGTATGAAAATTTAAACAGACCAAATTTGACCACAAGACCACTGTATCATCAAAGTCGTCTATTCCTTTCTTTTATTACGGGGGTAAAGAACTGAGAAAACTCCTTCGTTAAAAGAACCCAGATAAAAATTTGCTTATTTTTAAATAATTATATCCAAACAGAAACTTAAAACATATTAAAAAAAACTCATTTTATCTTTTATTATTTTATTAATTTTAATTACAAAATATCAAAATATTTAAATTACCTAATTACCCTCAACACCCAATCAACCTTACAACTAGACGCTGCCACCATACCAAAATCCACAACCATCAACACATACTCGCCGCCATAACCACCACCATCTCCACCCCCAAACCATCGCCACCATCTCTACCTCAACAACCACCACTGCATATTCCGGCATCTAGCACCGATACCACAACACCAAGAGAAAAACCCAGAATCAATACACACACACACACACACACACGATTCAGAAAAGGGAAGAATTCTAGCTTTGGAGAAAGAAGCTCCAAATGGAAGTCAAACGCCGAACGGCGAGATCTCTGGTAACGAAGCTGAGCTCAGTATCGGAATAAACTCGAACCGAAGCTCTCTGCGAGCTTTGTCTCATCTCCAAACATGATCCGAAAAGTCGACCTCTAATCGCCAACGAGGGCGCAATATCCTACATCGCTGAAACCCTCTACTCTCTCTCTCCAATCTCCCAAGAAAACGCCACCGCCACCCTCCTCAACCTCTCCATCTCCAATCGTGAAGCCCTAATGTCCACCCGCGGCTTCAGCGAAGCCCTAATATTTGATTGCAGTCATTTAAGGCAAAGTTGAGTCCTGTGAAGACAAACCCAGGTTGAGTCCGGCAAAGACAAACCCACTTCGGTGACAGCGAACTAATAATATATCAACGACTACAAGCCTGAAAAGCTCAACCATGTGTGTAGGTGCAAAATTTCGCTCAACCAATAATGATTAAGAAAAATAAAACAATTCACTCAATCAATAGTAAAAATAAACAAGAACAATATATGTCGAAGCGTAGAACAATATATGCCTCTATTTATATATAAAAATTGGTAGAATTAAGGTAGGGCTCGCGTTACTTATTCTCCAATTCTTCCCATACATGACTTTCTTTACGAATAGAGTTCTTTTTATTCTATAATATTTCCTACGCAGAACTTGCCATGTAAAGAACTTCCTATCAAAGAATTCTCCTTTTATGGTAAATCCTTCTACCGATAGGACTTGTTCAATCTTGGAAAACTGGGCTGAATATACCTGAACTAGCTGGGCTTGAATAACGGGCCGGATGTTTAATATTAACATGTTGGGCTGATAATTTCTTAATTCGGGCTTCAATAGGGCTGAAGGTCAAATAACAATAGTATTGGGCTTGAGCGAGGTGGGCTTCATAAACTTATCAAGGATAAGTTTATATTTATGATGACGTGGATTATTCTCATTGGAGGGGATTTTTTTCCTCCACGCTTTGCCCCCAATTCTTTTTTTAATTGGACTACTGCTCCTAATAAGAAGGGAATTGAAGCTGTACGATTACCAATTTCGTAAGAAGTGGATTTGAGGCGTGACTACTGATATTCTGACCAAAAGGTTTCCATAAGAGTTACTTCTGCTCTTACCTCGTTCATTTCATTCCTTGCGTTCTTCACTTCGTCACATCACCAAGTTAGAGCATTTGTCATGGCAGAGACTGGAGCACCTTGGAAGCCATTTTTATCTAGAGCTGATAAATCAGTTCTTCACTCTGGTGATTCTATGATTACCAACCCCTCTGTAGCACTAGCAGTTGCTCGGGGAATGTAATATGGAGTTGGAACAACTGCCTCCATCTGCCCCTGTTCGAGCCATTGAGGTTCGTCATTCTCCCTTTCTTTTTGTCTTTTCTCCATCAAAAAGTTGGAGAAAGATCTTGGCAATTCTGAAAAGAAAGTCTCGCATGCAGCCATGAATACAAAGATCGTATCTGAAACGAGGGATGTTTATAAGAAGTGATTGGCCGTGTCTGAAGCTAAGGTGGAGACACTAGAAACTGAGGTCTAGCGTTTGAAAGATGCAATTTGTGATACCCCTCGGATCCGAGACACGGGTTGATCAGGCCCAGGCCCAAACCCGAGGGAATATCAAACAATTAATATTTTATAATGAATACGGAATACAAAATAAATTAAGAAATGAAATTAAATCTGGAAGGAACTAAAAATAGAATCCGCAAAATATTATAATTATTAAAATCCATCAAACCCAACTCCAAAACTCCATCAGTTTACAACTTGGGAATCCATCTCTAGTGGACCCCTATTAAACATCCAAACGGAAGATAGAACAACTGTAATAAACGTCCAGAAATAAAACTATAGAGAGAGCCCTACATCGTCGGAAGAGTGAATAGAGACCTCTGCTCAGCACGAACACGTCTAAGCCTGGAACTGTCGTGTACCTGAAAAAATAGAAGTGGGTCAGGCCCACGCGCAAGTTCTATACTATTACAATCCAAACAGAGGCCCGATACGCATGTACATCCTAAACAATTCAACAATAGCTGATAGTCCGTAAATATATATATAGTCACACTAAAGGACTCTCACTGGACTACAGGCCGGTCTCAACTTGAATAGAGGTAACATGCTAAAACGCACACGAAGTGGGCATATGTACCTATACCTAAACAGGGTACACATCCAACCATCGTAGCCAGCTACACATCCCGATGCATATACGCTCCCTAGCCATCTGTCCCGAGGCTCAAGCTCATACCGAGGCACTATAACAGTACATATATAAAATCCATCCAAAATCCCTGGTATTGCCGCTCAACAAGTAGTTGCCATGACAATACAAATCCACGGGACTTAACTTTTAGTTAATCCCATCCTTATTCCAAGTAGGTGGGTAATGGTATTATTTTAAAAACCAAACCCATCCTTAGTATGCCACCGTCCCATACCGGTGCCTACTTTCCAATCCTCCAGTAGTCAATAATACCAATAAATCAAGTATATATCAACTAAATTCCAACATCCAACATTCAATGTTAGCAGTGATAAAATAAGCATTGATAAACAGGGTCACAACAACAACATATACATGCCCAATTTAAGTTGTTCCCTTTAGTCTGATATAAAGACAGAATTAATTAAAACTTCCATTTAACACCTTACAAATGACATACAGATATGTAAGGTATATATCACAAAATCCTAACCTCCACAGTTGATACTAACTGTGATAATGTAAGCATCACAACAATATTCACAATATGTATGTAGACATGTTTAAATTATAGTGTTCCACAAAACCGATCTAGTGTTAAACTCAAATCCTCCTAGTATTTAAGTTCCAACAGTTGTTATTACAGAAGTTAAGATAGCTATCATCTAGACCCATCCTTCCAATAATTTATACTAGCAGTGGTAAGGAAAAACGTGAACCACAGAACCACAATGCATCCACAAACATGCTTAGTCAAAGTTGAACAAGCATACAACACTACTGTAACTACCAGTTTCATAACAAAACAGATATCATTTTAGTTTGGTTTAATCCTTATTAATCCTGAAATCATTTAAGAGTGCAAAGAGTATAAAGCCTAAGGGAAAGAGTAAGGATAGAATCTTGCCTCAGAAACTTTTGTTCAAAGTTTCAACGTCGTATTCTTAAAAAAATCCCGGCGAGTTCCAAAACCCGATTACTGTTCACGGGTACGAAACACTGTTCCTGAGGTCAAACTCTTAACGGGCCGGATGTTTAATGTTAACATGTTGGGCTGATAATTTCTTAATTCGGGCTTCAATAGGGCTGAAGGTCAAATAACAATAGTATTGGGTTTGAGCGAGGTGGGCTTCATAAACTTATCAAGGATAAGTTTATATTTATGATGACGTGGATTATTCTCATTGGAGGGGATTTTTTTCCTCCACGCTTTGCCCCCAATTCTTTTTTTAATTGGACTACTGCTCCTAATAAGAAGGGAATTGAAGCTGTACGATTACCAATTTCGTAAGAAGTGGATTTGAGGCGTGACTACTGATATTCTGACCAAAAGGTTTCCATAAGAGTTACTTCTGCTCTTACTTCGTTCATTTCATTCCTTGCGTTCTTCACTTCGTCACATCACCAAGTTAGAGCATTTGTCATGGCAGAGACTGGAGCACCTTGGAAGCCATTTTTATCTAGAGCTGATAAATCAGTTCTTCACTCTGGTGATTCTATGATTACCAACCCCTCTGTAGCACTAGCAGTTGCTCGGGGAATGTAATATGGAGTTGGAACAACTGCCTCCATCTGCCCCTGTTCGAGCCATTGAGGTTCGTCATTCTCCCTTTCTTTTTGTCTTTTCTCCATCAAAAAGTTGGAGAAAGATCTTGGCAATTCTGAAAAGAAAGTCTCGCATGCAGCCATGAATACAAAGATCGTATCTGAAACGAGGGATGTTTATAAGAAGTGATTGGCCGTGTCTGAAGCTAAGGTGGAGACACTAGAAACTGAGGTCTAGCGTTTGAAAGATGCAATTTGTGATACCCCTCGGATCCGAGACACGGGTTGATCAGGCCCAGGCCCAAACCCGAGGGAATATCAAACAATTAATATTTTATAATGAATACGGAATACAAAATAAATTAAGAAATGAAATTAAATCTGGAAGGAACTAAAAATAGAATCCGCAAAATATTATAATTATTAAAATCCATCAAACCCAACTCCAAAACTCCATCAGTTTACAACTTGGGAATCCATCTCTAGTGGACCCCTATTAAACATCCAAACGGAAGATAGAACAACTGTAATAAACGTCCAGAAATAAAACTATAGAGAGAGCCCTACATCGTCGGAAGAGTGAATAGAGACCTCTGCTCAGCACGAACACGTCTAAGCCTGGAACTGTCGTGTACCTGAAAAAATAGAAGTGGGTCAGGCCCACGCGCAAGTTCTATACTATTACAATCCAAACAGAGGCCCGATACG